AGGAAGGGATGAATCAGGGCGAGGATGACAATGTTCGTATGGACGATAATGATGTCCCCTCCACATCTCACAATGGCGAAGATCGGGACTGGCCTGACTGGGATAATCCAACTGATCCATCGTCACCACGGCTCACTCAGCCCGAGCCTCAGGCATCATCGTCCAACTCCTCACTCGTTATGCAGCCTCCCCCAGGTCTTCAACCACCAGTGTCTACCTACCAACGCCCATTCATATCCTCCATCAACACGAATTGTACAGTGCAGCGAGGCCCTACTATTTCTCTCAATTCTCCAGAACCTGATGACGGCCGGCGAAAATTTCCCTTACCATCCACCATTTCCTCAGGCAAGACCAAGGTCGCCGTCTCTCAAGACATGCAGATAGATCCCTCGTCTGATGACTCTGATGCAAGCACAAGCCGGATGATGAAATCCCTGACCATGCATTCACGCAAAACCGGTGGCGCTCGTCATCTTGGCCACACATCATCTGATCAGGATTCTGATCTTTCCTCAACTACATCTAGCAGATCTGTCTCTCGCAAGCGGCCACGTGATGCAGTATCCGAAATTAGTGCAAAGCTAAACGAGGCATCAGGGTCCCTTGCTAAGCACATCCAGGAGTCATCTATCGCCAAGGCTGAACACAAGCGCTTCAAGTTAGAGTCCAAGATGGCTGGTATGAAGCTCAAGGGCCGTCAACACCAAGAGGAGCGTGAACACATATTCCGCAGTACTACCGCAACTCAGAATCACGAGCGTGCTATGGCAGATGAACGGACGAAGCAACTTGAATTGGAGATAAAGCTAGAGCAAGTGAAGTTAGAGCGCTTGGCTTTGGAGAAGGAGATGTCTCGTCAGGGTAACTAACAGTCATGCATCCCACGTCAAATCATTTGGTGTTTTTCATTCGTTCTCACAAATTCATACTGCATTTCTAGGCCCATTTTTTCATTGTAGCTAATCATGTATCCAAGTGTTTGAATTGAGCCCCCCTCGCTTTCCTTGCATCGCTCATTCAGATCTGCGCAATAGCTGACCCATCAGTGTGTCCCGAAAAATCTGCCCTTCTGAACCGATGAAGCTCTCATCTCCGGCACCGTCTTCGTTGTCTTCGCCATCTTCACCACCTTCTTCCTCCCTGCTATCTTCGCATCTACCCCATTGTCTTGCTTCACGGGCAAAGTGCCCAAATGAATCATCAGCAGTAAGTTTTTCTTCGATTTCAATGATCATGTTATGAAGGATCAAACAGCACCGCGTCCACATATTTGCCTCGTCAAGATCTCGCTGCGTCTGTATTTGGATCCGCAGTTCACGAAGGGACTGGAAGCGTCCCTTCAGTGAACCGTAACCGTGTTCAGAGCGAACACGGACCTGGAAACGTTGTGAGTTGATTGGTGTGTGACAACGGTTTGTCTTACCTTTGACAAATGATAGTTGAATGTTTTTTGATTACGGGTCAACCCGCCAGCTGCCGGCCGCTTAAAGGGCACGACACACCATGGACGAGAGCCATACGCTGTGTCTGCCCAAATCCACTCATTCCCGCTCAAAAAATTTTGGGGATTGCGCGCAACCCGGGCCTTCGAAAATGCGTTAGAGTCGTGCACACTCCCAGGAACTCCAATGACATAGTCGACAATGCGCAGGTTGTGTGGCATGATTACGACCTTTTGAACATGTGAGTTTGTTTTTTTTTCATTATAGTTCATGGCATACCTGAGCTGATAGTGAGTAGTTCGATTTGCGATCGTAAAAGCCCTCTCCGTGCCATCCGGGCTTTTGAAATAAGTTAAATGGTGTGCCGTCGACACAGAGAAAACCGCCCCTCCACTCTGGGCATGTTTGTTCTTCGACCCACGTCTTTGCCCTCTCCCTCTCGATCTGATCGTCCTCATAAAGTGGGTCGAAATGTATTACGGTGTCATGATGCTGAAGAAGCGCGATCATTACACGTCGGTGACAGTTATAAACTGTCCCTGTCGAGATGCCTGCCCATTCTGCTATGTCTTCCGTTGTCGCCGCATTTCCGTAATGACCTGCACTATTTAGGAACACTGCCAGCTGCACCGGGATAGGCAACTGTGGGTTATTGGAGTTGTTGTGGAACACTGGGTGGGCAATGATTAAATTAACAAGGTGCTCGAAGACAGGGGGATCTACGCGAAGTTTACAGCGAAATTTCTCGGGATGATCCAGCGCCCACTCCTCCAGCAGATGGAGCTGTGGTGCACGGCTCGATTTTGGACGTGCGAAGAGGACGCGACTCTTCTCGACTTCGTCGTGCAAGGCTTCGATCGTGTCACTGAATTCAGTGAAACTACGCGACATCGTTAGTATCTCGGTCGCAGAGGACGCCGACATCGAAAAAAGCGACTCGGTGACGGAGGAGGTGGACGATATGGATGACACATCCATCATGCTACGAGTATCATCCGAGTCTGGAGACTTGGATGATGAACTTGAACTACTACTACTATCCCACTCATCAAGTCCTTCGATTGCGGTCTTGGCTAGTTCCAGGTATCGAGCAAATTGTAAGTCTATTTGGTTGGTACGTAGTGCTTGTAGGATGTGTTCGCGAGCTGAGGTATGAGGCATTGTTCATCGTTATCGATTACCCCGCGATTGTACTTTGTATTTGTTATCTTATCAATTATGGCGGAGCTTCAATACGGCTTGAAGCCGTCATGTTTTAGATCTATATTTTTTTTTTGTTGCTTTGATATTTTAACTTTGAGACCCACTATTCATTCCAATTTCAAACTTTCGGTCTTCCTCTTCTAGCCCTTCAAACGTAGCCCGCGACACCCTCCGACTCTGACTTAGCTTGCAGAGAATTGCACGTTAGGAACTCATAGCGGCAAGGTAAGACACTCGAACCAAGATTTCAAACTAACCAGGTGAACAATGCACTGAGGGTCGGGCCCGACGAAAACATAGCTCTAGTCTAAAGCCTGTCTTTTATCAAGACCATTGTTTTTTTCGCTATTCTACCCTGACCTTAAAGCCAATCAAATATTAGTATTAGGCTAATACTAAGATTTGATATATTCCAAGGTACGAGCATCTTAAAAGGAGCTTTATTACTCTGCTACCGGAGACAAATCACCTCGAGGAATAGGGTTTGTGCACCACTCTGTTGCAAACCAAACTCAGCATCAAGGGTATAGTGAAAAGTTTCTACGTCAAAGCTCATTGTGGTGATGAATGCCGTATCATTTCGTCCATGGCAGATACTCTGCTATGGAGAAGCAGTGGATGGACTAGGTGGCAGGTCACTTTGCACGAGATATGTGCGATGTGGACGTCTCCGTTCGGTGTGTCTTTGTCAGGCTTCGTGACTCCTCAGCGCCTGCAATTATTCAGGCTCCCACAAGCAATTCTCTGGAGTGATTCCTCGTCGTTGTATGCCTCATCCTCCAAAATCTCGTGCTGAATTTGTAATTCATCCATGTGTGTAGTGCTCGTCTTGTGTCCCAAACGAGCCACGGCCCGACACACCTCTTTTCCAATTTTCAGCAACTCGGCCGATAACGTTTAGAAAGAAATCTGTGGCTTCAAATCCTACGTAACGTCAACAATCTGCTTTCATTTAGAATCCTAGATTTTGCATATACCGGAAATTTAGAAATGACCGACCGTCCCGTTCGTCCGGCCCGCACCGTCTGACCCTAATTTGACTATTTGGAACGCCTCGGAATTCCTCCAACATCTCATCTTTCAGGATTTGGGCTGACTTCGGGCGTCAGCGGGAAGCACTACCTCACGAATGATATGTCCTTGAGGCCTGTCGCCCACGAGGCAAACGTGGACACGATCTCTAGCATCAGGTCAAGGATACCTATGAGACGATCAGCAGCACATTTCAGCGCGATCACGGTTTATCGGACGATGGGGACAGACTCCAGAGAGAACGGGCGGACGGGACGAACGGAACTTTCGAACTTCCAGGTTCCCTCGCATATTTGATTCAAACCTTAAAGATCGGAGTGTCGTCTCACACCTCTTCAAAATCTAGAAATGCTTTCCAAACTGTGGACTGTATCTAGATTCTAATGCACAGTGTTGAACGTTGAGGTGTCAAAAGACATGTAAACGACAGTTACAACTTACAACATAGTCACGGAGTTTGAAAGCTCGTTTATGAGGTGTTTCGAACATGTTTTGAACACCATTTAAATCTAGAAGGGAGGGGGCTGCCCCCCTTTCAGATATCAATTTAGAACTGGGTGTTTTTGACATACAGATTTGCAAAACACTGACGTTTGACGGCGGCATGTCGGTACGAGGGCTTTAGAACATGGATTTAGATTTAGAACGACGTTGTCAACGCCACGAGAAGTCATCCAATGTCACGCTGCTGTACTGGTGGGAACCAAGCTGACTCGACAAGAACACATCGACAGATGAGTCAACCACGACGACTATGATACCTTTACCGTGCGCAGCTCCTTCCAAATCCACGGATGAATATTCTGGGTGGCACAAACACAGAAGATAAGGTTGGAAAATGAAAATTTTTTGAGGAAACTTTCGCATTGGACGCCAGTTGTCCGTCGTATGCTGCCACAATATTGAAACATAAGGAGGTAAGGTACCGTTGTCCCTGTGGCGAGCGGTAGTGCCAGAATCAGGGATTGGGCCCATCACTCAGTGTCCAAACAAGTGCCTATAAAAAGGCGAAAGTATACGAGGGATCCGTGAAGTGCAAGAGCGGTAGTATCGAGCGGCGCTGGCTGACGGAGCTTGCACAGGTACCGCACGGTAAGATTATGTGAGCAGATATCGCTGTGAGTGGTCCTAAAGAGGCGGTGCGTGGGTTTATTCTCGTTGGAATAGGGGGGTGCCCCCCTTACAGATTTAAAGTTTATTGGGGGGCAGAAGGGGGCAGAACCCTTGTCGAATTTCAAACGGTAACAAAAATTATACCCGGCATCGCGGCACACCCTTCCTAAAGTGTGAAATTATATTATTTTGTCTGCTAGGCTTCATCCGGTCCATCGATGAATGTAGCACTGTCACAGATCTAAGTCTCCTACGAGCCGTGGGTACGGGTACCCAATTTTTGCAGTAACCCGTACCCGCGCGGGTGAATCAAACACAGGTACACGTGACCCGTAGTACGGCGGATACCCGGACAGCATCACCCGCGACATACCTTATCTGCAAGGAACAACTGCGGCGTGGTCTTCCTTCTCTTTTGGTCTGACTCGAGGAAAACTAGATAAGTTCCACATTCAAGCTGCCCTTGAATTCCAATTTCCGAACTCGAACAACGAACTACTATGCCTGCCGCAGGGTATATACGTCTTCCTGAGACGAGCCCCCAAGGTACAAATCAGATCCATCATCCAAAAAAATGTGTTTTCGCTTACAATGCTCCAAAAAATAGACGACAATCGTTCGTCCCACGGTGACGACGCCTCGATCTGCGAGACTGCCGTGGACAATGAACTCCGTTCAGTCGATGCCGAGCAGGACGCACATGCTGGCGTTAAGAAAGTCGAGGCCGCGCAGCGTGTGTATGGGCGTTACTCCCGTTGGTGTCTCTTCGTCGGGTGCGTGTTGTCACCGCCGTGGAAATGACTTTTAAGTTGCACCTCGTACAGCGCGAGTATCGTCGACTTATACTAACAGACTGCCATCGATAGCATTGGACTTGCGTCATATATATATTCCCTTGATGCATCGACAACTTACGCATACCTTACATTTGCTACTTCATATTTCGGCGAGCACAGCCTTATCAGTTCGATCACCGTCGTACAGTCCCTCATTGGTAATTTTCACTTATCGTCCGCCCAGCAGTGATTGTTTACTAGACATTCACAGTTGCTGTTGGTAAACCCGTGATCGCTAAAGTTGCGGATGTCTCTTCACGAGGCACCGCCTATGTCGGCGTTTGTAAGTACGAACTGTATTTTCAAGCGCTTGTTTGACGTTGGGCTTCTAGTGATTTTTTACGTTCTCGGTATGTTGTTTGTATGGAACTCACTGCAATTGATATCATGATCTGCCACTGCTAGGCTATATCGTGATAGCTTCTGCCCCTAATGTCACTAGGATAGCTGGAGGCATTGTTCTGTACGCTGTGTACGTGTCAATCCTCGTGTTCTCTTGTTCTATTTTTACGCATCTTTCTAGTGGATACACGTGAGCATGGGCCGATGACACCACTATTCTGGGGATTAATCTGCTTGGCCCAGCGGGGTGCAACTACTTACACAAATTATCATTGCTGACATCACCACCCTCGCATGGCGTGGGCTTGTCGTCTCCCTTGTCTCTGCACCATTCCTCATCAATGCATTTATTGGCTCAAACATATCTGCTGCAGTCATCGATTCTATCGGCTGGCGATGGGGCTGTAAGTCTTGGGTATCATTTCACCTTGTCATCGTCTCAATCGCATGACGTGATGTATAGATGGCATGTTTGCCATCCTTGTCCCTATTTCCCTCGCGCCCCTCATTATCACTCTTCTGTGGGCGGAACGTAAGGCGAAAATGCTTGCTCTTCTCGACTCCCCCAAACCACGCAGTCGCAACAGCTCAAGTCAGCCAAGCCTCCCACGTGGATCCATGATAACTCGCTTCCTTCGCTCTGCCGAGCAGCTTGACCTAGTCGGACTCATCCTTCTTGGGTTCGCGGTTGCACTGACCTTGACTTCCATTAACAATTAGTCGGAATGTGAACTCAAAGTGGACGAATGGTCCGTGGTTTACATTTTTTTCGGTGAGAGATTGACTAGTATGCACAAAATTTAGGCTCGATCATTGCAATGCTTGTCATGGGAATTGTGCTCCTTGTCCTGTTCGCAGTCTGGGATCTACGTTATGCCAGTAGGCCTGTGATTGCTCCGCGGTTTGTCAGGAATAGAAGCGTTGTCTGTGCAGCGTTGATCGGCTTTTTCGACTTTGTAAGTGTTCGGCGGCGAAGTCATTTATTGGTGAAACTGATTGTTCGATGTTATAGATGTCGTTCTTCCTCACATATGCGTATCTGTATTCGTTCGTCCTGGTGGTGAAACCTTGGTACCTTTCACATTCTGCTTGTGAGAGTACGTGTTGACTTGGCCTCTGAAGGTCACTCGTGAACGCGACGTACTTCATTCAGGTGCAATCCGTTGGACTGACATTCTTTGGCATTCTTGCGGGTCTCAGCATGCGTTTCCTCCATCGCTACAAGGTATATCACTCAACCATTCAATACCACAGTCTAGCTCAACCTTGCGTGGTAGTACGTACTCGTCATCGGACTCGTGATTCGTCTAATGTAAGTCTCCCAATCATTCCAACCAAAATTCCCGACCTACGTATTCTTATCAGAGGTGTCGCAATGATGATCCATTCGCGCGGTGGCAACGCCTCGGATGCTGAGCTTGTATGGACCCAGATCCTTCAAGGTTTCGGTGGAGGTTTTGCAGCCGTTTCTTCACAAGTAGGGGCACAAGCATCCGTGCCTCACGCAGACGTGGCGATCATCACGGCAGTCGTGCTCCTACTAACTGAAATCGGCGGCGCAGCTGGGAACGCATGCGGTATGTTCACTCGTGCATATCTAGGGGTCGTTGATTAAATGGGATTACAGCCGGCGCGATTTGGTCCGAACACGATGCCAGCCAACCTAGAGAAGTATCTGCCATGGTTAACCGACGAGAAGCGTGCAGAGCTGTTCGGGAGCATAACATTAGCAGCGTCTTATCCCCTCGGCGATCCCGTGCGCGAGGGCGTCATCAGCGGTGCGTTCGAAATAGCCGTGCCATGCACATATCAACGCAGGCACTCATCAATTATGTTTCAGCGTACGACGACACGATGAAGATCATGGTGACCACAGCCACTGTACTGAGCGTGATACCTGTTTTGCTTGCCCTCGCAATGCCGAACTGGTACCTAGGTGACAGGCAGAATGCGATTGACGCTGCTGATCTTACTGGGAGGTCGTTGCTCGAAGATGACAGTGAAGATGAAGAGGAGCTGTAGTCTTAGTCCTGTTGAACAATACATTCTACTGTGCTTTTTTCAGAATCCCGTATATTGTCATTGTAGGCTTGCCTAATGTTGGCAGTATATAGTAATGTATTATGTGGCGTGAACGTTACCCTGTTCTTATCATATATCATGACAAGCCTGTTCCCTAGAAAATGAGACTGCTTAACAGGTCCAGACGACACAAGAATTGCTTTAGCTACGCCATTACATAGATGATACAAGTATAAGCCGTATGATGATTACACAAATCGTTTACTAGTGTGTTTGAAATTTGAACTCCGGTAGCGTCGTAGGAAAATGGTAACATAGGAATACATTAACACCTCACTCCAAAATCCAAGAAGCGGTATTCAAGAGGAAGAGGGGGTAGGGTCAGGCACAATCGTAAAGCTGTGCATGCGAGACTCAGCGTACTTGGTAATCAAAAGGCAAACTTTAACTTACGCTTCGCTCCTCCATTCCTTCCCCTCCTTCGCCTTCTCCTCGCGTTCGGTCGTTCGATTGACCCATCCGGATGGATGTCCTCCTTGAATCATTGAAGCGCGCCTATTATGGACAACCTTGAAATGAGACTTGCTCTCCGATGTCTTGATCGATGGAGATTCGTCCTTTTTGTGTTTGAACAGCTGACACCATGGTTAGCGGGATAATTCGGAAAATCGGTCAACACCCACATCTTGTAGCACCTGACGGCGACTCAAGTCCTCCTTCGTCTTTGTTTCCTCCATGCGATCCCTCACGGTGACGAGCTGTCCATCGAGATATTCCAGACCAGTCCTGATTGCCTGTGCAACCGCCTTCTGGATATGCTTCTTCACTACAGTTGTCGCAAGGGTTTGATAGTCTTGTAGATTGTATCGTGCTTCGAATCGCGAATGCTAAACTTCAGCGAATCCACCTTGACGTGCACGTCCTTGACTTTGAAGACGGAGCTGCGATCTCTGTCGGCGGAAACAAGATGGATAGTCACTGTCATGCCTTGTCCACCGAGGACAACGTCCGCTATGCCAGAGTCCCTTATTTTAGGGAATCCGGTCTTCTTGTGGAAATAGAGGGCAACGTCTCGCATGTCCGCCTGGATCTGTGCGAGTGTGATTGTGAACTCGTGATGCCGTTCATCTTGAATGGCGTCATACGGGCTAAACTTCACAAAGTTAAATGCCTCCATAGATATAACGTTGGGGAACAGGTTGCGTCCTTGAAGAGTGAGGTTCTCAACGACAAGGTCGAGCGCATCGTCGGTGTATTCGACACGCGGAATGGGTAAATATCCAACCTCGAAGTGCCAACTTTATTAGCCTCTTGCCCCGGCAGCTGAACAGTGACGTACCTGTTGCACCATTGTAGGCATAATGACGTTTCTGATATCGCTCCAGAGATCGGCCTTAAACTTCAAGCTACCTTCACTATCAAATAGTAGGTCATGCGTCAATCGAGCCCAGTCTTCGCCAAAGCGTTTGTTCAAAGGATCTTCTCCCATCGCCGAGAACCATTTGCCAATGGCATCGAAGAGCTCGTCGAAATGCTCTTTATACTTCTGGTCCCAGAAGTGACGACCTGACTCGAGAATCTCGTTACCCTCACGATTGCAATCATCTTCCAGCACGAAGCCCGCCTCAAGTAAAACCTACACCGCCGTGAGCATGTTATATCGCGTTTATAAAAGGCACTTACCTTGCGAATGTACGTATTCAAACGATGAAACCAGTTCCTAAACTCATCGTCGCGACGAGCATCATCGATGAGAACATTGGAAGCGTCAAAAATCCCATTCATACTGCGACTGTTCGCGAAGCGCTCGAGCAGGGTACGAAGCTCAGTCATGGCAGTATTAAGTGCTCTATCCTTTGCGAGGATTAGGTGGTCGAAACATTTACAACCGGTACAAAACACACCTGCGTGATGGCACTGCCACGTTCTTTGCCGTGACCAGCAGCAGTTTGCCCGTAGGAGGCATATCGCTCAACTTCGTCGAGGAGCCATCTGATGGCGTCTTGGTAATCATCATGCTTCTGGCACTCGATTATGACCTTCTTGCCACGATAAATAAACTGATCACGGCGCTCCACAGGGAAGTACTCCTCAGCCAGGAACTTGCGTCCTCGCTCGATGTGCTCGGAGGCTCGGTCTCGATGCTGCTGGGGGACGCGTTCGGACAAACCACCCTATGACAAAACTATCAGAAATGGCGACTCAAACGAGGAAAATATAAGCATACTGCATAATTGCGAATACGTTCCCTAAACCCCCCGTTTTTTCCCCTCGGTTTCTGAAGATGAAGTGTCGGGTCCAGCGCCTTCCACGTTCCTTGAGAAATGAATGAGCACACGACCTGGATCAGAAAGAAAGAGCTACACACCCCTGCTGACGAGCCTTGTCTGCTTTCTCTTGAGCAGTATCCAGGGCCTGAGATGCTTTGTCTTTCGCATTATCCTTGACATCATCAACAACAGCACGGCCCTCGCCAACAATTTGCTTCCCAGATTTCTGCGAGCCGTCCCCTGTGGTTACCGTGGCATCATCATCGCGGGGGTGATGCTCAACGACCGTGTCCGTTCCGGGAACTTTGGCCTCCAGAACTGGTGTTTCACTAGGGCCAGCTTTGCGTCCATTCTTGGTAACGAACTCATCTTGGGGAGCAGCCTCGTCGATACGGGAAAGCTCTTCCTCGCCGGGACGCAAGCTCTCGGCGACTTTGGACGCTCCTTTAGCAAGTAGGTCTCGTCCAATGACCGAGAAGTCGGAAAGTAACTTGCGAACTTCGGAATTTGTGAGGATAAGGGAAAGAATAGTGCGCAGATGGCGAACGGCTAGCAAAACATTGGATTGAGTACTTTGCAATTAGGTAACGAGCGCACACGCACCAATCTGGCGGTCTTCGTCAATTTTGGCACGATCGACGGGTGCGACTGCGTCGGGGTCCATCTTTACGCTGTCAAGAGAAATATCGCGAGTATTCCAGATAAAATTCTGGAAAAGTTCGTCGGCGTTTTTCTCGGTGACTATGAGACGCGCAGTTTCAATAATTTCACGAGAGTCTTGAACAAGTTTTCGCCCGTCTGGAGATAGCTTGTTCTCATCCACTGGTGATGTCTTCAGCAAATGCTGCAGTGTCTCATCTATTTGATGATTATCTGGCATACGCCCTTGGCGAAATGCTTCAATCACCGCCGTAGAAGTTGATCTGGTCCAGGAATTCGATTGAGCAAATATTGTTTCGACTATTTGAATGAAAAGCTCACCTTTCTGGAGACATCAGCCTCCTTGGCAGCCTTGTCCGTTGGTGCGGCAACAGAGCCTGCCTTGGGATGTTCTGAGATATCTTTGGTTGCTGGCGGGAGAGACATGGTAAGGTAAAGAGGGTTTTTTGTGTTTCAGTTTGTGTTTTCAACTGGTTTTATGCATGACCGCAATGCGACGTCATTCTGTGCAGACCAACTAGTAATGACATCACTTCCCCCCAGCAGAATTGCCTATTTTGGACTCCGACCACCGCCGCATACTCTGGAGGCACGGTGGAGTTTGTCTTCGATCTTGGACGCAAATTTTACAATTGCTTTCATGCATCATAAGGGAGCCCAACTCCAAGCTAGAAGCGATAAGAACTCAAAAACAACGACCGGAGCTAATCCTCTAGGTTTGTGTGCTCCTACACAGGGTGGTGCAAAGGTAGCGCTAGTGGTGCAGAACAAGAGCTGGATGGACGGTGGGTGAGCAGGGCAGAGCATTGTGCAGTGAGGTGGCAAAGAGCAGGGTGCTGACAAAGATGTCGTCCAGGCACGATATAGCCTAGTGCAACTTTAGCCAAGCACTTACAGGACTACAAGTTGTCGACGCTGTGCACCGTAAGGTTTAGGCACAGGGTTAACGGTACTCGCCGACCCTATTTACATAAGCGCCCATAGCATGACCATTTCTTACCGTGTAATAAGTATCTCTGGCCAAGCCGAGATTAGACTCATACACCTCCGGTTCGGAAGAGTTTATCAGACTCCGGGAGCGGGGAATAGCACAGATGGACTCCTGGCCTCGCTGACTGGCGGCCACTGCAAGTCTCACGATATTATCGTCCCTGAGACGCCACTACCTGTCTATTTTGCCTTCACACAATTTGTGTTCTCACTGGCGTACTACGTTCTCATGTATATCATAAGCACACCCACCAACGGTTGCCCGACTCTCCATGAAGATCGTTTTGCCATATAGTCAGATCATGTCTCAATTCAGAAACACCAATCACGTCTTCCCCCCACACCTGCTCATCTTTACTGGCACAATTTTTTTCCAACTACTCTACTCGCCCAGTTGCGCCGAGATACACTTTTACTGGGAATATTTAACGTTACGAAGTCCGAGGTTCCGTTACCATTCTCCACACGCCGAGGTTGCCCCATAGATATCAGACAGGGTTATGCTAGTGGTAGCCCTTTCTCTTTTGCTTATCCTCCCTTCATATCTTCTGGTTCCAGCTACCCTTCTCGCTCCTCTCCGAGACAAACCAACAGTCAAGTGGCCAGCGGCGGTTTACAGAGTCTCATTGCACAGACTACGTAGCACCCAGATACAGCAGGTGAATGGTGAACTGGACGGATCCCGAAGTCGTCTCGCAATGCGGCATTATTGTAGAACACATTAATTTTCTGTGCCTCGGTCTGTACACGTGGGTATTCTTACTTCTCATCTTCAAGAACTCCTACTCATCGTCATGACCTGTAGGTGGGAGTACTCAAGATCATGGCAAGTTGAACTTGCTCTGATTTGCAGACGCATACAGCTCCGATGGCCTCTAGTGAGTACCAGCTTGTATGCTCGTGCATTGTTCACAAATGTGCCGATCTTATCAGCTGCCGTATATCACTGGTCGTCTTCTTCTGCTGACGTCCATGATTATGATGTGCGTATCTTATTCATTGACTGTTGCAGCAAACTCTCATGAACATCAGTTGCTGGCTCAGCAGTCCGACCCCACAGAGCGTGGATTGCCACAGTGAATCCCTCGTTAAATTTTGATCTGCTATACGCGTGCTCAGTTTCATTATCACAGGCGCTTTTTTGGCCTTTGTTGTGAGTGTGTTATGGTGTATCGCCCATTCATCGTCTCAATTGGTATCGCAGTTTGCAGGAAATGCATCCATTGGTTGCTCTTCTTTGAACCTAATGGTACGGCCGTGAGTTTCAGTGGCAATCTCGATTGTCGAAACCCTTCCTCAACATGCACAGATTCGTAATCTGGAGAGCGTTCAAATACATCCGTATATTTCTGGTATTAGCCACGGTTGGCCATTGGATCATGCTGCTACGGGGTCAGTTGTCTGAAGCAATACTATAATTTGATCTTTAACACCGCCATCGCAGTAATGGTCGATTTCTCCGTCATGGAAGTGGACGGTAGCTGTGGCTTCATGGTCATTGACCATACTTATATGACCAGTATATTTGTCTACAGTACGTCCCAGAGATAGTGTTTCATTCCATCCCTGACGCCTTGCACAGCGATGTGTTATGATATCCTGGCGCTTGCTTTGACTATAATCGGCCTTCGGAATACGCCATCGTCTAGTGCAATGTGGAAAATATTGCGCAAACAGGGGATAGCATACGTCTTGGTCACATGCTTCGTAAATATCATACCATCTGTGCGTGCTACTGAACAGAATCCAAGATCCGTCTGATTCCGTATCTCCTGCGAAGGTCGTGGCTTCGTTGAATCTGAATGGTAAGTGGTCTTCTGCCATCTTGATTTCATTTCGAAATTTACAGTACACTAGCTGCCATGAACGTTGTATTTGCAATGCCGGGTAAGTTGTTGCAGAAGCCTTCTAATCACTGTCTGATTATTGTTATGCCAGCATCTGTCGTCAGGTCTGGATCTACAATGTTATCACGCTCGCCGTTTATTCAGCTACTTTACAGCACTATCGCATCGAGTCGAATAGTTGTTGCCTTCCTGGACGCACAGTCGAGGTACGAGTGATAATATGATTTTTCAATCATATTCTCAACATTTGCAGCGCCTCCACGGAAGAGACAAGTAGTCGAGGTGTGCCACTTACCACCATGCTGACACTGCCCACGTGAGCTCTTAATTTGAACTTTACCGTCATTGAATGATGGACATGGCACACAGTTCATCCCATATGGATGCCCAAGACTCTGTATGATGTTTGGGACAAAATCGATCCGTCAGCCCCTGATGACAAACTTGGGGGAGCGTATTTGGATTCCTTGACAACGATATAGTATGGCCTTCACAGAGCTAGCCACGCACACACCGGGTTTGGGGATAGTACAGAAGCCGCATCAGTAGTATTATGGACTTCGCCTCATTCTCATACGCTAGACTTCCATTATTTTATTTTATTTGGCGATATTGTCCAGATAGTGAACTAGCAAATGAATTTTTTCACTTGCTTGGAGACGGCCTTCTCACGAACTACTGACATCTGTGAGCATATCCTCCATCAACAGGGTGCGAGCGTGGGTACAGCAAGTAGCTTTCATCTAGAGTACCGCATGGCTCTCCTGTGGCCGTTTAAATGGTATATGATCTTTCCGCTGCACAGTTCGTGGTGGACTCAGGCTAATAGGGGTCGCGTCCATGCGAGTCCTTTGCACAGCTTAGTCAGCACGTAGACTAAAATGTTCGTCAAGCACAGCATCATCAACTTTTGCCTTGCTCTGGCCTTGAGCGCTGAGCCGCCGGCCCCTGCTCCAGTGGCATCACTGCCTCTATATATAAAATCCCCCTGGAACTTCATCGGTGATATGTTCCGAGTCGTTCAGGTCCCTCAGGCTGACGTACCTAATCGGCAAGTATCAATTTCCCAGCACCAACTGCCCACGCCGGATCACATTGTGAACACTGAGTCAACCAGGGAGCCGAACTTCAGGAGCTGGGAGCTTGGGAAACGATATGTCTTTGGTTACCTATTTCGAGACTCTGGACGAAACACGTTCGTCGACGCCAAATCCCTTGTGCCGCCGGGCCATTCCACCGCCTCTGACTGTGAAGGTCTGAACAATCTCAATGTCTAGTCCTTGGGTTGCCTCTGGATGGTTGGATTCACTACTTACCCGAAATGTTGCTCTGCCATACCTCCGAGTCCTGGAATTCGGGTTGGCTATCGGGCAAAGTTGTTCAACTCGGAATTCACTATCAAGAAATATAGTGTATGATCAGCCAGCAGAACTAATATTGACTATAACTTAATGCAACATACAGTCAAAGCACAGCCCACCCAAAACCCAAACATCGTTGATACCGAACCCAAAAGTACTACAGACGCCAAATCAGAGATCAGCGGAACACTGGCGACCCATAAATATGCGACAAATACAAATAAAGATATCACTGGTATAAATGGTATAACTATCATGGGATCACGCCCTGGATACTGGGAACTCCACTTCCCGGGCCATCTCGTTCAGAAGGAATGGAATATCATCTTCGGCTATACCACATTCCTGCAAGACTGTCGGCCAGTTATGTTGCTCGTAGCCTTGGTCTTGTTGGAGGCACTGGGTCACCCCACGGCGAACAACAGGAGAAGCGGCGCACAGCCGCAGAGCATTGTCTAGTGGAAAACTGAAGTTTTGATTATGACTTGCAGACCGTTCGCGGAGTGTAGGTGAATCGCGATATGGAATGGGAAAGTCACCCCCTGAGCTCTCGGATGCGTTTAAGGAGCCTTCCCGACTGCGTAAAAACATGCTAGGAATGTCCGTCTCCGAAGGGTAATGTTCCACAACGACGGGTTGCTGGGGTAAATTTTCTTCCTTCTGTGGTGAATAACTGATGTCGCCTCGAGTGACCGCAGCTGATTGTGAGGAGAATCCAGAATAGAGTGGTGAAACAATCTCCGGTGTACGAGGACTTGGATAACTGGAATGCGAACTAGAAGAGCTCTTGGAAGTAGACGAAAAAGGCCGAGAAATGGTTGGCGACGGTAGGTGCAGTCGCGGGATATGCGAATTATAGTCGTCGGTTGCATCTAGTGGAAGATCGGGGAGGGGAGACGTCGGAGGTGGAGAATTGTATGAAGTTCGGAGTTTTTTTGGAGAATGGGTAAGTGGTGATGACATCGACGATGATGGGAGAGTAGAGGAGCGAGAACAACTGGAGCCGATTTGAAAAGCGTACGGTGAGAGTACGGGCAACCTTCCTGGGGCGTTGGTGGGTGGCAGCGAAGGTCTCCTCAACGAAGTCTCGTAAGCCTTGTATGAAGCCTCCTCGGGTTGTAGCCGATCCTCCTCTAATATTGCGTGGTCTACGTGTTGAACGGGCGAATAAGACAGTTGTAACCAGCTTTGGGGGGTGGAGGGGCCAGGACTTGGAGTTGCAAAGTCTCGCACCGCCGTTGCGCTCTGATGACTCTCCCGGCGGGTCCTCGCAGCCGTTTCACGAAGAACAAAGTCAGGCAGGGGTAAATCTGGTGATCGTGGAAGACACGTGGTTGCTCTAGCGTCTCGGAAAGCGGTATGCAAAGTGATGTCATTGATGAACTACGTGCAGGAAGTTGTGTTAACAGAGGGCGATGACAGTAAAATCTCAAGGCCACCAACTTTCAATTCCAGTTGTCGCAATTTTTTCAAAATGTGTTCTGTCGGCCGTCCTTTCTCTTGCTTTCGTGCTATGTACCTCGTAAGAGCTTGCCTAGCCTTGTCAGTATCAGTCCCGCAATTGGCGAGCACAGTGATGACCTAACGCAGTAAGTATGCATGAATATGAACGCGGGAATAAGATAACTCACCTCCATTTGGGAATCACCGTTGAATATAGTGCTCATGTTACTAAGTAGGGTTTCCTGTTTGTATCAGGCAGTTTTGACGGAAGTGGATGGTATAATGATAACTTGAAGAGGGGGGAAAGTGTGCCAGCGAGATTCAAGTAGCGCCTGGATTGCGCATGAACGTTTATGAACGATTTGAAACGTCACCGCAGTTTGCCAGATAACCGGGAACTGCGTTCGGTATACCAGTACCCACCAAACGTGCCAATATTAAATTACATCAACGCACGTTCGCCGACGTAGATGGCAATATTCTTTTGAAGAATTGTCGCCGCGGAGCTCAATTTCACCTGTTACAGTCTCTGGGAATGAGTTCCTCTATACTGTGACAGCTTCAGAATTCACTTACATCCCAGAACGTAAAGGTGCATCGTGCGTTTTTGGCAGGGATACTCCCGTGCTCTCCCTTGAAGTACTCATTCATAGCACGTTCGTCTGCATCGCCCTGTATTTGCTGATAATAGTAGTACCGGCCAAGGACTACTGAAATGGACTATGACTCATCAGCAGCACCGTCACGGTCTTCGGAAGAATCCCGACAGGACCGTCACGACTCACTATAAGCGCGTAGGATAAGAATGGCTACTACGTTCTCGTCAGGGTCGGAAAGAAAATCACTACAGATCAAGGCACTTCATTGATATTGATGAGCCATGTAATCATGATACACAAGCCCCACGACCGGCATCCTAGTTGTTCAGTTGATCCACAATTCTAGTCTGCGGACTCATGGCCGACCACTGGGTGTTCCCTCTACGTACAGTTCGAGCAGGTAAAAGACTTCCACTTACACAATAGACAATTCATTCGAGTCGCAACCACACTGTTTCCGGATCTCCAGTTTGACGGAACTTCCTTGAACGTGACAACTCATGTGAGTTTGATGATCATGATGGACATACCACTTACCAAACACAAACTGATTACAGGTCCGAATACATGCCTCAGGCTGTCAAGTTCAGTTCACGGCATTCTATGTTGAACGTTCCACTAAAAATGGATGATCTACCTAAGGGGTGATTGAATGGAGGAATCGAGCCACAACCTCCTTCGAACGTAGGAGGATCCTGGATTAGAACTAAGGCTGACGTAGGCCGGGTGGGGGTAAATTTCGTCGAGGCAATGTTCTAACGTGTAGGCCCAGCAGAATCAGCACAGTGCTGGCAATAGAATGGCTCTACGGGTGATTTCGGGGAGCATAAAACCGAGCCGGTCTCTTTGGCCGCATCACATTTTTACTCTGCCTTACCTCATCTCAACCTTATGTAAGTGTCTCAACCTGTCAGAAAATAATTTACCTTAAAGGTGCTCAATTCTTAATTATGTAAGCACTTGTCAGGTTCTGAAAAGGTATGTCAAGTATAGGATTTTGCATGTCTAAAACGCGCGGCGGGAACGGCGGACCGGTGGAGGCAAGCTTCACACCGGGGCATTCATGAATCTAGAGCTGCGGGGGGGCACAGGGGCCCCCAAGACTAGATAGTATTGTCTTACATAGAGTTACACTCTCAAAGACAAAAATTTGGATTTAAAAAAAAAAAAAAAGTATAGGATTGCGCAGCGCCGAAACGTTCTCGAGCCCTCATGCACATGCAGCAGCCCTAAACCTTTCCTAGTATCTTAGTCTTTGTTAGGTTTTTTCTTTTTCTTGAATACAAGTGAAAATAAATCTATACCATGATAAAAAAAGGTTTAGATAAGGTTTAAGACAGCTGAGGGTTAGGCATGGCGAGGGTTAGGAATGTTAGCACTCTTCGTCAGGTTTGGGAAGTACGTACTAGTGCTGAGAATTAGGACCACGTACATGTATACCTCTAGATACTACTAGTACTTATACAACGGTACTGCACAGTGGTTTCAGCGTGTAGCGCCGAAACTCCGTACGTGTAAGGGTTTCCTAATTTGGTGGTGTCATTCAAGTTGTTTGGCGGGCGACTTGAACCTGACAACTTGACGCCTTAAATTAATAACTGTCACAATGACCCAGTAATCCTTGAGCTTGAGGGTCCTTGACAAGGTCAGACAATCAGATGATGATTTTCGTGCTAAACTCTTTTCCATTCAATGGCTGTCTAATGACCATTTGGGACTCCAGGAATTACTGGCCTTTGATTTATCAAGCTGGCGACCCTCCGAGTCTGTACCCACACGACCAAGGCTGTCACTATGTCCATCATCGCGAGGTCCTGAACTATTAACCGCGACTCTCTCCACCCTCGCGATGCCTTGTACCAGCGCAATTCGCGTCATTCCCGCTACCCTGGTTGTTTCCCACCTCCAGATATCTATGAATCCGGTGAGGTTCGCGCAGAGAGAGTGTGTGTGATTTCAACACTCAAGAGTCGGGATAGCTCCCCTGCATCAGTCACTTACTCAGGGTGAGGGAGAACATTCATACCCCTTGAAGCTGATACGTAAGCCCTGTTTGGTACTATGTTTCATAATGTGTTATGTCAATACCAGTATATATAGCTGCTGCGTAGCCTTAGTTGTCTCGTTCAGGACATCGTACCTCCAGAACACTAACAATCTTGCGCAGGAACATGGATAATCACACTTCCAGACTGGTACGTTTTCCTGTATTGGAAAACTTGAATCTATGGGGATCTCATCAAACCTAAGTATCAAATGATGGGAGGATACAATAGGGTCACTATACCGATGGTGAGAGAGGCTTGGTATAAATTAAACTCGCTGATAAAACCAAGTCTAACAGACCATGAGAACATCGGGACAGTGCTGCGGAGGGCGCGTGAATAAATCTCTATCAACTTGAAGCAGTGCCACGGTGGTCAGGGGTTTGATCAAAAAATACCATATGGGACGCTCAGCATCAATCCCGCTTTCTGATCTAGGAATCTTCGTTCGAAGTGATGAGATTCTTATGCTAAACTCTTTTCTATTCGATGGCCGTTCAATGTCCATTTGGGACTCCATTATTGTCCTAAATTTATCAAGTTGTCTTTTGATAGATTCTGATTATCATTTGCGGAACAACGTAAGTAGTGCGCACCACTGAACGTTCGAACGTTCGAGCAACCATCAGTCCCCTAACTGCCAGGTTCTAAGTATCGTGTGCATCAACGTACAGTACCATCAAGCTCCTCTGACAACCTCGAACCGACGATGATCAGTTCTGAAAGAAGAAACCGGTCCCTGTTCGTCTATTCACTATTATCCAGTTTGCGCTTCTTGGTCTGCCTAGTGTCGACCTGAGAACTCGACGCCATCGCAGTATGAACTCTATTGTTATTCGCTGCGACAGTTGGTCTCGAGACGCTGTCAGGTACCTGTGCTGCAAAGCCAGGCAAGTCGCCTGCAGAGCGCGCGTGCGTTTCCCAGACTTCGGGATCAGGAAAATCGGTCGCCCTACCACGCGAAGGACCGGCAGTAGCGTTTGCAGCGGTGTTGGCAGCGGGGGCTGTGATGGAAGGATGGTAATAAGGGTAGTATACCCCATTAGGGCCCGTTGCACCAAGAATGATTGTACCAGATGGGCCGGAGGCATATGTATATGACATTGCAGTATTGTTCACAGCGGCGTTCGCATTGCTTCCTGCAGTGGGGGTCTGGTTGTGGTAGGTATTATGTTGAGAGTAGTACGCATGTGCAAAAGCAGCGACTGCCGCCCCGTGATCAGCACCGCCCGTTGTGTTCACAGATCCAGATCGCACACTTCCAGTGGGGACGCGTGCTTCTGTGGATGTAGCAGTAGTTGGGACTGGATTTGCCGTGCGCGTGGACGTAGTACCGGAGCCTCCAGCAGATCTGCCCGAAGGGTCGCACCTTACAACCTTAGTGGGGGCGGCTGCCGTTGACGCGCTCGCGGTTGGAACTGCTGTGGATGCCGGGGCAATAGGGCGCGGGCGGGCGGGTATAACGATCGTGATAGGGGCCGACGCGCCACTACCCCGCCCTCGTCGGTCGCCTCTATTCCCCCTCGCACGCAGATAGAGACGACCGCCTCTAACAGGGGCTGATTGTGCCTGTGCCGAGTCCTGAGTGCCAGTCGTTGCCCCCGACAACGTTGCAGTGGTATTCGCATGTCCGGCAGTGTCGGGTCCTGATGATGCATGAAACGCGGAGGGTGGGAGTCCAATGGGCCAGGGCACAGCCAAAGGAGGGTGCCGTACGGTAACGGGCGCTGGCCTCAGATTCGAGCTAACGGCAGGGCTGGTGATCGCTTGTTCCGAATTCCAATCAATCGAGATTTTTGAATTAGTTGTAGACTGAGATGCTGAATGGGTGTTAGTGCGTATCACGGGCATGCGAGGAGGCATCACTCTGCCGCAAGTGGGACACTTGGCGCCTGTAAACACGACTACATTCGCCTGCATCTTGTGCAAGATCCCACGGATCCCATGGAGAGGCGTATAATACAAGCTCCCATTGTTAGGCGTATGATAAATACTGGCAGAGGGGGTGCACACCACTACACCCGCTGCAGAAGGGTTCGGAGTTGTTGCGTTCTTCTGTGTAACTTGAGAGACAGCCTTGCATGTTTCATGTTTCGACGTTGTCGAATCCTGCTCTTTCTTTGCCTGTTCTTTCTTGCGCTGTCGAGCTTTGGTCTGCCTCTCACTTTCAGCTAGTGCTGCTGCTTGCGCTTGCTTGGAAACCTTGACTTGTCTACCAAATCTTGTCGTCACAGGAAGGTTCACAGGAAGGTTCAATGGTGACCGAGCTACATTGCAAGGTCATATATCACTATCCTACAATGAGTATCTCAGAAATGACTTACGCCGGTGTTGCTCAAGGGTATCGTGAATACGAGAGCTGGATTCCACAGCAAAAGGCAATTGTTGGCTCATCTCGAAGTCTGATGAAAAGCAGTCAGACATAGATTTAGAGCGCTGATCAGACCACTCAACCGTATCCAAACGCAAAGTCCTCAATATCCAGGATGGCAGCTCCACGACCATGCATATTTGCAAGTGCTGCATCTGCGATACTATCAATAAGTTGGGTGTGGGCTTCATAGAAAGTGTTCGTGATGATCGTCAAAAGCTATAGGAGGCGATCATATTGAGAGCTCTGGGTATTGAATGGTTCTTACCACAGGTATATCGCTTCCCACAGTTGACATCCCAAAACGCGCACGAAAGTACTCTGTTGCCCATCTGTGCACGTCCGTGAAGTTCTCGATCAGCTGAGGACCAAGTTGACGAGATGGATCAATAGGAGGATTTTTGGGGTGGTCGCGATTGGCAAGCAATTGCAATGCCCCCTGGATAAATTGAGAAGGCTCGTTAAGCTATAGAACGGTCAATGTGGTGTTTATGTGACATGAACAGAAAGAACTTACCGATACATTAACCCTCTGGCCAAGTGGCAGAGGAATTTGCCTGTTGGCATAATCCTGTAGGATAGGCTGAGTATGTTCAACCCATTCGTCGGTTGACTAGAAGCCGAGTCGTGACATGCAACAATTAGACGGAGCGCCACAACTCACAGAAAAATCGGGTGATGGATATAATAGATCTTCATCATCCGATGAACCAAGATCAGTTGGGTGTCGACCAGAAAAGAATTGGTGTTTTGTCAAAGTTTTCCCCTTGCCCTTTGCGGCAGCAGAATATCTCCCGTCAGGATTCTTCTTTGGCATTTCCTGAAGTGTGGGCTGCACCAGCGGTGGGGCAACGGTTGACGGTAACCACGAGCCCATGCCACCAGGCAAGAGCCCACGTAGTTGGTCAGGAATAGTGGTGGAGTATACATTGTGATACATGCCATAATTCGGAATGAAAGCTGGCATTGTGGCATCGGAAGGACCGTAATAGTAGTGTGAATCTGCCGCTGTGGTGTGTGGTACTGACACAGGATTGAAGACAGGCTGGTATGCCTCATCCTTACCATTGGGGAGGGTTGTTCGAGATGAGGTGAATGACGCAGTATCTACGTTTGAGGCATCTCGTTCGACACGAGTGGTTCTTCCAGCCATATTGGCGATATAGAAAGTGAGTGGTTCTGTCTGCTGAGTGAAAACTGGTACTTAAGAAAGACCAAGGTGTGCTGTGGATGTCCATCGCACGCAAACAGGTTGTCGCTGCTTCGAAAACAAAGGTGCAAAACACAGATTCGGCGTGAAAGAGTGTTAGACAAAGGGAGGATACGACTCGCAAAGGCCATCACAATGCCGCTATATAATGGATCTGCATTGTCTGTGATTCAAGTTGTAGACTGCAGGATATATGAAGTTTAAAATTTGGAGCTTGAAGGTTAATATTAACCGACAAGTACTTGCAATTGCCGAGTACGGGCATTGCCAAGCAAGTTGACGTAAGTGACGATTTAATAATTTATGCGCCCACAGCGGCCCACTAGGCCGCTACGCTCGTCGACTGATCAATCGATCAACTACTAGTAAACCCACATCGATATTCAAATTAAAGCTGTGTATATAATTAGCATCGTAGTTACATGTCTAGGTACACTTCCTGCTATGGCACTGCCGCGATACCCTTTGAAGCGCACCCGGATGTCAACTCGAATTGCCTTCTATGGTCCTGTTCAAGCCCGGTATACCTGTAAATAAGTTAGCCGTTGAGCGCTAAGCAGCTCAATCTTTATCAATAACCGAAGGCTATCAGTCAAGATACGGTTCACAACGTTCACAGCCAACGCCCAGATCAACAACCACACCACACTAGTTCCCCACGCGCGTCAGCAACAGCAGCGGACAGCACAGGCTTAGTCGAAAGGCAGGCAATACTATATATAAGTCCCCTTCTCTGTGCCAGCAGTCGCCGTCACTGTTCTCCCGTTTCCTCATCCAGGGACAACTTTCATTTCTTTCGTCGTGTCATCACTTGTATATATATTTCTAGGGTGCAGGCCATCGTCCTCTAGACCATCATCTATAGACTTACTATATACCAGCCACGACCATGTCCTTCCGGATCTCGTTCTCCGACCTCTTTTATTTTACTCGTAATGCGAGAAAAGCGCCTCTCATCCCAGAGGGTTTCGTCCTCGAAACACCTCCAGAGCGCAAAGCTGCGGAAATACAGCTCAAGCCAGAGCCTCCAACATTCCCCTCAATACTTCCCACCACTTCCCAATCACCAGAACCTTCGCCCGCATCTTCCGTCCTGGAGATATCCCTGGCGCCTGTTATTTCCACAGAAAATAATAGCACGGAAACCCTCGTCAACGTTGTTTCAAAAGCCGGGTTTCCACCCCCCATTCTGCAACTCTACCCACCTGCTAATAAGGCTGGGCATACGCGACGCATATCGTTCGCGGATTGTGTCATGCCCTCGCGTCCTGCGGAGCCTCTCGATGTCGTCGACGTTGGGGGCCGTCAGGTCCCCTCCAAGCCCTCCGCAGCCGCAGCGGAAACACCTGAGCAAGCAAAACCTTTCATAGGGGACGTTCCTAATGTGGAAAAGACGTCGAAGAGGAAGAGCATCGTGCGGAGTATATCCTTGCTTGCCCGTCGCGCGTCCGGCACAAAGGCACACCGCTTCTCGGTCCCTGCCTTTTCATCGCTGGTGGATGTCATGAATAAGCGGCCGTAGACCGCCCAGTTCAGGGGCGAGGGGAAGAGGACCCGAGCACCGCGATAGCCTAGGAAGAGAATTCCGCAAAAAAAACTGGAGAGGCGCACCGATGTTTGAATTTTGGTTTGGCATTATACACGTGTTCGATTGTACCCTATCCTATGATATCTGTAATTTCTGACTTAACCTCAATCACTAATTATGTACGTTCTATGACATGTAGCCTCATTTTGAACTAGGGATGGTCCATGCAGTATTGTGAACTACTTTGGTTTAAATCACGATCTACACAATAGTTTGGTATATTTCAAGACACTGTAATCGTATGGTATGGCATAGTTCTGGAACTGGGGAAATGTGATATACACAATTGACGTACGAAACGTTTATCTGGTTATCGTGCAGCTGCACCCATCTAGGTACTGTTCCGGATCCGCTCCCCATAACGCCGAAATATCCAGGGATTGCAGGTACAATGAATTGCAGGGGTGACAAGAGAAGGAACAAGAACGGAAACGTACGCAGAACAGCCCATAAGAAGTGCTGCGACTGCAAAAATGGTATCGCCCTTCCAGAACCTCAGTGTGCTGTACATCGCTGGAGCAAATAACGGAAATCCAAAACCAGCTAACAACCGCAGGAGACAAATGGCGGCCATAACTGATCACAAAAGGCGTTAGATAGGTGTGATCAAATGCAGAAAAAGTACCAGAAGTGGCATGAAGCGGAAAGCAATCGACGATGTCAAGCTGTATGCACTGGAAATTTAAGGCAATGCCTGCTCCCATGAGAACGACGCCCTGTCAAAAGTGTCATTAGAGGAACAGCACCGACAAAATGAAGCTAACGATATTCGGAACTGCCCAATGAGTGTAGGCTTGGGCACTCCGACCTGCGATCAAGCCCCCTCTTGGAAGTAGTTAGAAATCCGGGGAACATAACAGCTGATGCGGCACGTCTTGAACACTCAGGGGAGATGATATAATAATCGTGACGAACGTAATCTGAACTCCGGCTTTCCAATACCCCATGTCTGTTCTTGGAACATGCATGAACCTTTCCAACAAGACGGGGGCGTAAACTAAATGAAATCAATAAGGATGAACAAACTATGACCACTCGATTACTCACTATCTCGCAGTCCAGACAAGGGTTTTCACAGCCTCATCAAGCAATACACGTAAACCAGAACTATCGGAGAAATGAGAGCAGTATGATTGGTACAACTCATCTCCGAATACAGGTTGAGCGTTTAGCAATCCTGGGGAGAAGTTGTCAGTCCACCTCGACCTTCCGCATGGAGGCAACGTACCTACAAATATGTTGAGCTGGCTCGGCCCGTTCTGGCGGCCGAATGTGATATGTCACGGTCACCAAGTTCATCACTGTACGCCACGGTCAAGTGTTAGACCAATTGACTTGAACCCATCTACATCATCTACGAGGCAAGCTAGTTGATCGATTCTGAGACGGGGCTGTATGTGCTGAGAGGGAACTGTGACTCATCCGTGCACTCAGAGTGCGGGCCGCGGCCAGCCGGGAGCCATCGTCAATGAAGGCAGAACTCTGATCAAGTGTCACATCATCACATGTAAGGTGTATCGATAATCCAGGAACTCCACTTCCGCCAGGTATTAATAAGGACAGTGCAGATATAAGCAAGCTTATCTTTTCCCCTCCCCCAAACACTTCATCATGCCAGCTGTACAACCTCCCTGCAAGGTCCTCGTCTCTGGCGCGAATGGCTATATCGCGATTTGGGTCGTGCGCACCCTTCTCGAGAAGGGATACTCTGTCCGTGGAACAGTCCGGTCTGAAGACAAAGCAGTACATCTGAGGCAAATGTTCAGCTCGTATGGTGATAAGCACGAGGTGGTCGTCGTTGAAGATATCACAAAGGTGCGCATAGACAAGAAAGTGATCGCGCGGGACCTTATTGATGTATTTGAAATAGGAAGGAGCCTTTGATGAGGCGGTTAAAGGTGTTGATGCCATCGAGCACACAGCCTCCCCTTTTCACATGAACGCGGACGACCCGAATGGTACATTGACACGAATTAATCACCCTGATTTTTTATTCACCTGTTCTTAGAACTTATCATTCCTGCAGTCAATGGCACTGTTGGGATTCTGAAGAGTGCCCTCAAGTATGGGTAGGTGCTTCGTCGTCGTCTGAAAGCGTGCGCTGTTAATTGATATCGCGTCAGCCAATCCGTCAAGCGTGTCGTGGTTACTTCATCGGGAGCTGCGATTCTGCGTGATTCGCCAACGCCATCTGTTTTCTCCGAACTGGACTGGAACGAGCAATGTCTGGAAATTTTGAAGGAAAAAGGTCGTGAAGCACCTAATATGATGAAGTATCGTGCTTCAAAGACTCTTGCTGAGAAAGGTACGCGGTATCAAACATGCTCATCGTGAACCGGCGATTCTTATTTTCTTACAGCTGCTTGGGAGTTCTGGAACACACACAAAGCCAGTATTGGCTGGGATCTCACTGTTCTTAATCCACCTTATGTGAGTTTTTTTTCGATCTCGGGAATTTTAACTGGGGCGAACTCACCCATTTTCTCAATGATAGGTCTTCGGGGTATGTCAGAAACGTGCTTCTCATTGGGTTTCCCCTGTTTAAATCTACTTCCATAATAGCCCGCTATCAATGCGGCCACAGCACCATCGGGATTGGGCACGTCTGCTAACTTATTCTACAACCATGTCGCCCATCCAACCTCCAACGGAGCAACAAACGAGTTTCTTGCTTCCGTCGGTACAACCTGGATCGACGTGCGTGACCTTGCCGAAGCACATGTCATCTCGCTCGAGAAGGAAGCTGCAGGTGGCGAACGAATTATCATTAGTGCAGGTACGGTAGCTCCACCCATCCAGCAATGATCAGACACTTACCTTTTCCCCAGGACTTTGGAAATGGCAGGATTTCAGTAAGTGTACTCCGATGTGCCGTTGCTCTATCACTCACATAATATCTCGTAGTTGACGCTGCTAATACAATCTCGCCGCCACCGAAACTCGCAACGGGTGGTCTGCCGAAGGGTAACCCCGGTGCTGGTACTGGACACCCCTCCACGGTACACGTTCTTAACTACGACACCACGAAGGCTGCACGAATCCTGGGGCTCAAGTACCGAACTCTCGCAGAGATGACGAAGGACACGCTGGCAGACTATGAAGCCAAGGGATGGTAATTCATTTTATACTAAGAACTTTAGATGGAATGTACCGTCATAGCCGCAAACGGATGAATAAATGTGAGAATGAACGTTTCTACATAATCAGTACTTAGTACATGTGAAGCACATGCAATGGGAAAGCTAAAAGGTTTTGCTGAGACGAGCAGCTATAGCAGTATTCGAATCCCACCCCATATGCGTGCCACACCCGAGCTCTACATACACCCGCGCGCGCTCGGTAGTTACCTTGAGCAAGGTCATGCTGTTGGGATAATCTGTCAGTCACCTGACATCAAGCTGTGCAATCACGCGTTCCTGTGCAATCATCACGCGTTCCTGCACAATCACGCGTTCCATTTACCAATAAAGTACAAAATAAAGCGTGAATAATGATACAAATGCAACGCTCACTCAAGAACACGTTAACGCCCTACGGAATACCACCAGCAATAATAATACAAATATCACCAACAAGAATATGTCCGCGTCCGAAACACCGATACAAATACAATAAAGTCAATCGACACGACGTAACCTGTTCGCCCTTGTAACTAGTTGCCTCCGACACAGTCTCAGTCTCAGGCTTCTTGTGAGGCGGTTGTTGATCATTGGCTTCGCTGTCGATAAGATGTACATAGTTCGCCAGAGAGTGAGTAAAAGCTGCTGCAACGGTCGAAATAATGGATGGATTGAGAGCACCAATTAGCACCAAAGAGCAACAAACAAAAGCGTACACATGTGCAAATAGCCATAATGCCGTGCAATTTCGAGAATGGAATCGGAGCACTAGTCTCCTATTTGCGTGCGCTGTTTTGTCGCTTATCTCTGTGTCTCTGCTTTGCAATTGTACCCCACCTTTTCCGTTGAACGCGTGTCTTCTGAGCTCCACATGCGATCGCTCATTTCTCTCCCAACTATACTCCTGTTTTTGTACTAACAAACCTCATTCTCAACAGAATAGATCAATCAACGTCAACCAAACTCGAGACCCATTCCATTCCTAACCTTTCTCTCTTCATAGCCTTCGAGTTTGTTTTTCTCCTTGTCTCGTCAGAACCAAGTACGGCGCCCTTACAAAGCTGTATCGTGGAAGGTGTCCAATCAACGATGTCGACAACTTGAAAGAAGTCATCGTCATAGGTTGCGTCATCTGCTGCGTCAGATGTAGTAAGCATCAAGCTTACAGCGTCACATGTAAGGTGTATCGATAATCCAGGAACACCACTTCCGTGTAAGTAGTTAAGACTGTCGTCCCTTAACAGTTACGCCCAGACCGTTAGGCCAAAAGGCAATGATAATCAAAGCTTAAGCTTGATTATCTCGGACAGTATTTATGTTGATTATGGGAACTCAGGTAAGCAACGAGCTTACATTCCGCCAGGTATTAATAAGGACAGTGCAGATATAAGCAAGCTTATCTTTTCCCCTCCCCCAAACACTTCATCATGCCAGCTGTACAACCTCCATGCAAGGTCCTCGTCTCTGGCGCGAATGGCTATATCGCGATTTGGGTCGTGCGCACCCTTCTCGAGAAGGGGTACTCTGTCCGTGGAACAGTCCGGTCTGAAGACAAAGCAGTACACCTCAGGCAACTGTTCAGCTCGTATGGTGATAAGCATGAAGTGATCGTCGTCGAAGATATCACAAAGGTGCGCATAGACAAGAAAGTGATCGCGCGGGACCTTATTGATGTATTTGAAATAGGAAGGAGCCTTTGATGAGGCGGTTAAAGGTGTTGATGCCATCGAGCACACAGCCTCCCCTTTTCACATGAACGCGGACGACCCGAATGGTACATTGACACGAATTGATCACCCTGATTTTTATTCATCTGTTCTTAGAACTTATCATTCCCGCAGTCAATGGCACTGTTGGGATTCTGAAGAGTGCTGTCAAGTATGGGTAGGTGCTTCGTCGTTGTCTGAAGATGTGCGCTGTTAATCGATATCCTTTCAGCCAATCTGTCAAGCGTGTCGTGGTTACTTCATCGGCAGCCGCGATTCTGCGTGATTCGCCAACGCCATCTGTTTTCTCCGAACTGGACTGGAACGAGCAATGTCTGGAAAGTGTGAAGGAAAAAGGTCGCGAGGCGCCTAATGTGATGAAGTATCGTGCTTCAAAGACTCTTGCTGAGAAAGGTACGTGATATCAAACATGCTCATCGTGGACCGACGATTTTCATATTCTTACAGCGGCTTGGGAGTTCTGGAACACACACAAAGCCAGTATTGGCTGGGATCTCACTGTTCTTAATCCATCTTATGTGAGTTTTTTCTCGATGTCAGGAACTTTAACTGGGACGAACTCACCCATTTCTCAATGATAGGTCTTTGGGGTATGTTGGAAACGTGCTTCTTACTGGGTTTCCCCTATTTAAATCTACTTCTTTCATGATAGCCCGCTATCAATGCGGCCACAGCACCATCGGGATTGGGTACGTCCGCGAACATGTTCTACAACTATGTCGCCCATCCAAACTCGAACGGAGCAACAAACGAGTTTCTTGCTTCCGTCGGTACAGCCTGGATCGACGTGCGTGACCTTGCCGAAGCGCATGTCATCTCGCTCGAGAAGGAAGCTGCAGGTGGCGAACGAATTATCGTCAGTGCAGGTACGGTAGCTCCTTCCATCCAGCAATGATCAGGCACTTATCTTTCTTCCAGGACTTTGGAAATGGCAAGATTTCAGTAAGTGCACTCTGTTGTGCCGCTGCTCCATCACTCACATGATATCTCATAGTTGACGCTGCTAATACAATCTCGCCGCCACCGAAACTTGCAACAGGTGGCCTGCCGAAGGGTAACCCTGGTGCTGGTACTGGACACCCCTCCACGGTACACCTTCTTAACTACGACACCGCCAAGGCTGCACGAATCCTGGGGGTCAAGTACCGAACTATCGCAGAGACGACGAAGGACACGCTAGCGGACTACGAAGCGAGGGGATGGTGATACGTTTTATACGAAGAACTTTAGACGGATTATACCGTCATACCCGCAAATGTATAAATAAATGTGATAATGAACGTTTCTAGTGCATGCTTCCCCTCGTTGCATGTTCGTGCGGCCTTCTCAAATTCTAATGTCGGCGGAACACCTATATTTGAATGTGCTACCGGTTTAAAGCGGCCGTCAAAATGTCAAGTTACAAGAGGGTCGCATTGATTTTAAAACACTCTGATTGTGCAGATAGATGTTTGTTGACACCTATTAGGATTAGAAGCCGTTGACAGACAGAGCCAAACAGCTATAAGTGACTCTACATGAGTCGACCATGGGCCATATTACATCAATCAGTATCTGTTTTTAGATCACCACGCCTTTCCTGAGTTTTGGCCATGATTGCTTGAGGTGCTGAGGTCCACAGGACCCTCATACACATCTAGCATTGCCCACGCGCAACGCGTTCTTCTGTTTTGCCTTTAATCCACATTCACAATGGAAACAACTGAAGAACTCCAACAACTCGAAATCACCGCATTGAAATCCATTTATGATACAGACTTCTTCGAGCCACCGCCGCCCAAGGCTTGGAAGGTCCGTCTACTCGTTTTCTTGAATTAGTACGCAAATGTGTATATCCATGTCTAGGGAGCCACCAGATTGCCCGAATTCATCATCAAAGTCACCCACCCCGATCCGATCCATGCCTCCAAGGTCTACTTTCACTTGCATACCAGGTCAGAAAACCCTGATGCTCATATATTCCTCTTTCCTAATAACTGTCTTGTTAGACTACCTAAAACATATCCCACACTTGCAACCCCCGTGTTCACTATACAGAAACCTCGCGGTATTAACCATGATCATGAGATAACTCTTCAGAAAGCCATTCATTCTGAGGCTCAGATGCTTCGGGGATCTGAAATGGTCTTCCAGGTGCGCATATATCCACTTTTCAAGTTATCTTCGTGCCTCTCACGATGTGTTTTATCGCGACTAGATCATTACGTCGGCTCAGGAGTGGCTAGCTGATCACGTCCATCCTGCCATTGAATCCTCCGGCTCTCTTGCCACTGAGATGACGAAGCGTGCTTTGGAAGAAGAGAAGGTATGCTCCCCATTATTATCTTACTGAAATGTATTGATATCTGAATTAGGAACGAAAGCGACGAGAGGAGGAAGAGGCCGAAAAGGAGTTTGAGTTAGCAGCTCAACGTGCCGAAGAACTTCAGGAACAGATTCAGGCTGATGCGCAGAGGCATATTCTTGCCAAGGAGATGCAGTATAAGGCAGCTCGGCGAAGGGCACAGTCTGATGCTACTGAAGTTCCCTCCTCGGGAGACACCCTCACAGAGTCCTTTCCCAGTGAAATCGAATTCAGGGGAGTACGTTTCAATGTCGTCAAGATGTTTCATCCGCGAAAAGGTCAGTTTAGTTTTACATTTGTGTCCTCTAGAGTACTTACCTCGTCGAGGAAGAGTGTCTTGGTATCACATACCTTGCAGATCCGTTGTGTGACGACGTAAACGCAACACTACCGCTCGAGGTCCACACCATCAACTTTAATTCGGACTACTACACGACTACTCAAGGTCAGATCAATGCGCCTCATCCTAAGGTACCTGACTGACCGCCTCTAGGGAAGAAAAAATTACACGCAGCAGAAGCCGAGATTCAGAAACTCATCAATATTCAGCACCCGAACCTTCTAAGCACTCTTGCTGTCAAACTGAACTTTCCTTACTCTGGCGCTCCACCGCGCATGACCATTCTCTCCGAACAAAGACCTGCGTTAACATTGCAAGACGTTCTTGAGGATTGTGAACGTCTTCGAGAAGATCGAGCATCAGTTCGTCGTGGAGTCTCTTGAACATTATCGTAGCATTGAGATACTTTGACTCTTCTAGGAATATCTTGGTCAGATTCTGTCTGCCCTGAACGCGGTCCATTCGGCCGACATAATTCACAGAGGTACGACCTGAGTCTTGACCTGTACAATAACTTATATCGTTCTAGGTCTTGACATTTCTTGCATCTATCTTGCTACGAGAGAGAACAGAACCCACACCAAGATGGTCAGGTTAGGAAAAGTTGGTTATCATGCACGCTTGAAGGACTACCATAAGTCTAATCCGTTTGGCAACGGCATATCAAACGTGAACGAGGAAGAGTATATACGTCCAACACCTTGGTAAGTGGTGTGGGGATGACACATCAGGGCTCCTCATCATCTGAACGACCATTGCAGGTTATCCAAAGATGTCCTTGAGTCTGTTCTATCATACACTCGAGGACGCGATATACACAGTGTTGGAGTGATTTTCATGCAAATGGTCGATGGACGAGACGTCATGAGACAGTTTAGTGATCCTAATGAGGCCGTGCAAGCCGGTAATCTAAGTTCTATCACACTTTGTTATGCTGGAGCTTATTTTGCTTTTCAGCGGCTCTTTCTCCTACTCTCCGAACATGTGCACTGAATATGTTGATGCACGCGAAGAAAGTTTCCTGCTTGAGCCTTTTAGCTGAACTGGCATCGGCAGTGCCTCTTCAATCCCCACGACGAATCGGAATCCCCACAACAATTCCATTCATCAACACCGGTAACATTGATAGTTTACTTCCATGTCTTTCTCTCACCCATTTCTCCAGATCTCAGGAGTCCGAAACCCAATGGATACTTTGGCTCTCCTGAGAATGACTACTTCCGAATTCCTCAGCGCACTGCTCCAGCCAGTCGCTGGAAGGAGGATTGGGAGGAGCTCGAACTCTTGGTATTCTAACGTATATAATACTTTGTTCCCTCGCTCACACCAGTATCTAGGGCAGGGGTGCCTTTGGATCTGTGGTCAAAGCTCGAAACAAGATTGATAATCGCATCTATGCAGGTATGTGGTTTAAAATTCAAGAAACGGATATCTAACAGACCTTGCGCCGATGTATAGTCAAAAAGATTCGTTTACGATCAGACAAGGACGACAACAAGCTGTTCCGCGAAGTGAACGCTTTAAGTCGGCTGTCGCATCGTTTCATCGTCCGATATTACACGACGTGGGTCGAATTCAATGAGTCAAATTCAAGCATAATGTCTTCAAACTCTGACACTGGATCTGATTCTGGGACTGAGGGTGGCATGACATCCGTGCCCAAATCGTACGAGCGCGAGACGTCTGATCCATTCAAGGTAAAATTGGAGGACCTGGACGATTATGGGTCCAATAAGACGTCTTTTCCGAGCATTCATTTCACACGGCCCGAGATCAAGAGTGATAACCAAGAAGAAGACGAAGAGGACGATGACAGCGATGAAGATTTTGGCAATCTCTTTTCCTCGGAGTACACTACAGACGAAGACACTCCGAAGGATCCTATCCAACCTCGAACGTTGTACATACAGATGGTCAGATCTGTACACCATGAGCGTCTTTACTGAATTCACTTCTTCACTCAGGAATTTGTTGAGCGTCAGACTCTGAAAGAGGTACGACGTTCGTTACTCATATTGTACATGAATCGATTGAATGATTATCGTCCAGCGAGTGGCAGAGGGTTTGTCTGAAGAGGAGGCTTGGCGGTTGTTTTATCAAATCCTCGATGCCTTGGTGCACATGGGTAGCATGGGTATTGTATGTGAAATCTCGCTTGACTGTCTGTCTTTTCTCACGTCACACCAGCTTCACCGAGATATCAAGCTCACGAACATCTTCATTGGTATGAACTACTCTTACCTATGTGTTCCAATACGCTTACCCTTCACTCAGATGGGAAGGGGGACTGCAAAGGCAAGTACTTGAGATGTACTCTTGAGTGCTGGATTTAACCTCATGACCAGTCGGAGACTTTGGTTTGGCCACCTCGAGTTTAGCTGCTGTTGACCCCTCAGATCTATCACCGTCTGTCGTCCATTCAGACTCAGAACTGACGCTCGGTTTGTCACAAATCGCTCAACAACGATTATCACTGACGCTGAGCAGAGGTTGGAACGAAGTTGTACATCGCTCCCGAAGTCCAGTCTAGGAAACGAGGACCCCGCAATCACAATAAAGCCGACATGTATAGTTTGGGGGTGAGCAAGCTTTCAGAATCCGCCGAACATAGCCTCATACTTCTTAGATTGTTTTCTTCGAGATGAACTTTTCTTTTTCCACGGGCGCGGAGCGTATAGCTGTGCTCGAAGACCTAAGGAAGCCCGAGGTATACTTCCCTCGAGATTGGAACCCTCACCGCTCTAGCCAGAAACAAAGTTGGTTCAGATCGACTGACAGCATTTTAATGTGCTGATTCATTGTAGTTATTGCTGCACTCCTTCGCCATGACCCTGCCGTGCGTCCAAATGCACTGGAACTCTCACAGAGCCCTCTTCTCCCTCCTAGAGTAGAGGATGAATATTTCAAAGGAGCTCTGCGAATGATGAGTATGTACATATCCATACAAAGATCGATGACGCTTATGCGCAAGCGGCAGCTAAACCGGACTCTCCGTACCACCAGGGCGTATTGTCTGCCTTGTTCAACCAGCCTGTGAATCAGGCTCGAAGCTACTTGTACGACATCGAAGCTGAAATTCCCGAGCACGCGTACCTGAACGACATCGTTGAGGACCGAATCGCAGCCATCTTTCGACTTCATGGTGCAGTTGACATGGAACCTCCGCTTTTGATACCGTCGTTCAATCCTGAAGAGTGCCAGAACCACGCTACTCTCATTGATCGTCATGGAGAAATGGTTTGCTTACCAAACAACGCGTTAGTACCTTTCGCCCGGTTGGCTGCACGAGCCGGGCTGCGAAGAATCAAGCGATTCCATATCACGAATATTTATCGGCCAAAGTGAGTCCCTCTAAGCTTCGTTCAAACGTATTTGTAATGATTGTTCGACTATCCACAGCTCCGCCCCAGGACATCCAAAGGCTACGAAAGCAGCGGTTCTTGATGTCATCACTCCCGATACCAAGCATGGGCTGATGGCAGCTGGTGCCGAGTTCCTCATTCTTCTGAGCAATTGCTTGAACAGTTTCCCAAACCTTGCTCAGAACTACGAGATCCATATCTCTCATTCTAAGAGTATGAAGCTTTTTTTGTTTTCCCGACTTTCACTGACATAAACTAGTCGCCGATCTTGCTTTGAATCGTATTCCGGAAGAGCTCCGTTCTTTTGTGATAGAAATCATTAATCAGTCGAAGTCTACTGCTCCACAAAAGCGAGTATCTCTGTTGAAGAAAGGCCTCTTGAGGAGTACGACGGATGAATTAGAGGTCCTTGCTGAAATAGGTGATTTAAGGACAGGCGTCTATGTGCATAAGCTAATTGCAGGAATAGATGAGGACATCGACACTCTCCTATCCAAACTTGAGAAGGTTTCGCCCACCCTTGTCACGGTCATGAAGCCCGCCGTGGAGGAAATCAAGCAAACGATCCAGTTTGCCACATCTGCGGGCTTCTCTGCCCCCGTTTTCTTCCATCCCTTAATGTGGGGCGCTCATCACATGCATTTCAAGGAAGGAGTGCGTATCGAAGTAGTCAGACGAGCTAGGCGGCTGGACGTTCTCGCTGCAGCTGGACGGTATGACATCCAAGGTTGAATATTATGTTGCTTGACATTTATAATAGATACGACAATCTCATCGCCCAGTATTCCAATCCGAAACCTAGGTCGGATCCTATCTGTGCATTCGCCATGCAAATCGCTCTTGAGAAGATCGCGATGGTCCTAGCGGCCTTCCAGAGCACCTCCGTCAAAGCACTCGTTAAGGAACAGCGGTCATTCGGTTTTTGGAGCCCTCGGAGATGCGACGTTTACGTCCTTTCATATCAAGCAGGCTACTTGCAGGACCGTTTGGAAGTTGCTTCCTTACTGTGGCAAAACAACATCAGCGCCGATATCATGTATGATGCTAACCTCGTGGAATTTGAACACGAGAGTCACGTCGACCTATGCACACGCGAGGGAATACTGTACGTCCAAATTCAGAATTACCTAAATCATCCACGCTGACGTCCGGCATCAGATTTGCCATTTATCCTCGACCCCGCACCGTGCGTCGCGAGCAGGCCGCTTTCAAGGTGAAAAGCATCTTGAAGGGCACAGTTTATGAAGGTTTGGATTTTCTGAAAATTTCCACCTTTCGGGGCTGATCGAAGGGCAGTTTCACGCCAAGATCTCGTCGGCTGGCTTCAACACCAGATTGCTGAGCAGAAACGGGTAGATTTGGCTACCTCAGGCTCATCCGCCTACCCTGATACTCTTGCGGTTCCTGTGCCATCCAAGGATGCATCTGCCCCTGAGGTACAGCTCATTCTACCTGTCGATGCAAAGAAACAGAAAAAGCATGTCAAACAAATGCTTCTTGATCGAGGTAACGCCAACCACAGATGTAATTTAAATTCGACTGACGTATGTTTAGCGTACGAAAGGACCGGGCACCTTAAAACGGCAGTGCAAAATGGGTTGCCAATGCTTGCTGTTGATGTTCCGAACGCGGTCTTTGATACGCTGATGAAGAATGCCTCCTGGATCACCGATGAAGAGACCTGGAAGGGGATTACAGCGTCCATGCCTACTGTTCACATGGCGTATGCTCAGCAAATCCGTGAAGCAGCTGCTAAACGAAAAGCTGAAGGATTCCCGTATTTGCTATTCTATGCCACACGAGAGGAGCGCATGCAAATTCTTACTCTCAACTAGGTCCGTTGTGACGGTTTCCCGGATCTTGTTTACCTTACTTTATGATGTCCACCGTCCATGGGGATTTGTACTTATGAATTCGTATTCTCTCGCACAGGACTTTGTATTACTGGAACCACAGATTTCTCGTAGTGTATTTTAGTACTGCAGGCTTCAATTGGACCTTCCTACTTGCTCCAGGCCGTGAAAGTCTCTTGGAACCCGTCGGCATTATCACTGGAGCGGATGACCCCATTCTGTGATACGCTGAGCTGGTAAGTAGTAGCTATGGTTGACACACTGTATGCAATGACGTTCGACGCAGAATCGATGTTGAAGATTTGTGCTTGGCAAGTGTTAGTGGTCAAACAGGTTTGGCTATAATTCTGAATAAATAATTGATTCGGATAAGTAGTGAAAGAACGGATAGCGCAGTCCACTCACTTGGAAAAAGCTATAGAAGCCCGCTCCTGAACGTGTGATCATCAATGGCGTGCAAGAGCAGCGAAGTTAGAGTGAATACCAAATATGATGATGTTGTTTGAAGACTGGATGTACATTCCCCAGGCCATGTTGATCGAACTCGAAAAGGTAGGGTCGTTGTAGGATGAGGCAGTGCTGTAAGGTGCCGGCGCAGCCGGAGAGGGTTGGTAGTAAGGCTTGGGCGGTATTAGATGGAATGAACCTGATATGAAGATCAGTCCATACCGTTTCAGTCTGGGCAAAGCCAATATAGTGGTTCTGAGCGTTCACCAGGCTATACTGGTACAGCGCAGCGTGTTCAGCTAGTTTGATGAGTATTGTGACAATGTCCCAGTCTGGTGATCACTCACAAGCTAGGTCAAGTTGTCAGAGCGAGGTTACGAGAGTCACAAAGGTCACTCACATGTGCCTATAAGCCATACCGGGCCCTGAGACTCGGAAAGAATCCCGCGACCAGTAAAGATCGAGATATCAGAAGAGCCGGGAGTATCAAGATCGTGGTCGGCGGTCCAAACCCATGTGCCCTATGCGACAATATCAAATTAGAAGTTTTGGGAGCTTCTAATCCACATACTTCAAGGTATGCACTCGATCCAGAAGTCAAATATATCCCAAGGAAAGTAGCCTGACAGGCTGTATTGACAGAGCCTGAGGGACATTGCGAATACTGCATGTTCGTTCCGGCAGCTAACAAGGAAGAATCAGAACGCTTCTCCATCGCCAAATCTCGAAAGATTTACCTCCACCCAACCTGTACCATCGTCGTTAACGCATCCCAAATCCAAGAGAGAATCAAAACCAACCTAATATGGCTGTCCCACATTCCTGCAGCCGCTTGCTGACCAGATGGATCGTGCACGTTCCATTCGATCATTATGGCACCGGGAGCTATGAGAGATCAGCTTCAGAATAAAATAGACTCTTTCCACGCGTACTAGGGCCTGCAGTGGTAAAAACCATATCACTTATCTCCAGGACACCTTGAGAATTCGCAGCGCCTGCTTGAATAACCGCACGAGGGTTCTTCTGATCGCTGAAAGCACTCCCACCAGCCATGATGACTGACCAGGCTTCACCGATAATCTGAGCTCCGGCAGGGATGGTGATGGTATCGGTCACATAATACGTTCCGGCATCGAAGAAGATAATCTTGCATCCAGCGTACTGACAAGAGTTGTCAACTTGATTTCAGCAGGGCAAGGTAACAAACGCACCTCATCAAGGACGTTTTGAATAGCGGCAGTGTCATCTGTGTGGCCATCGCCTTTTGCACCCTGGCTCTTGATGCTGATGAATTGACTGGCAGCATAGCTCGCGTACTGAGGATGAGCCTTTCCGAAGATTCGACCAGCGCTATCCAAAAGTACGGAGGGCTTGTTCGCAGAGACAATGTTTCCTTGTACGAAATTCTTGGACCCACCAGTTCCGGAATACACATTTCCTTGACCCCACGAAGCGATTGTCGTCGTACCACCAGCAAGGACTGTGGTTCCGCCTGCAACACCAACTGCGGTGGGAACATTGCTCAGCTTGATGTTGTTGAGAACGAGAGAGCCGGCCAGTTGACCATTGCTCGCTACCGAAGAGCGAACGAAAATGGGGGTATTAGTTATAACTGCATCGATGATAGCCTCAGAACCGACGGTCTAGACAGTATTCAGTTACTTGCAAATTCAAACAGTTGAGAAGGCGAACCTGGTTGCTTGTTGTCGTTCCACCGGTCGCCAAATCAAAGCCGACCTGTTATCTGTCAATTCACTTCGGTAATGTTTACAAGTTCAACGCATACTTGACAATTGTTGATCGTGACTCCTTGAAATGTGAATCCTGGAAGAGTGTGAGAACTGCATAAATTACAATAAGCTGATTATTACCCCCAATTCCAGATGCCAGAGACAGCTGCCGATCGATATGAATATTTAGTGTATTATGACATATTGATAAGCGAGAGGGCAAACCAGTAGCGGCATTGTTGACGGTTAGATTACGAACCGTAAACTGCTGGTTACCGACTTGAATCCCGTACTTTCCTGACGAAACGTCACAAAAGAAATAACAAAGCAATTACAGGGATTTACCTCCGTTGAATATGATGTCTGATGCGTAAATTTAATGTTCTTATTCTCGTATCAAGACAAAATGTGCTCACCTCCCATAAAACCACCACTGGTGACTATATGTTGAGAATAAAGATTCAAGATAAAAAGGCGAGCTTCTTACCTCCCATTCTCCATGAACATGCCATGGTGATTGTTATTGGAAGCGGTGGACATCTCGACCACGATATTGATGAGCGAAGTGGCTTGCGAAACCTGCCAGTGCAAACCAATTGCAGAAGTTGATGCAGGGATTTGCCTAAGGTCGATTATCAAGTTGCGAATGGAACGGTAACTGGACGTCCATGAGCTATGGTGCACCGTGCGCAGAAAAAATGGCGCACAAATTGTTCTGGTTAGAGAACCATTGAGCGCCCCAGCCATTGGGAATGTAAGGATCGGCATCTGGGTAGAATTTATGTAAGGCGGCGTCCACATTGAAAATGACGGATCAGGTACCGATGACTGCAAATCCATTGAAAGACGAGCTGGCAAGGAGGGTTGGAGGTTTCTTTGCATCTCCGATCATCTGAGTGTAATAGTACGTGTCAATCGCTGAGGAGACGAGGTAAGTCCTGTCCAATAGTCAGCAGGCAATCTCGTGATATGAACAAACAAACATACCCTGCAGGGAAATACACGATGGCCGGAGTAACGCTAAATGCCACAACCGGTTAAGGTATTCGGAGAGAATCAGTGACGCTCTGCACTGACGTGGAAGAATTACAAGATCCACCGCCGCAACGTCCACCGGAGGACATGGCCGAACTGAAATCTGAGTAAGTTAATGCTTGGGGTGAAGAAAAATGACATGCTTGATAGCAGTAGTATCGTCGGTGATACCATCGCCCTTGGCCCCAAAATCCTTGACATTCCTGAAAACCTGGTAAGAACTCGGGTCCGAGTTGAAGGCTGAAGTTCCTTGATGCTTGACAGTCTGAAGCCAATACGGATCACTTGGAGCCGCTGTTCCACTACCCAACGGCGCTGAGCAGGATGTGCCCAACCCAGAGACAAGAGTGGACAATGCTAACAGTGCGCTCAACAGGAGAGACTTTGAGTAACACGACATTGCTTCCTTCGGGTGATAAAAGTGAAAGTACTGAGGAAAGTGGGCACAAACCAACACCTTTTTATGTCGCTGAGGGCAATGGAGTAGACGACTAGCAGAATTGGGCGACCTCTTGATTAGCAGTACCTCAAGAGCCGACAGGAGAGGTATGAAGTCAATGAACAACCCCATGACATATAGCTCCGAAAGTAACACTTTCATTTTGGGGAATCCACCCCATACGACAGTAAAACTCGCAGTAAGTGTACCACGAGGTGCCACGGAACTACAGTTTGCCCATGTAGGTGATTCCTACTAACACATGAAACGTGCATTTCAATACGGTCGGCATGGGCTCACCTAGCCCTTCATTATTACCACAGAAGACACTGAACGAGTTAGTACACGCTGACTAGCAGATTGCCAGAGGCCCAGACTTGTAGTGACAGCATGCATTCTTGCCTCAAGGACAACAGCTCGTCCCGGATGATTTCGCTATTAAATCCGTCGTGCCATTCGACAGAGGGGCACAGCGTAGTTGAAACCTTCCGGGCTATCCGCAAGTAAGTCGTGCACCTGATAACAGAGAAAAGGGCAAGAGTGTGCTTCACTCGCTTCTAAAGCTGCTCAACGTGAAAGACCAAAGAGGTAACGAAGCTTTGCTTTTAAAACTCCGCGGTCATTCATCTTCAACAATGATCACAATTCGCTCCCCAGTAGGCCCGCGTGGGCCTGGATGGTCTTTCCCTCTGAAAAGACATGGTGCTCACCATTCCGTGAGTGTCCAAGGCTGCCTGCCCTTGCACTTGGTGCTCATTCATTTGCCGGATGATCTTGATACCTCAAGGAAGTCAATGCACTAAGACAGTCACGGTATGTCTTGTGATGGTGCCCAGAACTGTCTCACAAGCCCCATTAGGAGACTTCACAGGATTGGGTGGATGCCGATATATCTTCGGCGGCATTGAGACAACACTGACGCCAATTGTCTTCTGCTAGCAGGGGACTGCATGTGAGTGGCGCAATTGTTGTAGTATGAGACAACGCTCAGTAGTGCTGTGTTCATTCGACGGGGGTCACAGTATTACCAATTGTATCGACTCATCAGTTCCGTCTTGAACGCAGAGTAAGCAGAAATTGCAGGCCGATCGACAAAGGTGCACAAAGCAGGCACTCGGGGCGCAGAGTGGTGCTGTCGATACCGCATCCGTTGTTCATTAACCAGTCGAAGAGGGAAATTGGGCTGCTTTCATGTATTTGCATCACGCTCATTATTGATGCTTCCTGGGCCAAGCTACACCTGAATGTACGCACGGAATGGATCATAGTGGACGGTTCCGACAAGACATAGTCCCAAAAGGTTATGTACATATCTAGGATTGCCCCACGGCTTCTTCCAAATGCCCCACATCCAACCTAGGGGAAAACATGACCGAAAACGGCTGTGGGTGCGCAATAACATTTTCTTCGAATGCCCACCTATCTATGGGCGCATCTTTAGGTTCCAAGATTCGAAAAGCCCAGAACAAATACGCAAGGGTGATCAAGACAGAATCACTTGCTAGATACTGTCCTGGACAGACCCTGATTTACCTGTCAGTTTAATACTACTGATTTGATCAGACAACTGACCGCCTGCCAAAGCCAAATGGGAAAGACTTGAGATCGGAACGAATGTGCCCACATGGTTCAATCCATCTCTGGGGGTCAAAGTTTTCGGGGTCGGAAAAAAGCAGTTGCATCATGAGAAATAGCCCTGTAGTGTATGATAGTCACCGATAAGTTAGGGAGGATGAATCAATGATCGCACCAGTGACAGCCGTAGACTGTTGCGCCAGCAGGGATCCGGAACCCTTCCTACACACACAAGTATTAATCCGCAATCTGATATCCAGTCCAGATTTTAAGAACATCAATTTCACATACCCATATTATATCCCTCGTGGCACGATGAGGGAACCCTGTGCTAACAATTAAGGATAGCTGACAACGAGAGGAACATAATCTACCGAGCGGGACGACAGGCCTCCAGCGTAATGATTCATGCATAAATGCGTGCAACTGAGTAAGACGCTGGACATCTTCAAAAGATGGGGCTGTGAATAAGAAATTGAGTATCTCATCCTGATCTCATCCCATAATTGAACCATAAAAGCGAGACATACCTCGTTCTCTACCTACGACTGTATCTAGCTGTTCTTGCACACGCATTTGTGCCTCGGGATGGCAAGCCGCAGCCAGGATAGCAGTGGTGATGGCCGCAGAGATCTAAACATGAACTGTTAATCCCGCTCACCAACCAAGACGTGAATTATTCACATTGTCAGCAGCAGCACCAAAAAGCGTCCCTCCCAAAAAAGACATCTCAATTTTCGATAGCTGATGCCCATGTTGCTCGAGAAGTGTACGCATGAAAGACGGCCCAGCGATACCACTTGCCTGAAAGAGATGTGAGCGCACAAAACCCACATCGCAATTGAAACACAAGTCACTATCTCATTGTTTACTCGCTCCATCTGCCCTAGTACCAGTTCATACTCCTCACGAAACCAGGCCTTCAACTGACGTCCATACCAGGGCACGTACCGCAGAATAGGGATGCGATCAACCAAAAAAGCACCGGGTTGCATGACAATTCCAAAACGGTCTACCACAAGTTTCATCCCTACTACCTCAGGATCCGTGCTCGCGGTCGGTGTCGACTTCCCATATGTCATGCGCAGGATGACCGAGTTCGAAAATCTACATTGTTGCGGTTTGGCAAAACTAATAACCACAACAGTGATACTAACAACTCACCGTTTCACATGTTCCTGGTGTTTCTCTGGTGCCTTCAAAATATCGCACACGAGCTGTTTCGCGTCCTCTGATTGTATGTCTCGGTACGCTTTGATTGCCTTCGGTTGTAACTGTAGCTGTGTCGCTTTGCGAAACCGACGAAACCGTGACCCGGCACGGATAAGGACAAGACGTGTATTTTGAGAAAACATTTCATCAGCAGCTATGGCACGGGGGCGATCAACGAGAGCACTCCCTTGTTTCTCCATAATATCGTTGGCTGTCTAGAGAGCCGTCCATCCTCGTGAGTGAAGCACAATATCCAGCAACTGATCACGTACCTCTACACTTCCAATGATGACTGAGACTTGATTTCCCTGACATACAGAGACGACCGGACCATACTCTTGTATCCACTGTGTGATTGTATGGGTCACACTGAAGCGCTAGAAATTGAACAGCTTGCTTAGGAAGCACGAATACAACAAACTTGTTTGATGGCATAGCACTGTCCCAGAACCAGCGCCTTGGAGGTCCGGGGGGGCAGTGGGAATGCGTGTTTGGCAAAAAATCTTCCCCTGCAGTACGCGCCGAGTACGACAACAATTGCTACTCCAGCGAAAATCCAGGTAGGTGAAAACGAGAATGACTCGGACACGTGGAACGTCATCATTAGCTATCCTAGTATGGATTGGTTATAGACAGTCACAGTTCAAGTGAGAGATTCGTCAACCAAATTCGTGCTGTGTAGTACTGGTAGCGCTTACTTCGGGTCCCAAGATGTATATGAACGGTTCCTGGTACCCCGTTATCATTCGGACCTTTCTCGGTTCCTTCGAACGGCTTTAAACCCTGAAAGCGGTGATATGTGACCTGTTACCACTCCGAAACTGTTCGGCTCCTACAGCAAGGTACGAGCATCTCAGTTACAGCAGATCAGGTGAAGCTTGGGTGAAGCCGCTCAGCAAGCACTGTGAACCTTAAATAATAAGTCCATTGATATTTTCGCTTTTTCTTGTACATGAGGAACAGAGCATTACAGCTAGTATGCACTCCCTCCGATGCATTGGGAGTGAGTTCAGTATGTTCTATTGGGTGTATCCTACCTATTAGTGATATGTGCAAGCCCACTAAGTACGTACACAGGGAAAAGCAGGGCTGGCCAGAAAATGTTAATATCTTGGAATTACCAAATCAGGACATGTTTTGGGCGGTAGTACCTCTGTCACTCATGCCTTTTTCTTTTCTGCCCGCTGAACTAGTTTCATTACTCATTCGAGCACACTTTATCGACCCCCATTAATTCAACACTGCTGGCACGTAGTTTTTTTTCGCCACGGCTTGGCAGTCGAATAGTGGTGAGTGGTAACAGAGCATTGCACACTCCTCGTTTGAAACAGACAAACTCCCATTGAGAGTTGGTGACGGCACAACGCCTCGTACGTATATACCGTAAAATTGGAGATGACTGTCCGTCCTGTTCGTTCTGTCCGTACCGCCCGAATTTAAATTGGCTATCCGAAATGCCTCGGAATTCCTCGAAAATCTCAGATTTGTTTTATGGGATTTAGGTCAACTTTGGGCGGCACAACCTCACGGATGATATGACCTTGAGGCCTGTTGCCAACGAGGCAAACATGAACATGATCTCTATCGTTAGATCAGGGATACCTGGGAGACGATCAGCAGCGAGATCATGGTTTGCCGGACGATGGGAACAGAGAGGACGGACAGGACAAAGCGGACGGGACGGACAGGACGGACATCCAATTTTCATTTGTATACTATCTCTTACAAACTGTGGCTAGTGTCTTCTGGTCTATACTGTCCTAGAGTGAGTGTTGGCCTACCGAACAAAGACAGCCACACAACTTTAGTCGTACATAACAAGATGGCCAGCATTAGTCAAGGGTATCGAGGAAAACATACGAGAAACTTGCATGTGACGCTTCACATTTTCGCATTCGCTTTTACCTCTTTTTCATACCCCTCGACTAACACCCGTCTCAACACCTTCCTAGTTGGCGATTTGGGAATCTACCTGAGGGCTCAATCAACTCATCCCCCCCAAAAAACGAGGAAAACCCTACCGTCTCCACAATCCCAATCCCTCCTCTCAACCACTTATACCGACCCAAACGCTCTTGCACCCATACGTTGAGTCGTGTCACAACCTCTTTCTTACCCAACGCTGCCCCCGCAGGGGATAACACGATCCACGCGCGCAGTATGCGTTCGTCCGGGGTACGCCCACCCGAAACGTTCGTGACGCTCACATCAGTAATGAGTCTGTCGGGCTGCGCCAGGATCGTGTTCTCGATTGCGACGGGAGAGACTTGCATCCCTGAGATTTTGAGCGTATCCTGTAAGGACGGAGGTCAGTACAATGTGAACCAGGTTATGTTTATGGATGGTGCAGTTTGTCTTGGTGCAGTCTTCGAAACTGCAAACAGGACAGATCGACTCTAGCATGAGTGGGCATATCCTACTCGTCGAATCAACTTACAAAAGTACCTCGTCCTCATCGATCCGTATCTGGTCACCCGTGCACACCCATCCATCGACAAACGTTTTCCGAGTGGCCTTATCGTTTCCCTTGTCTCCCAGCGCCACAGAGCCTCCATGGACGAGAAGCTCGTCTGGCTCGTTCGGGCCCGCAAGGGACCCGTCGGGACGGACAACGCGGGCTTCGACAGCAGGAAGAAGAACTTGTTTTTGGCGCGTCCATCGAGTATGCCAGGGATGGGCTTCATGGCGATGGCCATTGTGTATCTCAGACAATGACGTCAGCGAGCTGGAAGGAGCAGATGAGGTCACTTACGAATTCGGACATGCCGTGGCCTGTGAAGTAGCACCAGGGGTTTGCACACGATACGCAGACGACACACCTTCAGTAACTCTTGATATGTCTGTGAAACGGGCGCAAACCTGGTCAGCAAGCTGAGGCGGGAGATATGCGGCGCCGCTTGCGATCGCCTTAACCGACTTTATATCAGCAGTTTTGAAGCGTGGATGGTGAACGAGTTGGTGTAGAAGGGAGGGGACGAGGAACATGGGTGGTATCTACATTGGCTCCAGATGAGTACCAGAAGTACTACAGGACTCGCTAAATGCTCTTGGTATTCACTTACTTCGGGACGCTGTCAATATATCGATGTCCCATTTCGGGAGCATGACAATCGTGGAGGGATTTAAGAAGTTGAAGAAACTGGTTGTGTAAAGGTTGAGAGAGTGATAGAGCGGAAGGACAGTGAAGGTTACTTGCAGCCCATGAGGGGCGTTCCATACTGGTGGCTAGCAGGGGAGTCAGGCAGACCAAGAAAGTAGCGTCGGAAGACATACAGCCTGAGTTTTAGCCATTTCCATACCGTTTACTATTGTTGAGAGGGTGGAAGTAGTGATGTTTCCGTGGGATATCATGACGGCTGTATAATATAGTCAGACGGTGCGTCTATGTTTCTGCGATTTGGAAACGAGACCAGTGACAAAAAGAGAAACATACCTTTGGGAGGACCGCTTGTTCCACTGGAATAAACTAAGTAGGCCAGAGTGTCCTTGGTAGTATGACGGACTGGCAGATGTGGAATACCATTCTTTCGAGCAGAGGAGATGAGTTGATCGTAGCTTGTATAGCCTTTATTTTCTCCTTCTAAGGGGTAAATCCGATCTGCTGGGAGACCCGAAGTCAAAGCAAGTTGCAGTAACGAGGGACTGGTAAAGATCCTAGTAGGGCGGAAGCAAGTGCAGCGAACAGCGGCTGTACAGGCGCGGGACCAAACGAAAATGAAAGGACTGCGGTTGCCGCACTAAGTAGGTGCTGCAAGTGTCGTTGATGCAGCTGGTTTGGCAAAAAGGTTGGGTATACAGGGTGCGGACGATATGATAAGCGTTGGGGCAGGCCAAATGAAGACCCCGGCGCTGCAGGGGCTATTTGTGGAGTAGACGAGGTAGGGAACAAGCTAGGTTTATGGGCAGTTGGAACTGAGGCCGATCGAAGGCATATAACACTTGCCGGTTTGGGAGACTTAGCAGGAGTAAGGTGTCCGTCACCTCGTTGAGGTGTTACCAAATGAAAATAACGACTTACAAGTTCAGCCCGATGGCCCATGTACACATATTTCATAAGTAACTTAATGAATCAAGCGTGTTCAACATGATAATTCAACGATGCTGAAGTTTCGCTAGCCCTTGCACAACACACGTTCTTGCAATGCCCAATCATAACTTAACTTGAACATGGTTAATCGATTAGCGCTGCCTCGAGGTTTGTGGTCAAGGGTATTCGAGTGCTTGTTATATAAATTTTGTTTTTACCCTCCCCTCTCTCTAACTCTTGCATCGATTTCCCTCAGACCAATACAAATCTTTGACTGTTTACCGTGACAATGAGCGAAGACCGCAGGCCGAAACATCCTCCAGAGCCCTCTGAATCCAGAGAAGCAACTACTGGCGAGAGCTCGGTACGTGTTCTCATAGGATCGCTGTAGATGAGCGCCAATAACGTCGTCGGCCTCTGACACATTCTTCATTCAGAGCCAGCCCCATAGCGGATTTCGTCAGGCCCTGCAGAAATTTAAGAAGAATTTGACTAAAAAAGTTTCTGTACGTCGACCTTGAACTTCTGCTGAGGGTGCTAGAATATAGCTGATATATATTGTGCAGAAACGCTTCAAGCGTTCCCGCAACCAAACCCCTGCTGTCCAGAACGCCGACCATGAAGGTGCTTCGTCGAATCAGAATATCGAGGTAGGTGATCATTATTGTAATCTTGAACTTATCTGAGGTCCACCAAGGATCCGTCGCATCTACATCCTTCTGATGGTGACAAGCCCGCCACACCTGAGAATCTCAGTGGTAGTGCGAACCAAGAAGCATCCGGAGAACCTACTCCAAAGGTATTTACGCCAAACGATTTGTTTTTCATCTCTAAATTCTGGTGGGTGCATAGGTTCAGGCTGCTTCGTCTGGCGTGGAAATTCCTGATCCCCAATCGGTTGATGCCGGACTTCGAGATGCGCGTCAGGGTATGGAAAGTATGAAACAACTCGGGAAACATGGCACTGCTGCGGCATCCGCAGCCAAGGATGGCCCAAAGGATCTCGATGCCGCAGACAATTTACAGACCACATATCTTCAACCACTCAGGATTTTTGACACTGTCGTTGGGGATCTTGCGAATGTATGGGCCACTCTCTTATGTTGGAAGTGAGCTAATTAAGTTGCATAGGTACATCCTTACGCAAAGGTGGTGCTGGGTGTGCTGTCTACTGCATCTAAAGTACGTGTGGTTTTGCCCTCCTGTTCAGCGGTTGCTGACTCTATGCAGATTATCCTCGCTCAAGCGGAACGGGACCAATCGATACAATCTCTTCTCAAGAAATTAGAAGAAGTTTACCGCTTCATGTCACAAGACGACACTCTTGGCCAGATATCATCCAAGCGCGACATCTTTGGACGGATCGCCCAGCAGACTCTAGAGTGCGCAAGTTTCATCAGGGACTACTCGGAGAAAAAGAGTTTTTGTGAGTCATCGAACTATCCGCATTTCGTGAATCTTATACTATTATCACAGGGAAGAGACTCGGGAAAAATGTTGTTTCGGAGACGGATGATCTGATTACACGGTACAACAACGCTTTGGATGAGCTTATGCAACAATTTCGGGACCAAGCGATTCGGGACGTAGCCGATCTTGTCCGGTGTACGAGTAAGGATTTGGACGTACTTCTGACTTTGCGTCCACTCATACTCCTTCAGGTGACGAACTGGGTGACAAACTGGATCTTAGCGGTATGCCTTACGCAGCAGGCGCGGGACTAGTTACCACGAAACAATGCTTACCAGGGACGCGCACGGACATTCTCTCCCAGATCACTGAATGGATCCGCGGAGATGCTGCTCAGCGTGTGATGTGGCTATCTGGCCCTGCAGGGACGGGGAAATCAGCCATCGCTCACACAATCGCCAATTGGTTTAACGACTTGGGAGGGCTTGGTTCTTGTTTCTGCTTCGACCGGGACCTTAAAGCCGACAAACGCCATGAAAAAGTCTTCTCCACTATCGCTCGCGACCTCGCTGACCGTGATCCGGAGATGAGACGAACATTGGCGCATGTCGTCGAGCATGCAAATGCGCTCAAGAACACGACAGATCTCATCCAGCAGTGGCGCAAGCTATTTATGGAACCGCTAAAGAAGTTGTCTGAGTCGAGCATGGGCCCAGAGCCTGTCTTGATCGTCATTGAAGCACTGGACGAGAGCGGCGGAGTCGAGACACGGCATCACCTTCTCCGCATACTTGCCGGTAAACTTCAGGACAAAGGTCTTCCCCAAATCACCGAACTCCCTCCCAACTTTCGGGTTCTCGTCACCTCTCGCCCACTTCGTGATATCGGTGATGCATTTCACGGTGCTCAGCATATTCTACGGTTATCCATGGACGACATTCCAGAAGCGGTTGCAAAGAGCGACATTCATACTTTTGTGTCTGAGGAGCTGAAAGACCTGCCTGATCTTGGGGACAAAGAGTTTGGAGACCTCGCTGACAAAGCTGATGGATTATTCGAGTGGGCACGTCTCGCATGCAGATACATCCAAGAAACCCCTCTTGGCTCTGAGCCGATTAATCGCTTCCATACTGTGGTGTCCCACGATCGTCGAGAGCGGAAAAACCTGTTGGATGACATATATAGCTTCATTTTAGGAGAAGCCATGGGGAAGGACAGATGCACAAGAGCCGAGTATCAGCAAGCATTGGCGAAGTTTCATTCCGTGATGGGACAGATACTTGGCTCAGCCGAACCCCTCCCTTTAGATGCCCTGAATGCCATGCGGAGCCATTTTCCAGACGCAAAGGAGCAATATAAAGTGGAAGTCGTGGTAGCACACATGGGATCCCTCCTGAGCGGCACCACCAACTCATCTAGTCCCATCCGACCCCTTCACGCCTCCTTCCGCGAATTCCTGACAGACAAATCATCCAGCGGAGACTTTTTCGTGGAGATCTCGAACGCGCAACGCAATCTTGCTTTTGCGTCACTTCGTGTGATGGAACATGACCTTCGCTTCAATATGTGCGATTTAAAGTCTTCCTACCTCCCTAATAGCAAAGACGCGGGGCTGCCGGATCGAGTCGCAACACGCATTTCCTCACATCTGTCCTATTCCTCTCGATTTTGGGCTACGCACGTAGGAGCAACGGAATTCGACACGGAGCTCGCAAAGGAAATAGAATCATTCTTTGACCACGAGCGGCTTCTCTTTTGGATTGAATCACTCGGCCTTCTCAATGGACTCAACGTTGCAGTTGCTGTGCTTCCACTGATTTCCCAGTGGCTGAAGGTGAGAACAGAGTTCCCTGGTGGTGTCAGGCGAAGTGCTTACGCGCGAACACAGGGCCAATTTGGGTATGAAAATGTGTTGTCTACTGCAAAGGATGTGCAGAGATTCGTCCAACTCTTTGCTGGGATGATTCTACACAGCACGCCGCATCTGTATGTATCAGCGCTACCATTTTCGCCCATAAAGTCCACGATAGCCACAAAGTTTACTGCAAGGTTTCCGAACACTCTTCATCTGATACACGGACGTGTTGTGAACTGGACGGCTATTCAGACCGTGATCAGTGGCCACATTACTGGGGTTTCGTCAGTCTCGTTCTCCCCCGACGGCACTCGCATCGTGTCTGGTTCTTATCATTCCGTCCGGGTGTGGGATGCAGTGACGGGGCTGCCATTGGGTGAGCCCTTCCGAGGGCACACTGGTTCGGTTTCAGTCAGTCTCGTTCTCCCCCGATGGCACTCGCATCGTGTCTGGTTCTGACGATTCCACTGTCCGGGTGTGGGATGCAGCGACGGGGCTGCCATTGGGTGAGCCCTTCCGAGGGCACACTAATTCGGTTTACGGTCAGTCTCGTTCTCCCCCGATGGCACTCGCATCGTGTCTGGTTCTAGAGATGACACTGTCCGGGTGTGGGATGCAGTGACGGGGCTGCCATTGGGTGAGCCCTTCCGAGGGCACACTAGTTCGGTTCGGTCAGTCTCGTTCTCCCCCGATGGCACTCGCATCGTGTCTGGTTCTTATGATTCCACTGTCCGGGTGTGGGATGCAGTGACGGGGCTGCCATTGGGTGAGCCCTTCGAGGGCACACTAAGGTTCGGTTTCGTCAGTCTCGTTCTCCCCAGATGGCACTCGCATCGTGTCTGGTTCAGAAGATGACACTATCCGGGTGTGGGATGCAAGCGACGGGGCTGCCATTGGGTGAGCCCTTCCGAGGGCACACTGGTAAGGTTTCGTCAGTCTCGTTCTCCCCCGATGGCACTCGCATCGTGTCTGGTTCAGAAGATGACACTGTCCGGGTGTGGGATGCAGCGACGGGGTTGCCATCGGGTGAGCCCTTCCGAGGGCACCGTTAGTTCAGTTCGGTCAGTCTCGTTCTCCCCCGATGGCACTCGCATCGTGTCTGGTTCTTTGGGATTCCACTGTCCGGGTGTGGGATGCAGCGACGGGGCTGCCATTGGGTGAGCCCTTCCGAGGGCACACTGGTTCGGTTCAGTCAGTCTCGTTCTCCCCGATGGCACTCGCATCGTGTCTGGTTCTGAACGATTCCACTGTCCGGGTGTGGGATGCAGCGACGGGGCTGCCATTGGGTGAGCCCTTTCGAGGGCACACTAAATGTGTTTCGTCAGTCTCGTTCTCCCCCGATGGCACTCGCATCGTGTCTGGTTCTTTGGATTCCACTGTCCGGGTGTGGGATGCAGCGACGGGGCTGCCATTGGGTGAGCCCTTCCGAGGGCACACTAGTTCGGTTCGGTCAGTCTCGTTCTCCCCCGATGGCACTCGCATCGTGTCTGGTTCAAACGATTCCACTGTCCGGGTGTGGGATGCAGTGACGGGGCTGCCATTGGGTGAGCCCTTCCGAGGGCACACTGAGTAGGTTTCGTCAGTCTCGTTCTCCCCCGATGGCACTCGCATCGTGTCTGGTTCTGAACGATGCCACTGTCCGGGTGTGGGATGCAGCGACGGGGCTGCCATTGGGTGAGCCCTTCCGAAGGGCACACTAAGTTTGGTTCAGTCAGTCTCGTTCTCCCCCGATGGCACTCGCATCGTGTCTGGTTCTTATGATTCCACTGTCCGGGTGTGGGATGCAGCGACGGGGCTGCCATTGGGTGAGCCCTTCCGAGGGCACGTTAGTTAGGTTTCGTCAGTCTCGTTCTCCCCCGATGGCACTCGCATCGTGTCTGGTTCACGGGATTCCACTGTCCGGGTGTGGGATGCGGTGACGGGGCTGCCATTGGGTGAGCCCTTCCGAGGGCACACTAGTTGGGTTCGGTCAGTCTCGTTTCTCCCCCGATGGCACTCGCATCGTATCTGCTTCTTATGATTCCACTGTCCGGCTGTGGAATGCAGCGACAGCGCAGCAATTCCAGGAGCACATTGAGATCCACTCCTCTGTATCCTCTTTGGATAGACGTCCCACCACACCTTGCAAACGAGAAACTATCCCGTTGACCAATACTTGGAGCAATCGCGCCATTTGCTTCTCATCAAACTTGGAACATGCGCTTCAAAACCCTGCTGAGCTACTCGAGAGCACCTCTGATCATCATCTTAATTCAACTCATGTCTCGCGGAAAGGTGGATGGATAGAAGGAGCTGATCGTCGGCTGCTTTTCTGGGTACCACCCGCTTCCCGAGAAAGACCATTTAATTCTCTCGGGACTGTATTTGTGATACCCAGCGGGCAAGAGATTGATTTGAGTCGCATGGCTCATGGAGAACACTGGTCGAATTGCCGAGATCCGTGAGTTCTTAGCCTTAACCGTCCCTCACAGTTGCTAAATCAATACTTCTAGCTCTACTTCCTGATGAATGATCCAATTGTAGCATTACCAAATGTACAGTTTTGGTCTACGTCAATCCTACGCCTGGCGCCGAGCTTGAATTTATTGTGGTTGCAGAGTGCATGGACGCTTTGATCACAAGTTCCCAAAACCTAGTGCGCACCAAAAGCTTATGTCGATAATCGATATGATTGCGACCTCAGTAGTACTGTTTTGGACATTATATTAGCTACTTAGCGTTACTCACTTCTTATTTTCTCCCTCAGTCGTTCCGCTCAACGGCTGAGGTGAGCATCATATTTACTTGTATAGAACTTCACGTATTAACATGTACGTAGTATTCGCGTTCTTAGGCACAGTATATGAATTCAGTCGTTTTGCTCGACGGCTGGGTATTCGCGTTCTTAGCTTGTATGGCCGCCGCCCATACCCGGTACCGCAGAGTAACGACGACGCGATGAGGCGAGATGGCGATGGTTTTCTGCTTTAGTGCTCGATCCCCTGATCAGAATGCTTGAAAATTCATCTTCCATAACGTTCCTCATCGAACAGAAGTAGTGACAAGTTAATATGATTCTTTGATTGATACAACGTCAATTCCTAGTGTTGTTATTCTGATACCAATTATCTCAAATCAAGTTCGACGGGTATTAGAAGTCCTTCAGGCCCATGAAATTCTGCTTCATGCTTCCCGCCGAAACGAACCGGTAGAAGATGCTCTTCATCATTGGTCCCGCTTGCTCGTGCTCCTCCAAAGGGCTGTTGACCCACGACTGCGCCAGTGCATTTCTTGTTGTAATAGACGTTGCCGGCAGCATTGCGTAGCTTGTTTGTGGCAGTCAGAAGCGCTTTCCGGTCTGCAGCAAAGCTGGAAATTTTTTTGTTAGTTAACGCTTGTCGCAGAGACCTTGCGACTTACGTAGAGCCAGTCAGTGCACAAGGCGAGGTGTTGTCGAGCAGTTCCAGAGTCTTCTCATAATTCGTGTCGTCGTACACATAGACCTGAAAAGTTGTCAGTAAATCAGGCCGCATTTCCGAACACAACTATTACAGTGATGACAGGACAAAAGATTTCTTCTTTCATCGTGATTGATTGAGGATATTTGGTTAGAATGATGGTAGGTTGTATGAAATAGGCCTTCGGGTCATCATCCGTAGGATCATGAAGAAAGTCACAGGTGGGTCATACTATCTGCCTTACCGATAAGAACCTCCCCTCCCGCATCCTTGGCTTTCTGGATAACGCCCATTATTTTGTCATAAGCCGGACGACCTCTGCGATATTGTTCAGTGACCGGTGCGCAGCTCAACGCATAGAAATGGAACGCACATCACGGGTCCCATAAAGTTGCTGTAGTCTGACGGTGACCAACTGTGATCTTCGCAACCTCGGACAGGAGCAGATCTTTGAATCCAGATGACCAAAGTGAAGAGGAAACATATAGCCGTGACAATGCAGAACATTTTTGTCCTGCACACACGCCTATCAATCTTGCGCGCCACTCATACATACAACATGCCCACCTTGATACTCAAAGTCGTCTCGAATGCTCTGCAAAACCGCATATCGGACGTCTGCCGACTTGTGGATGACATGGAAATTCTTCCCTCCTGTCTCGCTGACGATTCTCGGATACCCTCTGTACTTGTCTAGGTTTGTGGCAATGTCTTTCCATAACTTCTTGAATATAAAGATCCTGCCCGTGAAGTGGAGTGCTGCAAAGTTGGGGTGGTATATGACCTGTGCGACGACCTGTGGAGGTGGCCCGAACAAACTGGATGACGCGAGCTGGAACACCGGCCTTCGCAAAAATCTGGTAGACCAAGTAGTTGGAATACGTAGCCGTTGGTGAAGGTTTCCATATGAGTGTGTTGCCGACGATCGCGAGAACTAAGAGATGACTGATTCAGAACGTAAAACTCGTGATAGAATAGTCGCTTGTATCACCTGGAAGATTGCTACCAATTGTTGTGAAGTTGAATGGCGAAATTGCGAGAACAAATCCTTCCAGCGCACGATACTCGACGCGGCTAAGCAATCATCAGAAGTAGCTTCATAGAAAAGATACTGGACTTACTTCCATGGTCCTGCTGAGTTCTTAGGAGGCTGCTCCTCAACATATTTGACGCCGGTACAGAAGAAGTCAACAGCTACGAAAGTTCCATTAATCAACTGCCACCAAGATAATATCATCTTACACACCTCGGCAGCAGCATCAATTTTGGCCTACCAAGCGTTCTTTCCTTGACCAAGCATGGTAGCTGCCATCGAATTGTAATGGTACTTGCCGCTAACAAGCTCTGCAGCATGCAGGAAGAAGGCGGCGAGATTGTTCCAATACATGGCCTCCCACTCGGCCTTGGCGGCAAGGGCACCATCAATCGCGGTGACTACAGCCGATTCATCTGCCTCGTGGTGTATGTAGAGATGACGGGCGGGTATGGGCTGCTTTGCAAGTTTACCAGTTCTAATCTAATATCCACAGAAAGCTAAGTCATCAACGAATTGGCTTGTGGCATGCTTACGGTACAGACCGGTAAACCATTCACGATACAGGGAAAGTCGAATGGAAGTTCCTGTTGCATCTGAGCGAGAGCAGCTTTGAGACCCTTACGCTCTGCTGACATGATTCAGCATCAGAAGGAGTGAATCGTAAAGTTCACATAGACTCCACCATAGATTCATTTTCGACTGCAGGTACTTTGAGCCAGCTGGGGTGTACTAGACATCTTGAATACAAATTCGTTGAGATAGGTAGAAGCGGATGTGTTACGAGTTAGGCTTCCATCACTCAAAGTCGTGATAGACGAGAACGGAGTAATGCAAAGACAATCGATCGAGTTGTTTCTTCACGCTGCAAACAAACTTATCTCCGCGGCGTCCGATAGGATATTCAACACTGCCACTTGCGAGTAATAATAATGGCACAGTGCATTCGATACAAACCTCCAACTTGGTCGGATTGATCATCCATCCTGGGAGCACGAACATTAATGGTGGTCTCCCTTTTACAGGCTACAACTGGAAAGTCATTAATGGACGTACGTCGTGCGTTTCTTAAACATTTTCAATTGATTGATATTGATATGCTAGAGCAGTGTGACGCGACGTCCAGGCCCAGCTCAGAAGGTTGCCGGGCCCGTTGATTAATCGACTACCGCCAGGCTTATTTGATGACACGCAACACGGCAATATTCATGTGCGTCGTTAATGTTTTTAAATTGCTTAGTTTCTACTCTGACCTCTGTTTTCTTGATCCTCTGCGCCCCTACACTGCGGTGCTTTCGCACCCTCCTCTCTACACAGTAGTTCGGTTTGGTCAGTCTCGTTCTCCCCCGCTGGCACTCGCATCGTGTCTGGTTCGGAGGATTCCACTGTCCGGGTGTGGGATGCAGCGACGGGGCTGCCATTGGGTGAGCCCTTCCAAGGGCACACTGATTCGGTTTACTCAGTCTCGTTCTCCCCCGATGGCACTCGCATCGTGTCTGGTTCGAACGATTCCACTGTCCGGGTGTGGGATGCAGCGACGGGTCTGCCATTGGGTGAGCCCTTCCGAGGGCACACTAGTTCGGTTTCGTCAGCCTCATTCTCCCCCGATGGCACTCGCATCGTATCTGGTTCTTTTGATTTCACTGTCCGGCTGTGGAATGCAGCAACAGCGCAGCAATTCGAAAAGCACTCTGAGATCCACACTGCATTCTCTTTGGATAGACATCCCACCACACCTTGCAAACGACAAACTATTCCGTTGAACAATACTTGGAACAATCACGCCATTTACTTCTCATCAAACTTGGAACATGCGCTTCAAAACCTTCCTGAGCTACTCGAGAGCACATCTCATCATGATCTTCATTCAAACCCTTTCTTGCTGGAAGATGGATGGGTGGTAGCACCCGATCGTTGGCTGCTTTTCTGGGTACCCCCCGCATCCCGAGAACGACCAATTAATTCTCTTGGGACTGTGTTGATGATACCCAGCGGGCAAGAGATTGATTTGAGTCGCATGGCTCATGGAGAACACTGGTCGAATTGCCGAGATCCGTGAGTTCTTAGCCTTAACCGTCCCTCACAGTTGCTAAATCAATGCTTCTAGCCCTACTTGCTAATGATGATCCAATTGTAGCATTACCGAATGTACAGCTTTGTTCCATGTCAATTCTACGCCTGGCGCCGAGCTTAGTTTTGAAGTTGTTCGAGTGAAACAACCCCCCGCACCAGACTGGGTATGACTTCCAATGCCACCGCTTTCAGTGGGTCCAAATGCATCCTGAGGACTATCCATCCAGTGAACGTTGTTAGGTGCTGCCAGCGGTCGCCCTTATAAACTGTCGTACCAGTCGATGATCAAAACCCCTTCAAAGCCTGGGTGGCCATCGGCACCGAGACGACCAACTTTGAGAGTCTTATGGTAGTACTAGCTTTCTTTCAAGTGAAGCATCATCCTCCAAAGACTGTTACGTTTCACTTTTATTTCTAGCTCCTGTTTTCTCCATAATCCTTCGTACATCCTTAAGGACTCCTACGTCTTCCCGACTCAAACTTTTACGTGTCAACGTCTACCACAAGATGATTACTACGGCATTTCCCCATAACCCACCGCAGAACGCGTTCCTTCCGTTCATGACCCCATTCCCTTTTCAAGTTCCCGTATCTCTCAAGAGGACAATGATGCTCTCCATGTCAAGCTCGCCTCTGGATGGAACACAACGTCGCACACAGTTATCACGATGGTTGTAATGTATTGGAAGCAAAGTCAGTTCTATCCACTTAATAGCCGTACTCCTCTCGCCCCTTCTCACTAGCTTTTCATTCCTTTGCAGTTAGTTACGGTTATCCCCTCCCTTGATTTTTGCCCTCATTAATCAACAACGGCCCATACGTATATACCGGAAATTTGGAAGTGACTGTCCATCCCCGTTTATTCTGTCCGTATCATCCGACGCTACTTTGGCTATCCGAAACGCCTCGGAATTTGTTTTCAGGATTTGGGCCAACTTTGGGCGGCGCAACCTCACGAATGATGTCCTTGAGGCCTGCTGCCAACGAGCCAAACGTGAACATGATCTCTAACGTTAGGTCAGGGATACCAATGAGACAATCAGAAGCGTAATCATCGTTTGCCGGACGATATGGACAGAGAGAACGGACGGACAGGACGGACATCCAACATTCATTTGTATACTATCCCTTACGAACTATGGCCGGTGTCTTCTGGTCTATACTGTCTTAGAGTAGACGTTGACTAACTCTCCGAGCAAAGACAGCCACACGACTGTAGTACGTAACTAGATAGCAAGCATCGGTCAAGGGTTACGGTATCGAGAAAAACATACGAGAAACCTGCATGTTACGCTTCACAGTTTCGCATTCGCTTTGACCTCTTTTTCATACCCCTCAACTAACACCCGTCTTAACACCTTTCCAGTTGGCGACTTCGGAATCTACCCAAGGGCTCAATCAACTCATCCCCCAGAACAAAACGAAGAAAAAATCTACCGTCTCCACAATCCCAATGCCTCCTCTCAACCACTTATACCGACTCAGGCGCCCCTGCACCCACGCATCGAGTCGTGTCACAACCTCTTTCTTACCCAACGCTGCCCCCGCAGGGGATAACACGATCCATGCACGGGGTATCCGTTCGTCCGAGGTACGCCCACCCGAAACACCCGCAACGCTCACATCAGTAATGAGCTTGTCGGGCTGCGCCAGGATCGTGTTCTCGATTTCGACGGGAGAGACTTGCATCCCTGAGATTTTGAGCGTATCCTGTAAGAACAGGGGTCAGTACAATGCGAAACGAGTTATGACTATGGATGGTGTAGTTTACCTTGGTGCGATCTTCGAAACTGCAAACAGGACATATCGACTCTAGTATGAGCGGGTATATCGTACTCGTCGAATCAACTTACAAAAGTACCTCGTCCTCATCGATCCGTATCTGGTCTCCCGTGCGCACCCATCCATCGACAAATGTTTCCCGAGTGGCCTTATCGTTTCCTTTGTATCCCAGCACCGCAGAGCCTCCGCGGATGAGAAGCTCGCCCGGCTCGTTCGGGCCCGCGAGAGACCCGTCGGGACGGACAACGCGGGCTTCGACACCAGGGACGAGAATTCCAGCAGAGCCAGGCTTGTTTTTGGCGCGTCCATCGAGCATGCCAGGGATGGGCTTCATGGCGATAGCCATTGTCTATCTCAGATAATGACGTCAGCGAGCTGGAAGGAGCAGATGAGGAGATCACTTACGAATTCGGACATGCCGTAACCTGTGAAGATTAACAGTAGCACCAGGGGTTTGCACACGATACGTAGAGGACGCACCTTCAGCAACTCTTGGTATGTCTGTGAAACGGGCGCGAACTTGGTCAGCGAGCTGGGGCGGGAGGTACGCGGCACCGCTTGCGATTGCCTTAACCGACTTCATATCAGCAGTTTTGAAGCGTGGATGGTGAACGAGTTGGTGTAGAAGGGAGGGAACAAGGAATAAGGTCGTGATATGGTATCTACATTGCAGCTCCAGATGAGTACCAGAAGTACTACAGGACACGCTAAATGCTCTTGGTATTCACTTACATCGGAACGCTGTCAAAGAATATATCGATGTCCCATTTCGGGAGCATGACAATCGTGGAGGGATTCAAGAAGTTGAAGAAACTAGTTGTGTAAAGGCCGAGAGAGTGATAGAGTGGAAGGACAGTGAAGGTTACTTGCAACCCATCAGGGGTGTTCCATACTGGTGGCTAGCAGGAGAGTCAGGGAGACCAAGAAAGTAGCGTCGGAAGACATACAGCCTGAGTTTTAGCCATTTCCATACCGTTTACTATTGTTGAGAGGGTGGCAGTAGTGATATTTCCGTGAGATGTCATGACGGCTGTACAATATAGTCAGACGGTGCGTCTATGTTTGTGCGATTCGGAATGAGGCCAGTGCTAAAAATAGACACATACCTTTGGGAGGACCGCTTGTTCCACTCGAATAGATCAAGTAAGCTAGAGTGTCCTTGGTAGCATGACGGACTGGCAGACGTGGAATAGCACTCTTTCGAGCAGAGGAGATCAGCTGATCGTAGCTTGTATAGCCTTTATCCTCTCCTTCTAAGAGGTAAATCCGGTCTGCTGGGAGTCCCGAAGTCAAAGCGAGTTGTAGTAACGAGGGACTAGTAAAGATCCTAGTCGCCTTTGCGAGCGAATTGGCGTATTTGAACTCGTACGGTGTTGAATAGGATGAGAACAGCGCAAACGGGACGGTGATAACCAGTAGGGAATGCAGCAGGGCTACATAGTCCTAAGAAAATTATGTTGTCAATTTACAGTCTCGACTGAACAATGAGATGCAACGTACTGGGCAGTTCTCACTCAGAATGCCTACAAGATCTCCATTCTCAGGACGAAGACCTAGGCCACCTTGCGACACATCAGCACCCAGTGCAGTAGCGCCATCACGGACACGCTCGACAAACTCCCTGAACGAACGCCGCTGGCCAGTAGCCACATTCACGAACAACGTGTAATCTGGCCACTCCCGCTGGTCAGGCCGGTTGAATAGCAGGTGGTGAACATTAGATTCTGGGACCTTTGGCAGGTCTGGGAAGAGCGATTTGTGGTACATGCTTGACAACCGATGCCCGAGGTTCCACAGTGATATTAACTGCGGCTGAGAATATTAAAGGTCCTGTGATTGACCTTGCTTTTTATAAGTACAATGGTATGATGAGCCGGACTTGTACGTAGCAGTTGACCGGTTTACGTGCACCATCAGACCGGAATTGAGTCTTGTTAGTAAATTTACTCAGGACGGACCATGAAAAACATTGACGCCAGGGCTTGTCAAGTGAGATGAAGCAAGGTGGTTACGTTAAATAATCAAAATTGGAGCCAACGAGTCGAAGAGATCAATCACGTTCACCGGTATCAAGCCAAGCTCAGTGAATTGCAGGGACTGTACCGGTGGCCAAAGTAGTGGTATTCAGCTTTACCGAGCAACAAGCGTTTTCACGTGCGATTGCAGGTAGAATTGGGACACATCTTGAACTGGTGGATAGAATGCAATGCCACGTGTTCAAATTCATCGCATCAGATTTGTTTACCTGCCATCCATGCTTATCTAATTATAATCAGTGCACGCGCCCAGAGTCTGCCGCCACTTGTCCGTCACTTTTACTACCCGCTTTCCCTCTGCCGAACTCATCCCGCCGACAACACCGGACATGCCATCACCGAGTCATATTCAACATCGATGTCTCCTGCTTCGACCGCATCTCCATAAGGTATGGAGGATTGTACTGCTTGTATCTTGATATCATCATCGCCCGGTATTCCAAAACACGAGCTTCTGCCAGTACTACTACCATCATCCTCGCACTTGCAAATGGCAATAATATTAACTTAGACATGTCCGTTTCGGGACCCTTCGTCGAAGTTGGACGGGCTTTAAAAATACACCCATGCCTCTTTTGCTTGGAAACAAGTTTCTCTTATATCACCTTTTCCTGTGCGTTGTCTTCCTTAGTTAGGGAGTGATCAAATTAACTTGTATTCCTCGAATCATCTTTCGTCTTACTAAGTAGAATAAGGCTAAATGAGCACTGCGACATTTTTCTGATGCGGCTGGGCGAGAGCAGGAAGTGGTGAGAGGGCCTCGAGAGGTCACGCTCTGGCGGGAGGTCCGAGTCGAGGCGTAGAGTCCGAGACAGAGGCAGCGCCAGGCTTCATGAGGTTGTAGTTGGATTTGGCGCGTAACGTGGGAGGGCGCAAGTTGGAGGTCAGGTGTGGAAGTAGGCGGAAGAAGACTGCATGTCAGGCGTGGTAGGCAGTAGTAGACGCGCGATGGCAAGGCGCTTAACCTTAGACACGAGCAGAAAATACCTTACCGAGTGGTGCTGGAGGTCTTGACCTCTGCTGTATGTGAGGTAATGCATGTATCTCGCTGACACACTCACTATCGAATGACAGAGCAGGCCACCATAGCACCAGCTAGCATGTCCAGGAACAAGCCAAATATCCAAACCATTCATACAACATCCCATCGTGGCGCTGCCGCGGGATGTAGAAGCATACAACGCAATAAATAAATCTCATAGACCGGGATGTACTTACCACCGCCTTCGTCGATATGAGTGCGCTTCTTCGACCTCCCGACGGTTAAATACATCCCCATATCCTTCATCTAGGCCCCCGTGCACAGTGCTCGGCGTCTCGCTCCCTCTCATTTCACGCTGCTTGCGCCGAATCAACGCCAACGCCCGTTCACGTTCTGACGATTCACGTGTGAGGCGCATGGTTGTAGCATCCGAGGGTGGGGGAGGCGGTTTCATCTTATTATTTGAGTCGGGTGGAGCGCGATGTTTGGAAGGTCGCCATGACGGCTGAGGGACAGGGGAAGAGTGGTTCGATGAAGAGCTCGATGCAAGCTGATGCGTGATGGCTGTGAGAGGGTCATTCATAGTCTTTGAAGCAATATCCCGCAATCTGAAATGTCAAAGGGAAGTCGTAAATCTAAGGCTGGAGCAGTATAAGCTGCATACCTTAAGCGTTGACTCTTCTCATCCTCCTGGTATTCCTTTCCCTTATCGCGCTCGCTGTACCATGGGTTGAGGTCCTTAGCACTTGGGGCCAGTGGTACACCCTTCTCAGCCTCTAGCTGTGCGGTCTTCTTCGTCACTCGTATGGCAGTAATCATTTCTTGCTAGCACCATATCAGTATATGCACACAAGAATGGCGACAAAAAACCGACCTGTTCTAAATCCTCAAATAGATTGATATGACCCTGTTTCGAGTCCTTGGCAACGATGGAAGCCTTAGCGTCCTCTATAACCTTCATATCATCCTCTTTCTTCTTCCCCTTTCCTTTCCCAAGTCCTGCACGTTCTCGGAGGAGGTCCAGCCGAGCCTCTGCATCAGCCAGCACTACCCTTCCCTCAGCCTCGGCTTCCTTTTGCGCGGCTTCCTCTTCATCTCTCCGTACACGTTCGATGTTGTCCCGGCGGTAGGGGTGATATGATTTATGATGAGCGATGTTCAGTTTGCCCATGTCGAACGCGGATAATATGAAACGGTATTGTGCGTATGGTACAGAACTAGGCGCGCTACAAAAAGGCTACAGACTCACAGGCTGAGCACAACCCACAATCATACATTCCCACGCACAAAGGGTACTGTACGTACTGTACACAAGCGCTTAACGCATGTATTAACTACTTAATACTTATAAGCATGTCTGAACTTTCAAGTTCCTAGATAGACGCCCTTTACTCCCCAGGTGCGCACAGTTCCCTGATCAAATTCTCATCGATCCTCTTCTCAAAACATATTTCAAACGGAGCAGCATGTATAGTCGCAGCATCCGAGAAAGCAAGCGTGTCAATCTTTGCTGCAGGATTCTCAGAAAGACGGAAAGCCCAGAGAATAAGAGCCGTGTTAATGAAGATAGACCGATTTGCGACATGTTGACCGGGACAGACTCTGACATTTTCAAGTAAGTCAGGAGAACGGGTCGAGAGATGAGCGATGCCACTCACCGGCGACCAAAGCCAAAAGTGAAAAACCGGAGATCATCGCGCACACGACCTGCATCGTCAATCCAACGCTGAGGATTGAACTTGTGCGGTTCTGGGAAGACCTCGGGATCGTTTGCGATAGCCCTGAAACACGAGTATTGGAGACAGAGGTGAACAACGAAAATGATTGTCTACTGACCAATGGTTGCCAATGACAATCGCACCTGCAGGAATGAGGTAGTTATTCCAAATTATGTCCTTGGTTGCGCAATGCGGAAAGCCTGTAGTGCAGGGTCGTCGTTCATCGTCGTGTCATCACAACTCAAATAAGACGTACCTCCAAGGCTGACAGGTCTCCACCTCATGCTCTCGAGTATGAACGCGGTAACCTGCGGCAGCATTTCCTGATCACCAAATGTCGGCACTAATCAGGAGCTATCTCAGTCAGTAGATGAACAAAGAAAAAGCATAACCTACGCCGCGTACGCCCCACGACGTTATCAAGTTCCTCTTGTACGCGAGCCTGTGCGTCCGTGTGAATGGTAGCGGCCATCATCATAACTGTGATTGCAGACGCAGTCTACAACAGTGGTCAAGTTAAGATGTAATGCAATGTAAGAGCATACCGAATCAGAACCGGCCGAAAACATTCCTCCTGCAATGTATGCCAGTTCCTTATCTTCGAGCTGGTACTGTTTCTGGTACTTCTAAAATGAACCTCCCGAATGATGGCCTTGCAGTCCCCTCACGCTTCACAGGGTGAGCGAGGACATCTGTCAGAACGGCAAAATCACAAACCATCTGCCTTCGCACCACGTCCAACTGCCCGTTAAAGAGAGGCAAGATCTTCTTGGTGCCATGCCTTCAGTTGGCTCAGGTAGCCTGGGACAAAACGCAGGATTGGATACGTATCCACGAGGTATGCTCCCGGCTTCACGGCTTGACCTAAACGCGCAAGGGATTTATGGACGGCAACAATTTCAGGGTCTGTGTACGAAGTCGGAGTAGTTTTTCCATAGGTGAAGGACATGACGACGGAAGCTGCATAACTAAAATGCAAAGATTACTACCAATACCGCGTGAGCAAGAGTTAATGTTCGTACCGCATGGCATGACGCTGGTGATTCTTTGGATCATTCAATATATCTAGAACCAGATTTTTTGAATTTCTAGCCTGGATGGGCTCATATGTCTCCGCAACCCTGGGTTGCAAGCCTGCATGCAAGACCCTGCTTTACATTCAGTTTCACTGATCGCACCTGGTAGAGACAAGATGTGTACCTGCGCAGCCGGCGCAATCTGTCACCACTGCCCTCAAGGAGCATTCTCATCCCGCCAGATAATGTCTCTTGCACTGCAATAGAACGCTGGGCGGTCATGCGAGATTTGCTCCCTCTTTTTCCATGATATCCACCGCAGCCTATGACGAGACCCACTTCATGCCTGGCTAGACGATGAATTGTTTGATGCTTACCTGATGACGTCCTATAATCACGAAAATCCTATGGCCTTGTTTGAGCGAGAACACGGGTCCAGTATTGTTCTGTCCACCTCGCGAATTGAAACGGCACCACTGTGTGAAGGGTCAGAGATTATATTGATGTCCCTTGACAAAGACTCACTATGACTCTGGCATCGTATTTCCAAAAGCCAATGTCCAGGCGGTCCAGGCGGTAATGACAACCGCCTTGTGGCCTGATATCGTTGCTTCACGATCCAGACGCTGGCCAAGACAATAAGGGTGCATGCAACAGTGATAAACGCCATTGAAACGGTCGGGCTTGCTGATAGTAGTCACGACACCCTGTACCATTACAATAGGTTAAGTACTCCAGAAGTGAGAACAAGGTGGCAACTTGCTGCGATGAGCGATAGGCACGCTGCGATTGCACTGATTTAGTACAAACGCAACTTGAAGTTCGCCTGGATGGATTAATCGGGCATGTGTGAGTTATGTATGATTTTCCTTCCATGTTCCCCGTACTAAAGGTAATAGATCCGTAAGAGAACGTGATGACCACCTGGTGATCAGTGGTGGACGGGCAAGCCTTGCCAAGATATTTCGACTCCAGATTAAGCGATAAGCAAGAAGGGAAGGGTGGAGGTTTGGGGCCTGGGGCCTCGCCGCGGAGGGTCGGAAACTCTAAAGCTAGAAGGTCACTGACCTAGACATTGCTCTCCCGCTAATGCTAGTCCTAGCCTCAGCGTTGGCCTCAACAACATCATGAGAAATACACGTGCAGCATGACCTAGTAGGCCTCAACGTTGCAATCCTCAACCCCTCCTCTCTCTCACTTGTCAGTGATTCCCACGTTCTCAGGCTGTCTACAGTCATCAGCGGAAAAAATCTTCAAGTTCCTTCCTGGCGCGTTCCAGCAGGCATCTATGTATCCATCAATCCCGACTCGAGCAGGCGCTGGAAATCAACCATCGAAGTCTTATCATCCGACGAATCTATAGCCTGGGCCGATACTATGACCCTGTACAGGTTCATTGAGACTTTCAGACAGAACTCGAGGACTGATCTTTTGTTTGTAGATCATTAGATGCGTCGCCTGCATTATCAATGGAGATCAGGGTGTCATATGAAGCTGGTCGAATGCTAGGCAGCGGAGAGGTCATCTGTAGAACGTCATCTCCTTCCCATCCGTTCGTAGTGTTCACCCTTCCCTCGCACTAAAGGCTGCTGTTCTATATCATTATGACAATCAGGACAGCGCTCTGTCTGACGTGAGTGATATCAGCCTCTGCGGTTTTGGCATTTGTTGACAGAACACCTACTGTAGTCCATCGGTGAATGTCAGATTGCTCAGAATACCAATGCGGGCCATGACTCACGACTTGCCACAGACGTGACAAGCGAGACGGTCTCTCACCTGAATGATGGTGTAAAGCATTTTCAGTTGGTCCTGGACCAATGTCCGGTCGGTCATCCTCACCAGGCAGCGACTCTCACTAACCTCGTATGAGCCCGCCTTGAAAGCTATATTCAAAACGATGTTCGAGACATCGACTTTATCACTTCACTCTTCCGCGGAGCCCTTGCATTCCGTTCGCAAGGCCACCCCGGCCATCCATTATCTATCTATCACCTCAAAGCATTGATCCGGCGCTTCAGCAAGGAGAACACTGGCATATGTGTTCATGAGTTCGCGCAACTGTCCTGCAAGTTCTTGCCCCTCTGTCCAGAGGGCACCTACCTTCGTGGCGTCGCGGCTGGGGCAAATGACATCGATTATGTGATCTGCTCATGTAACAATCTTCTAAATGACACATCCAATGAATGCATCCACCTTCGATGAGTCGTGCTCGAGCTCTGTCCTCTGGCCATCAGGATTGTCCCGGAGCCCTCCACAAGCTTTCACCAACGCAGCACCATTCATGATTTAACAAAGAGCATACAACATTATCGCGAAGGGTGCCCCGAGGGACATCCTAAACGCGCCATCTACCTGAATAACTTGGCCTTGTCACTTGATCACCATTTCAATCGCCAAGGTAACTCATGATTTTAACGACATCATTCGATCCATCAGCCTCCAGCACGAGGCACTGATGTAACGTCCGCCCTGAGAATCCATATCGTGATAATACGGTTAACAACCTTACCCTTGCGCTTAAAACCAGATATGACAAATTGGATACTAGTGAGGATCTCGACGAGACCATCAACCTGTTCAAGGATTCACTTCAGTTAAGACCGCATGGCCATTCATGTCGCCATATAAATTTCAATTTGAGTTGGGCGATTTGTGATTTGTTCTCGTTTCACGCATACTCAGAAGAATGAAGATGTCTAGGAAGCCATTCGACTCTGCCAAGAGTCGTTAGAGGCTTTGCCTTCACTACACCCGGATAGATATTTCAGCTACGTGTGGCTGAGGAATGCTTATGTGTCTCGTTACCGAGTGCAACACGACTTTGCTGATTTGTTGCTCGCTGTAGAGTACCTCGGACTAGCGTCGAGACACCCTACTCAGGGCTTTCCAAAGCACGTTCAGACTGAGACTGGGTTGTCACAGCAGAGCAGGGGGCCTGCGGGGCTTCATTAAAATTAGATTTCTCTTGTAATTTATTGTCGTTTAATGTCATGATGCTGAAGCTTTTACATTACTTTATCTTTGGATATAATCTGTACATAAAACATCTTCAGCTTGATTTCGTGAGGTAAAGGGGTGCACAGTATATAAGCGCATGTATCAACAGTTTACATACTTATCAGTATGAGTACTGAACTTTCGAGTGCCTGGATAAATGCCCTTTATTCCCCAGGTGCGCACAGTTCCCTGATCTGATTCTCATCGATCCTCTTCTCAAAACATATCTCAAACGGAAGCAGCATGTATATTCGCAGTATCCGAGAAATCAAGTGTGTCAATTTTTGCTGCAGGATTCTCAGAAAGACGGAAAGCCCAGAGAATAAGAGCGGTGTTGATGAAGATAGACCGATTTGCGACATGTTGACCGGGACACACTCTGACATAAGTCATGAGAACCGGTCGAGAGATGAGCGATGCCACTTACCGGCGGCCAAAGCCAAAAGTGAAAACCGGAGATCATCGCGCACACGACCTGCATCGTCAATCCAACGCTGAGGATTGAACTTGTGCGGTTCTGGGAAGGCCTCCGGATCGTTTGCGATAGCCCTGAAACATGGATGTTGGAGACAGAGATGAAAGAATGAAATGATTGTCTACTGACCAATGGTTGCCAATGACAATCGCACCTGTAGGAATGAGGTAGTTATTCCAAATTATGTCCTTGGTTGCGCAATGCGGAAAGCCTGTAGTGCAGGGTCGTCGTTCATCGTCGTGTCATCACAACTCAAATGAGACGTACCTCCAAGGCTGACAGGTCTCCACCTCATGCTCTCGAGCATGAACGCGGTAACCTGCGGCAGCATTTCCTGATCACCAAATGTCGGCACTAATCAGGAGCTATCTCAGTCAGTAGATGAACAAAGAAAAAGTATAACCTACGCCGCGTACGCCCCACGACGCTATCAAGTTCCTCTTGTACGCGAGCCTGTGCGTCCGTGTGAATGGTAGCAGCCATCATCATAATTATGATTGCAGACGCAGTCTACAACAGTTGTCAAGTTAAGACGTGAGGTAATGTAAGAGCTTACAGTATCAGAACCGGCCGCAAACATTCCTCCTGCAATGTATCCCAGTTCCTTGTCTTCGAGCTGGTACTGTTTCTGGTGCTCTAAAATGAATCTTGCAAAAGATGGTCTTGCAGTCCCCTCACGCTGAACAGCGGTGAGCGAGGATATCTGTCTTCGCACCGCGTCCAACTGCCCGTTAAAGAGAGCAAGTTCATCTTGGTGCCATGCCTTCAGTTTGCTCAGGTAGCCTGGGACGAAACGCAGGATTGGATACGTATCCACAAGGTATGCTCCCGGCTTCATGGCTCGACCAAAACGCGCAAGAGACTCATTGACAGCAACGATTTCAGGGTCTGTGTACGAGGTCGGAGTAGTTTTTCCATAGGTGAAAGACATGACCACGGAAGCCGCATAACTAAAATGCACGGATTACCGCCTGTACCGCGTGAGCAAAAGTTAGAGTTCGTACCGCATGGCATGACCCTGGTGGTTCTTTGGATCATTTAAGATGTCTATAACTAGATTCTTCGCATTCCTGGTCTGGATGGGCTCATAGGTCTGCGCAACCTTGGGTTGCAAGCCTGCATGCAAGACCCTGCTTTACATTCAGTCTCGCTAACCACACCTAGTAGAGACAAGATATGTACCTGCGCAGCCGGCGCAATCTGTCACTACTGCCCTCAAGGACCATCCCCATCCCGTCAGCTAATGTCTCTTGCACTGCAATAGAACGCGGGCGGTCGGCGAGATTTGCTCCCTCTTTTTCCATGATATCCACCGCAGCCTATGACGAAAGTCACTTCATGCCTGGCTAGATGGTGATTTGTTCGATGCTTACCTGATGACGTCCTATAATGACAAAATCCTATGGCCTTGTTTGAGCGAGAACACGGGTCCATATTGTTCTGTCCACCTCGCGAATTGAAACGGCGCACTGCGTGAGGGGTTAGAGATGATATTGATATCCCCTTACAAAGACTTACTATGACTTTGGCATCGTATTTCCTAAAAGCCAACGTCCAGGCGGTCCAGGCGGTAATGGCGACCGCCTTGCGGCTTGATATTGTTGCTTGACGATCCAGATGCTGGCCAAGACAATAAGGGCGTATGCAGCAGTGATAAACGCCATTGAAACGGTCGGGCTTGCTGATCGTCACGACACCCTGTGCCATTGCAACAAGTCAAGTACTACTGCAGAAGCTAGAACAAGGTGGAAACTTGCTGCGATTGCACTGACTTACAAACACAAGTTTACCTGCTGGTTACGGTCTTCCTTCCACGCACCACGTACTAAAAGTAACAGATCCTCAAGAGAAACTAATGACCACTTGGTGATCAATTAGTGGTGGATGCGCAAGTGCCAAAATACTTCGACTCCATCAGATTATAGCTAAGTGATAAAGAAAAGATAAAAGGGAAGGGTCCCGGAGGGCATGATGTCCAAAACTGGTAGTTTACTGATCTTCGGCTGCGGAGGATGAAGGTAAGGTCACCGCGGGTGTTCGGAATTTGCCGAACGCACATGAGGCTCAGCCAGAACTTTGAGAGTACGTGGGTAGACTATACCATAGACTACGTGTAGAAAATCCGGGAGCATTACAAATTCTTTTCGTGGAAAGTGAGCCGAATCCATAGACCATCCGTAGACTTGCGTAGACTCAACTCGGTCTCAGTAGATCAACCAAACAACGACGTCATTGCTCGGCTGTGATCATTGCCTGCAACAGCGTCTAGCATATATATGACAACGGCAAGCCAATGTTTTCACCATCTGCCCCACCACTATTTCTGCCCATCTGCCTCGTCACCGTCTGACCCACCGCTGACCACTACTATGTCACTAGTACTTATGTTGGACCTACACCTTATATTGATTGCCGTGACGCCGTCTTAGTATAAATTTTGTAGTGTGAGTGACTCGATATTCAACCTTTGCAGTATACTAACTACGGCCTACTACTAGTAGTAGTAGTATGACTGATACAGTCCTGTGTACCAAGGCTGACTGCCGCAACTTGAAGCAAGGCACTCAGCCACGCAAGGCCAACAAGAACTGCACACGACGCAACTGCAAGCAGTGTTGTGAGGTGGCGGGAGGGTGTAGGGTCCACCGAGTCGCAGCTGCATCTTCTCCAGTTGTCACCCAACAGCATGAAAACTCGACCATACCACCACTTGCCACCATTAACCCCACGTCTACTCAACTTGACCACCCTCCAGTTACTGCATCGAGTCAGTCACTCCCAGCCACTTCACGAAACTATGCTCGGCCGTTAGACCCCAATTACGCACGGAACTATGTTCTCGGGCACCAGCGGACATTGGTGGCTGAGCAACGCTTTCAAGCTGACCAAAGTCTGAGCATTATGATCCGCAATATGGTTGATATAGTGCTCTGGTTGAAGGTATAGTATTCTACATGTATTAGATGGTTTCTCGGTGCTGAAATATCACTAGAACAATGAACCTCCCCACCTCGCAAAGCTGACATGCTCCACACCTGGAAAGTTCGTGCCAGGAGACCATCCGCTATTGATGAGATTCGAGCTCGGGGATTATATTGCAGTGATCAGCATGCCTGGATCGAGCAAGATATCAAGACTCCGCTTCTCAGTCCTCCCAATTCAACAATCCTGCTTCGTTCTATTGATCTGACCGACAATCATATGCTACTTGGATTTGCCGAGAGGGTCTCATCTCTTAGTTGCATGTCTGCGACTGTCCAATCTCCGTCAAAACGATCCTTTAGTGCCACGGGTATGCATCTGTCCCGATTGGATGGGATGACCTCGCCATTGAAGCGGCAGAGGAATGCCAGTAGCACGGCTCTCATCTCTCGACAGTCACCCATTCCTTTACCGCTTACTAGCCTATTGCCGAGTCCCACTTCGACATCACCTTTGTCACTCGCTGCCGCCAACTCGGACACGTCACCTGGGCCTGTATTAGTGCCTGCGCTAGCCATGGTTCAACCCAACGCTACCATCCCTGCAGGCGCCCGAGCACGATTTCCTTGGAAGTATGCATGTGATATGGTTTCCCCGGATTCAGCTCTTCGTCAATGTATCAGACGATCAAATGATCCAGGCCCTCTTCGCCACTACATTTCCAAATTGCACCTATACTAAGGCAACATTTTACAAGCATCGCGCCGCTTATCGGGCAGCTATCGAGAATTCAAGTGATAGGGTTGAACGTGCCGTCAATGCGGGATATAGTCCTGCTGGCCAGTGGAACACTCTCTTGGCTGAAATCAAAGCTAATGCGGCTTCGAGTCTTACTGGTAGTAATAGCCCGGGTAGCATCTCGAACTCGGACACAAAGTGTATGTATAATCTCATTTACTACTTCCATGGTTGGCTAATCCTCGTCCTTCAGGTCCTACCCTGCCTCCGAGTCTACCAATGAACTCATCTACCACTGACATTGGATTGCCGCTCCCTACAGACCTTACCAGCGAGATGAGTGATGCTCTTGTCTCGCTACTCAAGAACATAGATGAAATGGACAATGATACTGCAGCGGCTACCACTAACTCTGAATTTCCTTTAGATCTTTCGAGTTACCCCCAATTTGATCTATTTAGCACTTGGTTAAATGATCCTTCTCCCGTAGATTATCAATCCTTACCACCCTTACCACCTTTAAATGATCCTTCTCCCGTAGATTATCAATCCTTACCACCATTACCACCTTTTAATTAGAGTAACTACTCTGTCTGTTATCCACGAAATCCAACCGTCTTATGTTGAAAAAATACTATGAGTAGCTAGTCATAATTCCAACTCGAGAGTGAACTGACGGCGGCATCAAAATGTCCATGAAACTTGACATCTGAATGGTGCGATCCCCAAGTGAGGACGGCGGCATCAAAAATGTCCATGAAACTTGACATCTGAATGGTGCGATCCCCAGTGATGAACTCTGGCATTCGTTCGAAACACAGGACAAAAAACATACAACAAGAGATAGAATTTCAAATGACAACAATCTAGACAATGTAATGTAATGCAAACAGCACCAGGAGAGTCAATGCACTAGTCACTACCAAACAGAGTTTCCATGGAAATCATCCAAGGAGAATGCCCTCGTCTCTCCGACTCTGAGATAACATAGCGATTCCGACGTTTGATCATCTCGTCAAGATAAAAGTTGTACCGGTGTACAGACATGTCTCGCAGGATTGCCTGATACCCACCTAGCCAAACGTTCGTCTGTTCACAAATTGATGTATTAAATCGCCACTTGCCGCCAGAAATGAGCTCAGGGAAAGCAGCAGGGTTGCAGTGGCGCTGACAGTAGGTGTCAGTTTCCTTGTGTTTCGAGTTGAAATGAAACACGTCAACAGGCATCCCTGTTGCAGCAAAGTGGTCATCACCAATAGCGTCTTGGTGAGCGCGGAGCTTGCAGTTGTTGTCAAAGACGAAGTATTCAGGTGTCGATGCGGCAGTAGGGAATACCGCCTTTGCAAATTCCTTGAGATTAAATGTTAGCTTAAATCAGTAAGACTGCGTGTAACTCACATTAACAGCAGAGACGGCCTCGGACCCAAAAAACGTAGCCCACGCTAATATCACTCCACAAGGTCGCATAATGAGTTGCTCATTATGGGTGCGGCGTCGACCAAACCTTGCTCTGAGGTGTTTGTTGCCGTTCTCTGGCTTACCGTCACACTCGGAGTCAACAATCACCTCGAGATCTTCTTCTGCACTGTTAGGGTTACTACTACCACTATCCGTGGGCGAAGGAACAGAGTCCAAGGGTAAGGTAACACCAGCCCTCTTGAGCCGCGCTCGCAGCTGGAAGAGAGCTTTCGCGGGCTTGAAGTAGGCATCTTCAAGAGCCTGGTGGTCCGCGTTGGCGCATGTTTGAAATCCAGAGGCATTGAGCTCGTCACAGCCATCAACTGCGCACCGCTGGTTTAAGTCTTGATGGTCCGGACAGAAACGATGACGGTTGGTCATAAGGGGGACTTTGCAGTCGTGCACTGCACAACAAGGGTGCCCGATGGTATTACCATCACAAACGGCTGCTTGAATTTTCGCTATGGCATATAATCAATCTGAGCATGACGCCATGCATCTGACAAACAATTGACTTACATTTTGAGTCGTCGTCGCCGATAACGATGAAGCACAAGTCACAGGCATGCGGGTATGCTTCCTGCCCAATACCTTCCATTTCTTTGTTGCGCTCGCTCAGCGCAACATCAATTCGGATCCGTTGTTGCTCGTCGTGGGGGAGAACAAGGCAACTGTTATGCTCTGCCTTCTCCAGTAGCAGTGAGTAGATAAAAAAACCATTCAGGACGTCAGTGTCGCGCATTCGAAGGGTATACTGCCATGAAAATTCCTCGTCAAAAGCTCGTGGAAGTGTAGCATCAAAAGCACGTCTATTGTTCGAGATGTAGGCGTGCCGTTGAGCAAGTGCATAGTTGTACACGCGAGCGCAGTTCATGCTAGACATCCTGGAATGAAAGGTTAGCGTTATTATTGTCAGAGAAAGACGACATACCATCCGAAGACTTTCGTTGCTGCAAAAAGTTCCAACAGCGCAGCTTCAATATAGAAATGCCTCGCAGCCTGAATGACGCTGGGAACACCAGCATAGTAAATGCGTGTCGAGTCGGTGTTGTTAGTCCAATAGTTGGGGGTAATATCTAGCATGACATTCTGAATGAAATGGTCAGTATGCATTACTAGAAGATAAAGAACATACGTCGACAATATGTTGATACCGAATGGACTGGAAGAGAACCATCTCGTAGCGTAAAGAGGCTGGCACGAAATGTATTGACATCCGTGAGAGTGGCTACTTCATCATCGTCACGGTAGTTCACGCATTCAGGACGCTGGCATACACGTGTCGGTGGATACAAGTCGTGATACCCTATGAGGTTTGAAACATGTCAGTGAAAGAAGAGAAAAGACGAACAGCAACGCACCAATACCGCGCACAAGTCCATGACGGTTAAATGCTTCAATCTCCTGGTCAGTTGGGAGTACTGCGCCATGAGTCCAGATAATCTGACGGAATGCTACCCAGCATGCGAGGATAGTCGGTGGGTCTTGACCGAGTGCGCCAGCAAGAAGGGATACGACGACTTCTGGAGGATGGATGGGTGGATGTCGGATGTCAGTCATGCACTGGCGAATGAATGGTTTCGCCATGCATGCAAGCCGAACGAAGGCCATGAGGTCGGGGAAAGTGAGATCATACTCATCGAGGGATGCAAGTAGCTGACCGATGCCCATCATGAAGGGCATCAGAGGGGGACGTCGGTGACAGCGATGAGGAGCAGTTGATCATATACAAATCGAGGACGTTGTTTGGTCGTTCTACCCGTGGCGTCGTAGACTCGGGTGGACTGCGGTAGACTCGGGTGGACTGCGGTAGATTCACCGGAGTTATCCGAACAGAGTCTACCAATTTTCTACGCGAGTCTACGGTAGATTCTACCCATGCACCTTATATGTCCTCGGCTCAGCTAATAGGACTCGTGAATTCCGAGTCACTGGTCCGATCAATCAACCTGGGGTATATAGCAGATTTACCCCACATCTTACAGGCGAGCCCGCGCACGGTACTGCTCATATATGGAGCCGTCAACGTCACTGCACAGACAGTCTCGCCAAGGTTAAAATCTACCTCCTGCCCTCCCTCTTCCACATGTAATCCCTACCTATTCCACGTGTCATCCCTCGGATTCCTTCCCCTTCTTGCACTCATCGTGCCAGTGGATCTGGATGAGGTAAGACTGCGTATCGAATAAACAACAGGCGGTGTTCGTTCATTCATTTTCACCAGGTCACTCGAAAAGCAACAATCCACCTTCTCTTTAGTAGTATCCGTGCTCAAGCTGAACTACTACAAATTTCTGTACGATGGGTACGCTGTCTATGTGTTACCAACTAAGTCCAGCTCACTCAATCTGCTACAGCGTTTGTTCCCATCTTGCCAGTCGCCTCAGATCACGGCGTGCTTTCCATCCGAGTCGAAAGTATCTCCACAAGGCACACCTCCTTGGATGAGCCAGTCTCACAACAGCAATCTACCATCGGCCTGAGACGTAGGAAAGGTACAGGTGGCGTCCGTCATCGGGAACCCAACCTCCTCCTTCGAGCTGCGACGTCGATGCTGACTCCGGAGAAACCTATCGCCAAACCATCTAGAGACTGGAGGAGTATTCGCGCCATCATCTTATCGTCATGTACGGGACACTTCTTCAGCACTTATGTATTGTGTTGATATTTGCTTGCGGCAGGGTTTAACGTCTTGCTGGTGTTTATTCCCATATCTGTATGTCATTTGTGCATCAGTTTGGATCATTTCTGACTGGTCGTCGTTTGAAGTGGTCAATCAATTTCGCTCTCCCTGATCAACACACTCTAATCTTCGTCCGTAAGTTGACACGTTACCTCTTAAATATCCAGATGCTACAGTGTGCTACTGCAGTTACGTTTCTTGCCATCATACCATTGGCTAAGGTGATTGCAAGCTCGCTTTTTTGTAGTTTTACAACACTGAGCTGCTGTCAGCTCCTGGCGTATGCTACGGACGAGTTCTCCATATGGATCGGCCAGACTTTGGCAGGTATTCTCAACGCCACATTAGTTCGTGCATCATCCACTATTTCATGACCTCAATCTAACAACTGTAAAATTCTAGGAAACATTCTTCCGTAGCGTCGAACTCATCGTCTCTGTGCGTTCTGATCACAGCACGCTTTCCACCGAAAGTTTCTCTGCCGTGAATGAGCCCATCCTGTCACAGCTACCGGTCGCCTCAGATCACAGCTCACTTTCCACTGAAAGTTTCTCTGCAGTGAATGAGCCCATCCCGTCACAGCTACCGGTCGCCTCAGATCACAGCGCGCTTTCCACTGAAAGTATCTCCGCCGTGGATGTGCTCATCCCGTCACAGCTATGTACCACTACCCTGAGACGTAGAAAAAGTACAAGTGACATCTGTCATCGGGAACCGAACTTCCTCCGCCGAGCTGCGACGTTGATGCTGACACCGGAGAAACCAATCGCCAAACCCCCTAGTACCTGGAAAAGCATTCGCGCCATGATCTTATCATCATGTACGGGACAATTCTCCGAAGCTTATGTATTGTGTTAATATTTGCTTGCGGCAGGGTTTAACGTCTTACTGGTGTTTATTCCTATATCTGTATGTCATTTTTGCATCAGTCTGAATCATTTCTGACTGGTCGTCGTTTGAAGTGGGCAATTCATTTCGCTCTTCCTGATCAGCACACTCTAATCTTCGTCTGTGAGTCGATATGTTACCTCTTAAATTTCCGAGGTGCTACAGCGTGCTCTGCAGTATCATTTCTTGCCATCATACCATTGGATAAGGTGATTACAAGCTCGCTTTTTTGTAGGTTTACAACACTGAGCCACCATCAGCTCCGGGCGTATGCTACGGACGACCTCTCCATACGGGTCGGCCAAACTTTGGCAGGTCTTCTCAATGCTACATTAGTTCGTACATCATCCACCATTTCATGACCTCAATCTAACGACTGTAAAATCTAGGAAAATGTGTCAGTCAAAACTTTTTCATGTCAATCATTATCTAATCATTCGTGCATCCTTTCATAGCGTCGAACTCATCGTCTCTGTGCGTTCTAATGTTGGCAAACTTGCACAGCGAGATGCTGAGGTTTGCACTCTAGATTATAGCCCTCACAAAATGCGAACTCGGGATCGTTCAGTCCTCCTGTATGTCCGCTTATCTCCCTTGCGACCCTAGACCCACCATAGTTACTTTTAGTGATGGGATCTATTTTGAGCAATCTTCGTTGGTATTCTCGCCTTCCATTTTGAAATTAATTAACCACACCCCAGTTCTGGTGCTCGGCATGTGCTTCTTTGCCGGTGGCATGCGCTTTTCGGAACAGGGTTTCGGACTAAGTATGGTTTGTGCCAGTTGAAACACCTATTCTTACTTTTGTTGACAGATGCGATGCAAGTGAATTCATCACTGCTTACCATTAGCGCCATTGCTATTTTACTGCCTGGTGCTTTCCACATGGCATTACAGGGCCATCCTTTGTATAGCGAGCTGTCGACAAATTACAACATACTGAGGATCAGCCATGGTGTACGTCTCTGATACTTTAACATGGGTAAAATTGTCCTCACACCGTCATCCAGGTTGCCATCATTCTCCTTTCTAGTAGGTCAACCAAAACCCAGCTGTCAATCACTCAATCACCTTTTTTTTTAGTTTACGGCTCGTATTTGGTTTTTCAACTGTTTTCACACAGAGCCCTCTATAATGCGGACATACAAAAGACAAAAGGCTACGAGGGACACAATCCATGGCTACAGTTGAGACTCTACCGTCGTAAGACCGCTAAACCCATACTATCCCCTGAACCGATGGGTGACGAAGAAGCTGCAACCGATCCCACTGGGTTTGCATCCACGGAGGACACAGACTCTGAGGTAGAAACATATATGAGCGTCCCTGTGGCCCTCGGGCTTCTGGTCGTTGTAACTACAGTACGTGCCACTGCCTGTGCTGATAGCAATCCTTTGACAATATTCTTGCTCCAGTTAATAGCTGTTACCGCCGAGTTCCTCGTAGACTCGATCGACGATCTGACTGAATCTCGGACCATCGGCAAAGAGTTTATCGCCGTGATCTTGCTTCCAATAGTTGGCAATGCAGCGGAACATGTTACTTCAGTTACAGTGTCCTTCAAGGGTAACATAACCCTAAGCTTGGGTGTTGCTGTTGGATCAAGTATTGTGCGTTTGTTTATCTGGTTGTCTTTCCGAGATCGCTGACTGGTCTCTAGCAAATTGCACTCTTCGTTATCCCGTGCGTCTCATAGTCGTGTCTCCTGTCACTAGTTTTTCACCGTTCGTATTTTTGGCAGGTTCATCGTGACACTCGCTTGGATTATGGGTAAACCACTGACGTTCCTCTTCGACCCGTTGGAGTCGATCGTGCTATTCGTCTCTGGTGCGTATATCATCTCAACAAGGCGGCATGATGATGAAACAATCAAATGCATGTATCAGTTCTCACCGTAAACTATGTCGTACAGGATGGCAAGTCAAATTGGTTAGAGGGCATGATTCTCGTGGGTAAGTCCCGACTGCCTTTTGAGTTTGCGTTCATCCTCAGCTTTGTGCAGGCTTATACTTGATATTGGCTGTCACGTTTGGTTTTATCCTGGTACATCGCCATCTGAAATGTTTGTAAGGTGCTGAGTAGTTCTCCCTTAGGCACTGCAGGCATCTTCCCGAGCTGTTAGAAAAGACGACCGACTAGCAGTCCTCTCGGCTATGGATCATGACCACGCATGCACACTCGCTATTCGGAAGCTAACCGTTGACTAATATTAATGATCAACATCCCCATACCACTCCTTCCTTGGGCCTGCTACGATACATACATATAACGACAGTATAAAACCGCAAACATTATAATTTATGCCTCCCCATACCCTCCCACACCTCACAATTTTGGTGTGGACATCATTTATTTTGATGTCCAATTTGTGTCCGTCTCATATCCACTTGCTGGATGGGTGTCGCGACACTTTTGACTGTGACACTTTCATGATATTTTTGGTGGATCATATAGGTCTCATACGGGATCATGTGTTATTATTAGCACTGTTGCTTTATGCATATGACGAATTCTAGTGTCCCTGTCCGAATCGTAGCGGCGGCGAGCCGCGAGTCCGACCATTCAGGCTATATAGTCAGTTAGAACTGTGATACATACATCTACGACTGTCGTTGTCCACTATCCACCAGGATGTATCCTGGAGAGAATTAGTGGGATAGCTTCTTCGGCTCTCGCCCACCTACTATACCCTTATTTCCTGTAGGCTAGGAACTCGTTTATACTGAGCACTGCCAGTGCGCACCACGAAAACACCTTGGCTGAGTTAGGTAACAAGTCCCTAACCGTAAAATAATGCAACAAAGCGGCATCGAGCCGCCAGTCCTCGATTCCTTGACTGGTCAATTCCTTCCTTCCCCCAAGGTATGTACAATGTTCCACAATCTGTGCAATACAAGTGTCTCTACTCATCAACATTTCTGGTATCCGACTGGCGTTTCCCAGAGTCAAGTTTCAGTACCCTTCATCCTTTACTCCCCAGGTGCACACAGTTCCCTGATCAGATTCTCATCGATCCTCTTCTCAAAACATATCTCAAACGATGCAGCATGTATAATCGCGGTGTCCGAGAAAGCAAGCGTGTCAATCTTTGCTGCAGGATTCTCAGAAAGACGGAAAGCCCAAAGAATAAGAGCTGTATTGATGAAGGTAGACCGATGTGCGACATGTTGACCGGGACAAACACTAACATTTTCAAGCAAACCGTGAGAATGAGTCAAGAGATGAGCGATGCCACTTGCCGGCGACCAAAGCCAAAAGTGAAAAACCGGAGATCATCGCGCACGCGACCTGCATTGTCAATCCAACGCTGAGGATTGAACTTCTGCGGTTCTGGGAAGACCTCAGGATCGTTTGCGATAGCCCTGAAAGACCAGCGTCAGGGACAGAGGTGAGACAACAAAAATGATTGCTTACTGACCAATGATTGCCAATAACAGTCGCACCTGCAGGAATGAGGTAGTTATTCCAAATTATGTCCTTGGTCGCGCGATGCGCAAAGCCTGTATTGCAATGTTGTCGAAAGAAATTCATTGTCGCGTCGTCACAATTCAAATGAGACATACCTCCAAGGCTGACAGGTCTCCACCTCATGCTCTCGAGCATGAACGCGGTAACCTGCGGCAGCATTTCCTGATCATCAAATGTCGGCACTAATCAGGAGCTATCTCAGTCAGTAGATGAACAAAGAAAAAGTATAACCTACGCCGCGTACGTCCCACGACGCTATCAAGTTCCTCTTGTACGCGAGCCTGTGCGTCCGTGTGAATGGTAGCAGCCATCATCATGACTGTGATTGCAGAGGCGCTCTACAACAGTGGTCAAGTTAAGACGCAATGCAATGTACGAGCATACCGTATCAGAACCGGCCGCAAACATTCCTCCTGCAACGTATCCCAGTTCCTTGCCTTCGAGCTGGTACTGTTTCTGTTGCTCTAAAATGAATCTCGCAAAGCATGGTCTTGCAGTCCCCTCACGCTTCACAGTGGTGAGCGAGGACATCTGTCTGAACAGCAAAATCACGAACCATTTGTTTTCGCACCACGTCTAACTGCCCGTTAAAGAGAGCAAGTTCATCTTGGTGCCATGCCTTGAGCTGGCTCAAGTAGCCTGGGACGAAACGCAGGATTGGATATGTATCCACAAGGTATGCTCCCGGCTTCATCGCTCGACCAAAACGCGCAGAAGACTTACAGACGGCAACAACTTCAGGGTCTGTGTATGAAGTCGGAGTAGTTTTTCCGTAGGTGAAGGACATGACCACGGAAGCTGCAAAACTAAAATGCACGGATTACCGCCTGTACCGCGTGAGCAAAAGCTAGAGTTCGTACCGCATGACATGACTTTGGTGATTCTTTGGATCATTCAAGATATCTAGAATCAGATTCTTCGCATTCCTGGTCTGGATGGGCTCGTAGGTCTCCGCAACTTTGGGTTGCAAGCCTGCATGCAGGACCCTGCTTTATGTCCAGTCTCACTGATCACACCCGGTAGAGACAAGATGTGCACCTGCGTAGCCGGCGTAATCTCTCGCCACTGCCTTCAACGACCACTCTCATTCCGCCACATAATGTCTCTTGCACTGCAATAGAACGTGGGCGGTCTGCGAGATTTGCTCCCTCTTTTTCCATGATATCTACTGCAGCCTATGACGAGACTCACTTCATGCCTGGCTAGACGATGATTGGTCTGATGCTTACCTGATGACGTCCTATAATCACGAAAATCCTATGGCCTTGTTTGAGCGAGAACACGGGTCCGTATTGTTCTGTCCACCTCGCGAATTGAAACGGCGCACTGTGTGAGCGGTCAGAGATCATCTCGATGTCCTTTGACAAAGACTTACTTTGACTCTGGCATCGTATTTCCGAAAAGCCAACGTCCAGGTGGTCCGGGCGGTAATGATAACCGCCTTGCGGCCTGATATCGTTGCTTCGCGATCCAGACGCTGGCCAAGATAATAAGGGTGCATGCAACAATGATGAACGCCATTGAAACGGTCGGACTTGTTGATAATAGTCACAACACCCTGTGTCATTGCAAGAGGTTAAGTACTCCAGGAGTTAGAACAGGGTGGCAACTTGCTGCGATGAGCGATAGGTACGCTGCGATTGCACTGACCTAGTATAAACACAAGTTCGCCTGCACGGTTTAATCGGGCGTGTGTGAGTTATGTATGATTTTTCTTCCATGTTCCACGTACTAAAGGTAATAGATCCGCAAGAGAACGTGGTGACCACTTGGTGATCCGAGTAGTGGACGTGCAAGCCTTGCCAAGGTATTTCTACAGTCCGACTCCCGGAGATTAAGCGATAAGCAAGAAGAAGGGTGCAGGTATGTCTGGGCCTCGGAAGGCCACTGACCAGTAGACATTGCTCGCCGGCTAATGCTAGTTTAGCCTCAGTTTTACCCTCAACAACATAAAAATACACGTGCAGCATGACCTAGGCTTCGAAGCTTCAACGTTGCAACGTTCAACCCCTCCTCTCTCACTTGGTGATTCTCACGTTCTGTCTACAGTTATCAGTGAAAAAAATCTCAAAGTTCCCTCTTGGCGCGTTCCAGCAGGCATCTACGTATCCATCGATCTCGAATCGAGCAGGCGCTGGAAATTAACCATCGGAGTCTTATCATTTGACGAATCTATAGCCTGGGCCGGTACCGTGACCTCAAACGTCGTGGGATGACCTACTCGATCTTTCGGTGAGTAACCTCCTTCTCACTCATGCGCATATACTCACATTTCGTAGATATCTCCTTCCCATTCGTTCGTGTGTTCACCATTCCCTCACACTAAAGGCCGCTGTTCTATATCACTATGATAATCAGGAGACAGTGCCCTGTTTGACGTGAGTGATATCAGCCTCTGCGGTGCTGACTTTTGTTGACAGAGCACCTACTGTAGTCCATCGGTGAATCTCAGATTTCTCAGAACACGTATGCGGGCTATGACTCACGACTTGCCACATAAGTGACAAGCGAGATGATCTGTCATCTGAACGATGCTGTAAAGCATTTTCAGTTGGTCCTGGATCAATGTCCGGTCGGTCATCCTCACCAGGCAGCGGCTCTCACCAACCTCGTGCGGGCCCGCCTTGAAGGCTATATTCAAAACGATCTTCGAGACATCAACTCTATCACTTCTCTCTTCCACGAAGCCCTTGCATTGCGTCCGTAGGGCCACCCCGATCATCCATTATCTATCTATCACCTCCTTCAAGCGTTGATCTGGCCCTACAGCAAGCGGAACGCTGCCGTAAGTATCCATGAGTCCGCGCAACTGTCCTGCAAGCTCTTGCCCCTCTGTCCAGAGGGCACCTACCTTAGCGTCGCGGCTGGTGCAAATGACATCGATTAGGTGATCTGTGCATGTAACTATCTTCTCAAAGACGCATCTGATGAAGGCATTCACCTTCGATGAGTCGTGCTCGAGCTCTGTTTTCTGGGCCATCAGGACTGTCCCAGAGCCCTCCACAAGCTTGCACATGAAGTTGAAGCATGCTTTCACCAACGCGGCATCATTGATGATCTAGCATACAACATTAACGCGAAGGTGCCCCAAGGGACATTCTGAACACAACGTCTACCTGAATAACTTGGCCTTGTCACTTAATTACCGCTTCGATCACCAAAGTAACTCTCGTGACTTTGACAATATCATTAGATCCATCAGCCTCCAGCGCGAGGCACTGATGTTGCACCCGCCTGGGAATCCATATCGTGATAACACGGTTAACAACTTTGCCCTTGCGCTTAAAACCAGATATGACAAATTGGATGCTAGTGAGGATCTCGACGAGACCATCAACCTGTTCAAGGATTCACTTCGGTTAAGACCGCATGGCCATCCAGGTCGCCATATAACTATTGTCAGCTTGAGCTCGGCGCTTTGTTGTCGTTTCACGCACACTCGGAAGAATGAAGATGTTGAGGAAGCCATTCGACTCTGCCAAGAGTCGTTGGAGGCTTTGCCTTCACTACACCCAGATAGGTATTTCAGCTACATGTGGCTGAAGAATGCTTATGTGTCTCATTACCGAGTGCAACACAACCTCGATGTAGAGAACTTGAGACTAGCGTCGAGACATCTACTCAGGGCTTTCCAAAGCGCACTGCAACAGCCCGGGACTGGATTGTCACAGCCCAGTAACACGAGACCTACGAAGCTTGATTAGAATTGGACTTCTCTTGCAATTTTTTGTCGTTGAATGTCATCACGCTGAAGCTTTTTCTTGATTTGAATTTGCCCAAAATATCTATGAAAAACATCTTCAGCCCGATTTCGTGATGTAAAGGCGTGCACTGTATACAAGCGCATGTATCAACTGTTTACATACTCATCAGCATGAGTACTGAACTTTCAAGTGCCTGGATAAACGCCCTTTATTCCCCAGGTGCGCACAGTTCCCTGATCTGATTCTCATCGATCCTCTTCTCAAAACATATCTCAAACGGAGCAGCATGTGTAGTCGCAGTATCTGATAAAGCAAGTGTGTCAATCTTTGCTGCAGGATTCTCAGAAAGACGGAAAGCCCAGAGAATAAGAGCGGTGTTGATGAAGATAGACCGATTTGCGACATGTTGACCGGGACACACTCTGACATAGGTCATGAGAACCGGTCGAGAGATGAGCGATGCCACTTACCGGCGGCCAAAGCCAAAAGTGAAAAACCGGAGATCATCGCGCACACGACCTGCATCGTCAATCCAACGTTGAGGATTGAACTTCTGCGGTTCTGGGAAGACCTCAGGATCGTTTGCGATAGCCCTGAAACATGAGCGTCAGAGACAAAAGTGAGACAACGAAAATGATTGCCTACTGACCAATGGTTGCCAATAACAGTCGCACCTGCAGGAATGAGGTAGTTCTTCCAAACGATGTCCTTGGTCGCGCGATGCGCAAAACCTATGATGTAAGGTCGTCGTTCATTATCACGTCATCACAATTCAAATGAGACATACCTCCAAGGCTGACAGGTCTCCACCTCATGCTCTCGAGCATGAACGCGGTAACCTGCGGCAGCACTTCTTGATCATCAAATGTCGGCACTAATCAGGAGCTATCTCAGTCTGTAGATGAACAAAGAAAAGCTATAACCTACGCCGCGTACGCCCCACAACGCTATCAAGTTCCTCTTGTACGCGAGCCTGTGCGTCCGTGTGAATGGCAGCAGCCATCATCATAAATGTGATTGCAGAAGCGCTCTATAACAGTGGTCAAATTAAGACGTAATGCAATGTAAGAGCATACCGTATCGGAACCGGCCGCAAACATTCCTCCCGCGATGTATGCCAGTTCCTTGTCTTCGAGCTGGTATTGTTTCTGGTGCTCTAAAATGAACTTCGTAAAGGATGGCCCTGCAGTCCCCTCACGCTTCACAGTAGTGAGCGAGGACGTCTATCAGAACGGCAAAAATGACGAACCATCTGTCTTCGCACCACGTCCAACTGCCCGTTAAAGAGAGCAAGTTCATCTTGGTGCCATGCCTTGAGCTGGCTCAAGTAGCCTGGGACGAAACGCAGGATTGGATATGTATCCACAAGGTATGCTCCCGGCTTCATCGCTCGACCAAACCGCGCAAGACACTTATTGACGGCAACGATTTCAGGGTCTGTGTACGAGGTCGGAGTAGTTTTTCCATAGGTGAAGGACATGACCACGGAAGCTGCATAACTAAAATCCACAGATTACTACCAATACCACGGGAACAAGAGCTAGAGTTCGTACCGCATGGCGTGACGTTGGTGGTTCTTTGGATCATTTAAGATATCTAGAACTAGATTCTTCGCATTCCTGGTCTGGATGGGCTCATAGGTTTCCGCAACCTTGGGTTGCAAGCCTGCATGCAAGACCCTGCTTTACATTCAGTCTTACTGATCGCACCCGGTAGAAACAAGATGTGTACCTGCGCAGCCGGCGTAATCTCTCACCACTGCCCACAAGGACCATTCTCATATCGTCAGATAATGTCTCTTGCACTGCGATGGAACGTGGGCGATCTGCAAGACTCCCTCCTTGTTTTTCCATGATATCCACCGCAGCCTATAACGAGAGCTACTTCATGCCTGACTAGATGATTATTTGTTTCATGTTTACCTGATGGCGTCCTATAACCACGAAAATCCTATGGCCTTGTTTGAGCGAGAACACGGGTCCGTATTGTTCTGTCCACCTCGCGAATTCAAATGGCGCACTATGTGAGCGGTCAGAGATCATCTTGATGTCCCTTGACAAAGACTTACTTTGACTTTGGCATCGCATTTCCTAAAAGCCAACGTCCAGGCGGTCCAGGCGGTAATGGCAACCGCCTTGCGGCCTGATATCGTTGCTTCACGATCCAGATGCTGGCCAAGATAATAAGGGTGCATGCAACAGTAATAAACGCCATTGAAACGCGGTCGGGCTTGCTGATAGTCACCACACCCCGCGCCATTGCAACAGCTTAAGTACCCCAGAGCATGGTGAGTCGCTGCGATGAGCGACGGGTACGCTGAGATTACAGTGCATGATTACACTGATTTACAAACACAAGTTTAACACCTGCACGGATTAATCGGATATTTGTGAGTCATGTACGGTCTTCCAAGTTCCACGCTCCACGTACTAAAGGTAATACTAGATCCGCAAGGGAACCTGATGACCCATCTAGTGATTAGCAGTGGACGCGCAACTGCCAAGATATTTCGACTCCATCGGATTAACGTAGATCTTCGTGTCGTTCTCGATGACCCATTGTGTCACAGGACCATTAGGTTTACTAATCATTTTAATGGACTGGAAGCGAAAGTCCCAAAGCGGGTCACTACTCTAAAAATAACGCGTTGTATGTACTCGGGACTTCGGCCTGCGTATGAGAAAATGCATGATGAGAATAATCGCGACCGATGCCCACGTATGTATTATGTTTTACAAATGATGCCAGTAGTAGTACTTGCGGATGTATGAATTACTGATGTGAAGAAACGCCTGACGTGATACATATGTAGATATGACTAGTTATCGTGAATTGCATGTCGTCCGGCTGGATGCCTGCAGCCAGTGGGATGTCATAATACGGGAGTAACATAAAGTATGTGATGGGGTAATAGAGGCTATCCAACCGCGAAGCCATTACCATCGCAGAGCCTTGAGATTTCTCAGTTCCCTCTGAACGTCTCTGATATCAGGTCGATTCCACTCGCCAACCCAATCGCTGTTTGTCCGAGGCTGTGAGGAAACTTCGGGCCTCGGAGCGATAGGTTTATTCGGTGGGCTCGTGAGGTCAACGGACATACTGCGTCGTTTCCTGTTGGGCACGTCCGCTCCAGAACGTAATTGAGCAAGCGGTCCCTGTGCTGTAACTAATTCAGGAGGCACATTCTCGCCTAGATGCCGTGCAAGTTTTGCCATCCGCTTTCTCCGCAGCTCTGCCGCGTCGAAACTTGGTGTACGAGGCGTAGGGGGGAAGTAAGTGGAGGTCGCGCGAGCTGAGGAAGGTGAGGGCGGTAGTGATGCACAGCGGTGGTCGGTGGGCGGTACAGGGACGGCGTTCATGCGAAGGTACAATGGTCTGGGTTTATCTGCAGACTTTCTGCCCCGCACGGGCAGGCCAGGCGGTGTCACTGACAATGACTCTGTGCTCCGCATGCTCGAAGGAAGCGAAACCAGCGAGGCGGATGCGGAGTGGAAAGATGCCGTCGAGACTGAGCTAAATGATGTTACAGAGGGGGAGTCTCTGTGGTAATGCATGAATATGGAGCCCTGGCGCTTCAGTGCTTTGCCCGTCACTGATTTTTTGTTGCCCCCGATGGGGAGAAGTGTGATAGGGACATCTGCCTCGAGGAGGTAGGGTGTGGTACCCATGACTGCCCCCAATTTGCGCGCAGAGCGTATGAGACGCATGCGTTGTCGGGAGTCAAGGATATTTGTAGTGGGTGGGGGACATGGATATGTGATCGTCGAGATCGCGGTAGAAGACATTGCACAGTAGGAGATTAAAGAGTGGATAGGTCTTAAGTGGGCGGCTTAGGAGCACGCGGTAGTAATGAGATTCACAAAGTCGAAGCGAAAGAGTACAAGAATGACAAAGTACACAGTACTTGCCTAGGCTGGTCTTGAAAGAAATCAAGTTGGGCACGAAGGAAATGTACTAGAATGACAAGGTCGTTGATATAAGCCAAAAGACAATTGAAACAATAAATCTCGTTACCTCCTCTCAATTGAACAATAGACAGCGCGCCCGCAACATGAGGCCAAGCGAGATAACAAAACAAAAACAACAAGTCTTCAAATTATTGTTCCGTATTAGGCGACTGACATAAGCAGCGAATACAACGCATTCCTTCTTCATCACAAGGTCTAAGTAAGTACACTTGAACTTCGGAAGGACATAAAACACAAGATTCAGGTAGTAAAGCTTCCCTGCCATCCAGTCACCAACGAACTCTTCGCAAGATGGCTCAGGTCAATATGGTCCGATACGATAGCCTTCAACAGATGCCCCACATCTTTTTTCTCTGTCGCCAGTTCAAGGTAGTCCAACATATGTGGACCCTCTTCCTTCGCAAGGCTTTCCGCCCTTCGCTTCAAAAAGAGTATGAGGCGGTCAGGATGAGACGAGGCGAGATACAGGTGAGTAAGTGCGGGGGCCGGGCCGCTGTTTTCGGTATCGTCGGGATCGGCACCATCGGGATACATATTGAGGGCATGGATGAAACACTCTTCCGGGTTAATGAGAGCGAGGCGTCGAAGCTGCGAGCATGTCTGTAACATGCGGTAAGCCAGAACAACACGAGCGCCATGAGATTGCTTCAAAGGATCGTTGTCTTGCAGGAAGAGGTTGGAGAAAAGAGGTGGTAGACTAAAATGTTCAAGCGCGAGCGTTTCAACTCGTTCAAGTAGTGAGCTCCAGCCATAAACTAGATTTTCGAGAAGGATCGTAGAAGAAAAGTTGTTAAACGGTTGAAGAGCAGGCATATTCTGGATGATCGGATTGTTCAAGTCGAACCCGTCTTTAAAGTCCTGGGGCCAGTGCTGAGCGAGAATTGAGCGAGAGATGTCACATAGCTTGAGGTGCTTCAGCGCCGGTGCCTCGAAGTGAAGGAAAAAAATTATAGCTTCCCACTGGGATAGATAACCGAGCGTAAGGTCTGCGAGCCTCGGCAAGTTCGTCGGCAATTCATCCGCGTTACGGGGCAGTGTCCCAAACCTGTTGAATGGCGCCTTGGATCTCGAACTTTTCCAGAGTTTCTCTGTTGATTGTAAGGACGTGTTTCAGCATGTCCATCGAAGGTCGGTCATGCAAGGACATGAAATTAATCGATAAGGATGTCAGGCGCGTTAAAGACCACTGAGACCATGACACTGGGAACCCAGACACTTTAACACGTGTCAACTTTGGAAAGAAATTGACCGCTGCCTTTTCTTCGTTTTGGCCAGCCAGAAAAAGAAAGCGCACAAGTGGTGGCGGTATAATTGAATGGTGAAAGGATAGGACTGTAGTGCCATACTTAAATTTGCAGGTCTCCAGAGTCTCCATGGGAGCTGTATGTAAATGCTTCATGACGAGCCACGCAACTTGGAGAGTATCGCAGTGTATCGAGAGATACTTGACGCGTGGTAGCACCAGTCGGAGCCAGTTCATTATCATAATCGTGCCCGGTTCAAGACATACGATATTGGGTGTTATGAAAAGCTTGAGTCGGACAGATAAGGGAAAGACTCTAGAACGCGAGGCAAACTCCTTTGCACGAAGAAGAGATGCGTTTACGATAGCGAGCTCTCCATCAATACTATGCATGTTATCGGCCGTGATGGTGATGTCCGACCACAGCGAGGAGCAGCTGAAAGCGACGTTACGCCATGTGCGAGAGACATGCGAAACCAAGACCGCAAAATCGATACGTTTTTGAGAGTTGCGAGAGGACGCGCCCAACTTGAATATGTGCAGAATGATCTCTTCAGGCAAGGTATTAATTGGACTCTTGCGCACAGACTGGAGTTTGCTAGCCCGATTTATGATGTTAAAGGGTGTGTCGTTTGTCAAGCCAGACGCTTCCGCATGCTGAGCCGTGACAGGTGGTGCATTTGTCGGAGTGGATGCTATGGTTTGCATGTTGTCTGTCTAGGTAACAAGTTGACGTCAAGAAGAACACAAGAGTTGCGAGGATTCGAAAGGGGCTGGCCTGTTGAGAAGAGAGCGGTTACAAGAAAGATAATGATTAACAGGGACTTAAATATCGTCCAAGACAAGCCCAAGGAGCCACAATGCCTTTTGTCCACAGTCCAAAGTGACAAAGGCCAGGTCATGATTGCACATGCTTTGTTGCACGCTCGTTGATAGGGTATATTGAAAAAGATGCACAAGTTGTTCCCCTGTGTTTACTGGGACCAAGGCCAAAGGCTTCAATGTGCTGCAGTAAGTAGACGATGAGCCTAGTTGCCCGCCACCCGAGCGTGCAGGCGTAGTAGCTATTCTGACTGACGTGGTCCTGACTCCTGCCAGTGCCCGTGACGCGGCTGTGACACGGCCACTGACGCCACCGGTAGTTCCTACATATGTTCAAGTTCTACACTGTCAAAAGTTTGACTCCCACATCAAGTTACACGGGTTCATGACCATCCCTTGCTTAATTTCATTCATCATAGGCGCACATACTACAGCTAGCTACATCAGCTGATGTGACTATTTTCTTGGCACTGACTCAGACGCAGCACACTTAGCCCTAGAGCAAGTTACCCGTACATTATAGTCATCCCAGCGAGCAAAAATATATTGTGTAAAGACCAAATGACACCTGTCTTCGTCACGGGTGAGCACCACTTCAGTGTCTTTTACTTCTGCACATTGCGACCTCCTTCCTTATCCTTCCTCGAGTCAGACTGGGTCCATATTCAAGTGCATGAACCTGTGCTCGTGACATCGTACTGTGGCGTTTTTCACTTGAATGTATGATGCATTCAAGTGAAAAACGCCACAGTACGTTATGATCGGCCAATATATGATCACTCAATACTCATCGATGCATCGATCATCAGGCTGTTAGTGGGAGAGGCAACTCTGAACGCTGTTGTAAGTTGGTCGGATCCATGATGCGTCTCAAAATTGTCTCAAAGCGCTGGTTGTCTGACCACGTGATTGTAGGCGTTCAACAAGAAATGCAATTGCTTCGGTGCTACAAGAGTACGGTACTAGTACAAGACAAACTTTGTGTCAAATGTGAGCTATTTGCTAATGTTAAATGATAGCAGCTCAAACGAGTTCCCACTCTTCCCCGTCATCCGTGTAGATGAGCTCCTTCATGTCCGAACCCTGACTGTCCTTATACAAGGTAGACCCCACGTTGAATTTGCCCAAAAGGCTGCTAAACTTCAACCCCGATTTAGGAGCACTTGAAAGTATCACTTGACCGGTGGTGTCGATGATATTAACGGACAGATTGGCGGTGGTCAACGTGATGCCGATCTCGTCAGAGCCAACTATGACGGTCCCTGCAGTACTGCTGTCGGTGCGGCTAACACGGAAGCGAGTGCGTTCCGCGTGTGCTGACGTTAGGGGGATAGTATCAGTACTCATGAGGAGAGACTTTGGAGCGAATGAAGAAACTATGGTAGGCCGCTATCAGTTCGCATGGCATGCGAATCGCTTTTGCAGAACCAACCGTAGCAGGCCAATTGAATCAGATGTCCGCGTTCGCGGCTCTTCTTGAAAAACACTACATTCTCTTCTGAATCTCTAGTCAATCTAATTTAAGTACAAGAATTACTGAAAATCCATTGGACTTTTCCCGGCGTTCAGAAAATTAGAACACGAAGAAAATGGCACTTAGACTGCAGTGGAAAAAATGCGGTTAGTGAAGGACACGGGGTAAAGTTTGAGTGACTCACATCGACAAGAAAAATAGGTGTCTTCGCCACACATGGCATCTGTAAATGTCGGTTCTTCAGGAGACAGTGCCCGCGTGGTAATAGAGTAAGGAAGGCTTGTGCGGACTGTCTTAACAAACACCTTATCCTTCACGACTGTCATGTCATCTACACGACGCACATGTTCGTTTTCGACGTCCAACGCTGCGGCTCGCCTTATTGCAAGTTGGTTGAAATTCCACATTTGTATGGTCTGCGAGGATTGATCTGCGGTGGCTTTGGGTGACGTGATGAGGGAAACAAATTTGCTTCCAAACACGTATCCGGTCCAGACACGAGAGTGTGGTGGGGACTTCAAAAAGCGTGTACCTGTGGGACCCCATGTGTCCCAGTTGATATCGTGTCGAGAAGTCCGTGGGGGAAGGGCCGTGACATAAGATAGCAATATATTTGCTGGTACAAACAGGTCATACGAGACCTCTTTCTTCTTCTCTTCAACCCGAGTGGTAATGAGGAAAAGTCTTTGTCCACGTGCTATGGAGAAGGGAATGTGTGCCTCGGGGTTAGGTTTCCACTCAGGCGACGGGTCAGAGCGAATCACAATCCCCACAGGACTGACTGCAAGGTTAAAAGATGGGAATCCAAAAACACAAAGATAATCGGCAGTGAGGGTAGCCTTGATGGTGGAGGGTTTTGATATATCAAGAACGAAAAGTCGAGGCTCTGTGACTTTAGTCTCGTTCATCGCCGTTCCCACTAACAAACGGTGAGATGTGAGGAAGGAAAATGTGGCAATTTCAGAGCTGGAGCGTGTCTGGGGCAGATATCAGAACAATGGGTAACACAGACTTAGCTACAATTTGAATCACCAGTATAAGTTCACCTTTTTTCCAATTCCATACAGCGAGCTCTGGAGTGCTGTTTTTGCCTTGAGCAATAAACAAAACACCAAGGAAGTCACCAGATATCTGGAGGCTAAAATCTACTAGGGCACATTGCACATCCAGATCGTAGTTGATGATTCGGATTCCGTCGATGATAGACGGATGCACATGTCCGGTGGCGACGGAGCGTAGATGTATCCGAATTCGTACATGCGATTTTGTGTTATCATGGGTTGGACTGTAGCTTGTTTCAGAATCAGAGAACATGCGTCAGGAAACAAGCATACATTCAGAACAGGCTTCTCGATTAGTGCCAGAAGATCTTGGGCAGGATCCATCGCAAAGTCCTCAGTGTTGCTAAGTAATGGTATCCTCCATGAACTGGCTCGAATGTTGCGGTACTGCGAAGGGAGTCGATGCAGGCGCAGGGCGCCCGGAAGACCACACTGTGCGAATACTCCTCCACACAATTCCCATATGATATCTTCAGGGTGGAGCAGGGGTAGGTCTCGTGTCACCCCCCACTTCAATGCATCCCAGCAGGCGTTACGCTCTTTGAGTAGCGCGAGTCTCGATGCGGTGGTGAGTTGGCTTTGTGCACCATCCTCCATGCCAGCTACAGCCAATTCAATGGCATATTGGGCGGTAGCACTTTCATCTATTGCCGAGCGAAGGAATTTGCATACCTAGCAGTATAAGGTGTGAGTAGTAAGGTAGATGTACAAGCCTAGGAGAACCTTACAAGTCTACACTTCAACAAGGTTTTCCAATCTAGATTTGATAAAATTCCTATTGATGACCTCGGTAGACAACGATGTCAATGACTGCTGGCTCGGGCGTCTAACAGGACGCATTTGGGCTAGTCACGCAGTGAAGATGATGATTCGATGATGCGATGTGAGACTGCCTTCAAAATCTCGAGGTGGGCAAAATTCTCAAAGGCTTGAGTGGGCCGCCCTTATTACGGTCATAATTTTAAAGCCCCTTTGTTAACGTTCCCAGTGCTTCCACTGTCACTTGAACACACAATATTTGCTTCCGGGTCATCGATGACATTTTCCAGATAAGTCAGACATTTGGCTGGTTCATACGTTAAAACCTGCATCTTCACTGCCGAAGGTATCGTCAAGCTCCTTCCGGAGATTGAGTTATGCATGTGTCGGAGTGGCACTGGCAGCGAGGTAATTTGTGATGGTAGAGCTGGAAGACTTACTTATGAACCATATATCAGCCGCCAACCATAAACCGCAGCGGGATCAAAGTCCAAATCCTCGACTCAGAATTAATGGAAGGTTAAAGAAAACCAATAAAAGCAGGTAAAGTCTGCATCCTTCTAAGTTATCTTTCCTTTACCATCTGCTACGATGTTTTTTTTTCGATCTTCCCCAATTGCCAATCTCAAGTATTTGTAATTTACATCGCTGAATGTCGAACGAACTCTTCCGAGTGCCTCTCTCTTCATCAGTGGCTTGGAGTCTTTCTTTTAGACATATTTTTCGGCATTTCTTCTCGCCGTTGCAGCTCATCCCGATCTGACGGCACACGCAGCTGGAAGAGGTGAACGAGGTAATTTTGTTGTGGGGGTTAATATTCATTTTCAAACTATCGTTGTTCTGATGCATGTGTAGCGTGGTTCAAGAAATGGACGAGATATTTTACGTGGAACTACAAGAGATGGAGGAGTGATCGGTCACGGCATTCGTGGATCAGGGAACTATTTGGTGATGTTCAAGCTGACGGCCATCAGGCGAGTGTTTGATACATTCAGTCGCAGGATCCCTATTGCTCAAGGACAGTGGAATTTGCCCAGGAGCCACTCAATTCAGCAATGAACCGTGTGTTATGGGGCTTGTGCCATGACAGGACCTGAATACGTGCTTCGAATTTGGTCGGAAGTCAGAATACAAGTAGATTCTATGGTTCGTGCTGCCTTTGTATTCCTATGAAACCTTCTGTGATTAACCATCGGGAATTTTCACAGGGCCAGAGCACAATAGGGTCAGCACAACCGTTGGGCCAAGCACATTGTGCAACATAGAAGTAACACGAACGCTGCTATAGACCACCGGGTCACAGCGCGTGGTCTCACTCACAATGTGTCTACACTGTTATGTATGACGCTACAATTCATGGGGCGAGTATTAAAGGCAGAGCTTCTTCAAACCAGCTTTGCATCTTACTCGCCCGTCATGGATTCTATTACCTTTCGGTTTAACGACCTTCCAACTGAACTTGCCCTCCTCATCCTCAGATATGCCGCGCAAACCACCTTTGACCAGGCTGAAAAATATGACAAGGTCAACTGTCCATACTCATCCGTGCTCACACTCTGTCTCGTCTCCAAAAATTTCAGGCGCGCGGTGCTTCCCGCACTCCTGCACACCGTATTGCTGCCGAAACCTCGAAACGTGAGAGTGTTCGTGCAAGCTCTGCTTACACAGGAAGCATACAAGCAGGCAAGCAGCGATCTCCACTTTGATTATGCGCCCCATGTGCATAAGATGTGGATTGGACTCGATGGTGGCAATCTCACATCAGCTGACTTGCTCGCTGATCCCCGGGAATATGCACTGCAACCGTCTGAGCGCCCGCTTGCTATCAACCTCCTAACTCCGGTGATGCTCGCTGCGTCATCTCTTGCCCTCGGCTGGACAAGCGTAGACCTTCTTATTGAATGCCTGGAGCATGCATGGGAGTCCCGTCCAGCCACACCCGTTAACGAAGAACATCCTCGACTTCCCTGGAATACCGAAACACTAACACTATCGTGTGGGGACCCCATCAACCGCACAAAGTGGAAATGCCTCACAGATACTCCCCAGGGATCTGCTTTCCTTGCTTCAATCTCTCACCTCTTATCTCCCACATACTTATGCCGCGACAACCCGCTGCAAGTCTACCGCCTGCCTGAGTGGATGAAGACCGCTCCATTGGCTTCCTTTAAGAGCCTTCAAACCGTCATACTGCCGTACCCGTGTACCACACCCCCCATCAATCTACGTGCGCTGGTCACTACGGGAGTTGATATGCAGATGCATCTGCTGACGTTGCCCGCAACCCTGTTGAAGGACCCCAACAATGGCATTCCCAAGGCAATAAAGGTGTTTGACGATATTATTGGTCCTGGAGAGGAGGCCACTCGATCGGATGGTACCCGTTTACAGGTATCTGAAGTACTCTGGTGTTCTCGTTCGGGGTGGGAGAAGGTTTGGGCCTGGATGTTATGAAGTGGACTAGGAGTGTTATGATATATTATTGTACATGCTGGCATGTACGTTTCTCGATATCCAATGGACATTCTTGAAAATTCCATTTTGTGCTTTGTTCACCGTTTATCAGTCTCACTTGACAAGGCACGAGTCTAGGGTTTGTAAGTCGCATACATAGTGACGAAGTGCCCTCGCAATCTCTCAATGCTGACATGTTTCGTTTCAAAAGCGTTATATTTTTACAGAACAGCCGTGAACAAGATTGACTTACAGTTCTACGTCTTAGCCTTTGTATTTCCCAAATCACGTACGATTTCATCCAACGAGTATCTTACATTCTAAGGTAAATGCAGATCATAAAGCGCCTTTCTTCCACTCTCCCCGATGCATGAAGTCATAACACGCATTCCCCGGTTCGACACCCAAAATGCCTTGCACGCCCTTTCTATCCAGCTCGCATAATTCCCTGACACTCCCCACCTTGCCCATAACATATTTAACATTCTTTGCTGTCACTCCTGGTAGACATCGGAGCAGCTCCTCTGCAGCAGCGTTGATGCCTGCGCCCGCATCTGGGTCTTCCTCGGCGCCGATTGCAATCGCGCGGTTAGGATCCGGCTCGAAGGCGTTGACTTTCAGGTCGTTAAATATATCTGCAGTACCATAGGGGGACGACGACCATATGATCCGAACACGAGGAAAGTGGAGCATGAGGAGAACAAGTTTGGATTGAACAGAGGGTGGAGCGCGATCAGAATCCGTTGGACCTGTTGATTTCTTCGCAGGATATTTGTTTGTGGGTTTGGCATACGATTTCGCTGATTCTGCTACAGTCTGAAGGACAGGTGAGGCGATAAATATTCGGAGATATGTCATGTAAGATGTACCTCAAGTGAGAACGCTTTGTTCTCCTCGAACTCGATGAGCAATATAGGTTGCTTATAGTGCACCGACATCAGTTCGCATTGCGTGTACCTGCGACTCATCAGCGACAAAGAAGCAAGAATCCGAGAGACTTACAATCGACCGCTATTGAAGCTTGCTACTAGATCAGGTATGCTTTTCCTCTCGACGCAAATATCCGGCGTGAGGATATAATCCCCGACAGTCAGCGTCGCCGGAATAACGAGCAGGCCAGATGCGTGGAGAAGCGAAGGTAGCGTGGAACGGAATTCGCGCATGTCGACAATTACCTGCGATGCCACAGTACTTAGCTCTTTCCTCCCGCCTGCAAGACGGGTGCTGATTGTTTTGATGACCGCATCGCTTTTCCCAGCGTGTTTGTCCTCGAAGATCGGCAAGAGCATAGACTAGACATGATGGTGAACGACTTGCACCACGCACAAGATAGTGAAACCAAACGACGCACTCCGCGCTCCTTGATCAACTTCTCGAAAGACTCCTTCTCGCGCCTCAGTCCAGCAAGGTACTTGTGCTCCTCGCAAGAGAGTTGGTAGACCATGAAATATACACGAACGCCCATACCGGGGTTCGAGTTTCTGTATACCTGTCCAATTGTCACATCAAACTTAAGGATGTCAAACCCGAATGAAAGACTAACCTCGACGCGCCTCACGAAGTCGAGGTTGGGTTCAAACATCACGATGAATCTCGGCTGCAGTTCTCCGAGAATCTGGTCGTCCATGTCATCAGTATATGCACGCACAACAACCATCTGCGATGGTGCAAGCAAGCCATAGTGCGTGTCAAAGTCTATTTCTGCCTCGCTTGAGAGAAGCGCTTCAAGGAGGAGAGCGTCTGCATCGGAGGAGACAAGGAGGTCTGAAGGTTGATTTGCGAGACTGAATCCGATCTTAGTGAGGAGCGCACAAATACAAGTATCCTAACGCACAAGGCTGCGATTTCATCTGCATCGTCTCTCGACTCCACTTTCGGGTCGATAACCGCTGGTTTACTAGGTGCAACAGTCATTGGTGCGCCGCCACGCACCCTTCTCCGATTCGCACTTCGCTCTTGCCTCGTCTTGTCCTTCCTCTTCAAAGCCTCACTAATCTCGCCCTCGGGTTGCAATGATGGCTGTGGCTGCGGCACAGAAAACTGAAGTTGTTGGTGCCTTGGGTGTTTTTGTCTGGCGTTCTCGCCTTTCCAGTACAGATATCTCCGTAATTTGCGCTCCATCATGGATCGCCCACGAGAGCCTTTCGAAGCGGTGCCGTCCATCTCCCCCAAGAACTCGCTCACAAGGGTAGAAGAGCGTGGAGAGGAGGTCATGACAAGTACCGTGTTTGTCCCGCGAGTTGGCGGACCTGACGCGTGTCAAGCAGGAAAATTGTTTGATCAATAGGACTTACGAGTTGACAATGCCTCCTGTCTCATCAACTCTTCCTCGATTTCTTGAAGTACGTCTGCAAGGAGATCCCACTTTGGAAGCTCCTCGAGAACTGGAGACATGTTATCCGGAACCCATGATTTATTTTCCTTCTGCTTCCCGTTATCTCTACTATTGCTTCCCGTCATGCCATGCGCCTCATCAAGTGCAGCCCATGCATCTTCATCGTCAACGTCAAACACTTGACTCTCGGGAACCGAAGCCGTGGGTTTTGGAGCAGTAAGGACATAACACCGTCGTTTCGCGGTGCTAAAAATGACGTTGGCCGCATCGCTGAGCATCCAAGGGGACTGGTGTTGTTTAGCTGCGCCAGTTGAAGTTGTGGTATTCGAGGCTACGAGAGTTTCAAGGTATGCGTGAAAAGCGAGCGCGTCATAGGACAGCAGGTACCTTGATGGAGAACCCAGGTCAGTGGCGGTATAAAATATGGTAAATAGCAGAGACCGAGTGTACAATGAAGAGTAATAATCATGATGAAAACATACGTTAATAGACGTCTGAGCGTCGCGAGGTCACCCACAAGTTGCTTCGTCCGTGGACCGACCTTGTGCCATACAGGGTCTAATTGTCTGCGGACTACTGCATCAAAGGAGCGGAAGTATGCGGACTCCACATTAAGATCATCAAGCTCAAGCTGTGAGATGAATGAGGATTCGTTCAGGTGCTAATAAGGCCAGATCAAAGATACTTACTGTCTTGTTAGATCTTTTGAGCTCAGAAAGGGTGATAGTCATACATTGGACTATCGCATGGTGAATTGCCTCCATAGGCTCTGTAAGATGCTGATACAACTCGATGACATCCGCTTTGCGTGTTTCGAGCGTTTTCTTGACGTCTTCGTGAAATCTGGAGCAAAAACGGATGAGAAAGATGGCGACAAGAGCACTAGAAGGCGAATAAAACGAACATCAGTGAGGAAGGAGGTCACCCACCGTGGATATATATGAACGCTTCTCAGTTGGAGCTCCTTCATGATGTTCTTCAGCGGAGACATGCCACTGGTGATATGCTCCGGCTGGTCTGAGAATGCCTTGAGGAAGCCGGCCTTATTCTTTTCTCGATATAGTCGGACAATGAATGCTTCAAGAGAGAGAGCAGTGACCCTAGGGGATGCAGCGATTCATCACCGAGCACAACGCAGAAGAGCAATCACGCACTTTTCAGCATGCAAAATGATTATACCTGTTATGAGCTCCGTTGGGATGTCGGATTGCAGCATGTCAACGATAAGAATGCGAGAGGGTGACAGAAATGAGGCCGCCATTCTTGTAGAGGTCCTGTCTGCGAGCGTCTTATTAATATGCTGCAGAAGAACAACGCGAAAAGTTACGAGTCGTTCTCAAAGTGATCGTTTTTCACGATAGACATGAATAACTTACCTATCCCGCTTTCCCATTTCATAACCCACAATTCGCAATCCAGGCCGTCTGCATCCCATGATACCCTAGTTCATCTCCAATGGCAGTCTCCTCTTCTGGGGAGGCGTTCAAGAGTAAAATAAGGCTTTGCTTTGAGTCGTATATTTGCATGAGCGTGCATACTGATACGACGAAGTCCAAGTCCACGGGCAAGGATTAGCAAGTCTGAAGTTGCTGGGTCATGAATCTCCTCAAGTATTGATTTGTGGAACGGCAGGAGCATCGACATTTCAATAGGAATGAATTCGAACTATAGGCTTGCATACGGTAAGTTAGACGTGATCTGCAGGAGTCAGCAGAAGCTCTAGCACGTGGACGTGTCTCTCGGACTTACATAAGTACTCTCCCGATTTGCTCTTGGAATTTCCTGACTTGTTCTCCGCGCCTTGGAAGTTGGAACACTCATGTAAGTATGACGCACTCGGGTTCGGGAAGGGTGATACTATCATGCATGGCAGTCGCGTTAGGCTGTCCTGCGTACGTCCTCCTCCTTTCAGGCCCTGGATATTTTGGTATTATGGGGAGCGGATACGGAACAGCAGTCGACGTGCACGCTGATGACCCTAGAGGAATGGGGCATGGTGTATGATAGCTCATAAATTATGAATCCTGCAGGCAGTGATCGGATACTGTACACTACACGTCCGCCGCCGTTTCGAGATTAATAACAGGTTTATGTAGAAGATCAGAACAAGCCATAAACACATCAGAATACTATTCACAGCTGTACCTCCACACGATTAGGTGCCACAAGTATGTACAATAATTCCAAAATATAGAAAAAACTGTCCTGAATCGTCCTACTCTAACTGACAAGCTCACCACCAACAAATCTCTGTCCACAATAGGGGTCCAAATATTGCACATGCTGTCCATAACTACATAAAAACGTCAGCCGGCACCACTAAAGATCAAGTAGTGGAACGTACAACTCTACAGCTCAGCCAGAATAGTCGAGGGTAATCGAGTATTGACGGTATTTGCATGATATGCATGTCCGAATGTTTTTCGTCAGTGTGGGCTCCACCATTCCCGGTTATATCGGGAGTCCCATTCATATGTGACTCGCTATTTGCACGAGGCGCATGTATACGTCGAGGATGTGCAAAGAGCACCCATATAGAATAAATCGCCACATAGAAGAAGTGATATGCAAGGAGCGAGGTTGAAGGTGAAATTCTAGGACGGCGGTCAACACAGAAAACACGGCAATCGTGACCGGGAAATCACTCACCCACTCAGCAATGATACTGGACCACGGACGGATTCTCCTCCCCTTTCGAAATACTTGAAACATCCGTCTTGGAAGACAGTCAAACACTCGCCATCAGCCCCAAACACGTCGTAAAGGGCGACGCTCATAATGTTGATAGTTGCAGCCAGCCCTTTGCGTTCCCACCACCATTTGTCAAGTATGACCTTCATCTGGTTCCAGTCTAGTAGGTCGTTTATCTTATCAAGGTGCTGGGAAAGTATGTATACGTCGGACAATGCAACGGTCATACCGCCACCTGTTAGCGGATGGCGCATGTTCCAGGCGTCCCCAAGAAGGATGGCACCACGTTTGTGCGTCTGAGGGGCAGGCGGTAGGAATGAGTTGGGCATGCGGCGAACACGATCAGCAGCAAGAGCAACGCGGATCGGCTCATGTAGTTGAATAGGGAGGGAAGGCAAAATTTCAGTGATGATATGTTTCTGGGGGGTCTTGAGCGCATGCAAACTATGAACGGCGAAAAACAAACCTTCAAGTCAGATGGTACGGGACCTTTGACGTCTACGAGAATCCGGGTATCGTGTTCTGATATTTGGTATAGCAAAACGGGTCCGTGGCCACGTACGAGTGCGACAGTGCCGTGCTGCGATATCGGCAACTGTGCATCCTTGAGTATCGCGCCACAGAAATGCGACCTGGTATTCGAAGGGCGTGCAGATGGACCTTGTACGGTACTACGGAAGTTCGAGAAGCACCCGTCTGCAATAACTGTTAAGTCTGCGCGGAAAACTTCCTTCTCCTTCCCGCTAGAACGCGTAGCTTTTACACCGACGACCCTTCCTTCCTCTTCCACCAGTTCGTTTACGGTTGCTTCGATGACGTCCACACCTTTTGCGCGCATTGCGTGTTCCCTCAGTCCCTGCACGAATAGTCCATGGTGGAAACTCCGTCCTTCTCGTCCGTCAGGGTATGGAATATGGACAATGCGACCATCTTGAACGACCGCGTATCCGTGTACTGGTATCGCGTCTATACCTTCTAATGCACCCTGTAATCCAAGCTTGTCGAGGAAGGCGACGCCGGCAGGTTGGAGCAGCTCGCCGACTATGCGGTCAGGTTCAGCAAGGCTCCGCTCAAGGAGTGCAATACGGCGTTGCGGAGCTGAGGATTGTGACAGTGCGTGGGCAAGAGCAGAGCCAGCGATGCCAGCGCCAACAATAAGCACGTCGTACTGTAAGGACATCAACGCGGGTAGTGATGACTAGTCTGCAAAATTGAATATTCAAAACATTCAAAACATTATAGGCTATAGCAGCCTTTAAAAGCATCCGGATTCCGCATCGTGCTGCATGTGATTTGACGCTCCAACTCGTATGATCCTTAACAAATATTCCTACCTGGCGATCCTATGGGTTTTCGTGGTGTCTTGCCAATTATTCCCCCGACTTGCAAAAATTACATCCACTTCATTGGCAAGTCTAACGCTCAGATTCCCCGGTAAACATCTGCAGCAAGCTTCAATGTCAACGTCCAACTTTTCGTCATACCTCAAGTCCCGGAAGGCAAATTTTCTAGCTGATAATGGGAAGGGATGGACAGTGGTAATGGGCAATGAAGCGGGCGGTATGCTCAACCGTATTTCGCTCGTTTTCAGTCCTTATCGTTGTTTTGCACCACATAGATCTCGATTCTCTCGCTAGTGCACTCGGATATGCCTGGTTGCGCTCCAACAAGAGCGAAAAAGCGATCGCATATATAACTACACCTAAGGAGGATTTCGTCCTTAGAGCAGAGAATTTGTACGCCCTTGGTCTTGCTGGAATCAACTACCCTTTTGAAGAGCTCTATTGCTCTGGTGATCCTATGCCATCACAAGTGTCCCAGTTTGCACTTGTGGATCACAACGTCCTTCACACTAGACACGCATCTCCAACAGCCAGGGTTGTTGCAGTGATAGATCACCACGAGGATGAAGGACAATACAAGGATACAGCTGATCCCAGGATAGTCGAACCAGCAGGAAGTTGCTCGTCTCTTATTGCAAGATTGTATCAATCGTCCCCCAATCTTTCCGTACCCCCAGAACTGTCGACGCTCTTGCTGAGTGCTATTTTGATCGATACCCATGGCCTAAAAGAGGGAGGAAAAGCTTTAGATGTCGACAGGGAGGCAGCTGCGTTTTTAGTTCCCCAGTCCCTTTTGGAACATGACGAAGAAAATCTCCGCGTCATCAGATAAACAACCAATTACCCACTTCCCTTCCGTTCAGTCTCTATCCGCGACGTTGGGAGAGAAGAAGCTATCTGTATCCCATCTCAGCACGCGGGACTTGCTACGGAGAGACTACAAGGAGTACGCATTCAGCATGCCTGCATCCGAGGATATGACGCCATCTTCCGATGTAATAAGAGCGGGTCTTGCCACCGTCCCACTTCGCCTCTCTGCATTCTTTGCATCATCAAATTATCCTATAAAAGAAATTCAAGATTGGCTCGCCGAAAGAGATCTTGGCGTTCTCGGCATACTCACTACTTTTCGGAGCAAGAAAGGCAAGGGAAGGCGGGAGCAACTTTGGATAATCAAGGCAGATGAAGGCATCGCAGAGAAACTTTGGCAGGGCCTCGAATCAAGCGAAGAGCTTAAGCTGAAAAGGCTTGATTTCTCAAAGTTCGTTGGCGGCGCCAACGCGGCTGAGGAATCTGAAGACGAGGATGCTGGAGAAGTCACGACCGATGAAGCGCGGTTTGGGGAGTCATATGTTGCAAGGGCATACAAGCAGGGTAATGCAAACGCGACGAGGAAGCAGACTGCTCCCATTCTCCGGAGAATTATGGATGGGCTATGAACTCATGAGGTGATTGCTTGACACAGTTTGAAACTCGCTCGTACCTGATATATCCGATGTATATGTATAAAGACACGCAATGAACCCATGCAAAGTTAACGATCGCCGTGTCGGATTATCCTTCGTTTCTTCATAAGTAACCAGAACCTTTGCACATTCAGCTCACGCGTTCAAGCGTAGTAAACTCTTGGATCCCTTCCTTCAAACAGGATGTTTACTACAGCTCTGGTTTACGCACGCTATAGCTAACAATCAGCAGCTCGTCGTCCATATACCGTCCACAACATCCACATCTTACCTTCCCTGTTTGGAAACTGCAGCTCTTTGATGTACTTGTACGGCCTGTGGCAAGCACTTCTAATATCTGTGGACAAGTGATACAAGCGCTTTATATTCCGTGTTGGCGGTATTTCTCTTCGTTCTGCCTCCTTCCATCTTCCCATCTACTTACATCATGAATGCCGACATCCCTGCACTCGATTGTCGAGAAGTCGTTGAAGATCTGGCTGATCGTCTGGGCTCTCTGAGCCTTTTTCTGGGCGGTATCAATGACATCATGAAGTTCAGTAGCTTGGAAGACCATGAATTACAGCGTTACTGTCGAAAGGTCTTGCCTTCACAATCAAATCATCTTTTATAGTCAACTGACCATGATTTTTCCGTGCAGATTATCGCTCTCACTGAGGTAAACATATTCGCAAGTCTCGCAAACTCTTTCAATAATGCTCTCGGTATTAAGGGCGCGCGCATGACTCTGAGACGTGAGGGAGTGGCCTTGTACCTTTTCGTTCTTTGTCCAGAGGAACTTTTGCCGTATAAGTCAGCGTATTTCAAACTACTTGTTTGGATTAGACGTCGCAGGCCGGCGTTTCCTGCTGACATAGCGGGTAAACATCAGTCGTCATTCTGTTGGATTTCTGTATTTACCATTTATACAGATCGAATTGCTTCACTCTTGTTTGTTCTAGAGAGTAATTTCGTCATACGGTGCGGGGGAGTCGACACTCGCGCCCAACTGGGCATTGAGGAGTTGCTAGTGCCTAAGAACCCACTAGCCGCTTGTAAAAGCACCGCCCAGATTGCAGCGCATACTACTGCTGTCCCGTCGACAGGGAAATCATACGCAACATCGCACGTTATGTTACGTACGTGAACCTGCTGCGATAAGTATTCAGGGAGACCTAGATTGACAAATAATTTTTAGCACCGGATGCTTGGGCGAAAAAACAGTACAGAATCCACCAGCTTGCAAAATATGTGAAGTCAGAAGCTGCGAATACGTACTATCCACCAGCAACTCATCAATACCTGCCGAGCGACAACTGGGCGCCCCCTCGCCCTCGCAGGCCATTTGTTCGAACAAAAGCCCAACGTTTTGACGTTGGCAGCAAGAATCCAATCATCATTTGATGATCTTCTCAATCTCCAGGCTTTTTCCCTGGACTAATTGCTTCGCATTGTACTTCATCATAACCAAAGCATCATCCCCCTTTCGTTACATGACTGTTCTTCCAAGTTTGAATTTTGTAATTATATATCCACTGCCTATTATCTACGGACAATCCTTCTTCCCCGGCTGCCATGCTACTAGTCCTTAAAGCCTAGAGTCCTTTACCTCATCCCGCCTGTAGATTCGCAATATCATCCATCTATCCCCTTTCGTTTGTAACTAGATCTCGGCTGGAGGCGCCTTGGGATATCTTCTCATCAATGATAGTATTCATCACCTCTCTAATTATTTTGTCCACTTTTTCCACAGCACGTTCAGATATTTCACATCACAATCAGGCCGTATTCGTGACTCGATCCCAGCCCCTGCCCCGGTCCGTCGTCGAAAAATTTAGCGGGAGTGGTGATAGCTTGGGTGAGAGACTCGCCACTGCAGTGTCTCCGTCCCAGGCAATGAGTTCTCCACTGATACACCGCTTGCTATCAATTGCCGAGTCCATGCCCTACTACTGTCATTGCTCCTACCGCGTCGCAATGCCTCTCCATCTTCTTTAACATAATCCCATTCTTCAAGTCCCACAGACGAAGCGACCTGTTGCACGAGCCCGTTACCATTCGCCGTCGGGGAAAACGGCGACTGCTAATGTGCCTCCTTTGTGATCTTTGAACGCCTGAACAGGTGCTGTGCTTGGTATGATGGGGCTGCACTATTTCTGCTGGCATTATGAGCCTGATAAGGTGCTGAGCACCTGCAAGGGAATGTGCCCGTCTTTCTTCAGCGCAGAGGTGAGGTACGTACTGATACCTGGTACTTTTATAGTGCTTTGCATTTAAGTCTCACATACAACACGCAGCTGTAATGAGGCTGTTTTTTTCGTCATTTCGATGCAGTCTGGTTTTGAGGTTGCTATACAAATTTATTTGCGCCGTCTGTGGTGCGTGTACTCCGAGTCTGAGTCGGTGTTCGTTATTGCTCATTAGATGCACATGATACGAGGCTAATGAATAATGGTTCAACTTCGCTATTATAGTAATGTTAGAACTTGGCTGCGGCCAGTGCCAGCCACTTGCTGGACGCTCGTATCTTTTATAGCTTCCTGTGCAATACTCTGACGATGTCAGGGACATAAGTATATGAACCGTTCACTGTAGATAGTAGTTCCAATGAAAAATGGGAAAATGCCAAGTTTCAGACTCTCGCTGAGCTAGTCACTTCGTTCTCTAGTCTTATCAAAGGGCCGTATTTTTCAGGCCATATGTTTTGGTAAGTCCCCATATTATGTTTTTTTTTTTTCGGTTGATGTGCATGTTGTTAGTATGTGTGACATCGATTCTTCTTAGTCATTGCAAATGTTGCATCTCGCTTCTTTGTTCGTGCTGCGGGATATATAACCAGAACTTTCCTATTAAATATTATGGGTACCGTGGATTGCTTTGAATAAGAATTGTTGTATCGTTCGTTGTATCTCTTTTCTTCTACATCCTTTCCATATTGTTTCGTCTGATTCTACGTTTTTAGATGCTTCTTTCGAGGCATACTGGTATCTGGCCATGTCGAGGTTATTTTTTGTTGTTGTTCGCTGCGTTAAGTGAGATATGTTTTTTACGTGTTGGTAGGCTAACGCTTGTGTTATTTTTGCTAGTTTTGCTCCGACTTGACCTGACAACTTGAGAATTGAGCACGCCTTTTCTGATTATCAAGGTTCAAGTCTCGACCACCCGAATTTCGGTCCGCGATTGTGATTTTTTTGGACGTCTTAGAACTCTGGTCGCCTCACCGTGTTATGATTACGATAGAGGTACTTTACATTATTCATACACGAGGTATACACTGATGCCTTCGCCAGCGATGGCTTCCTGCTTCTTCCAAATTGATCGGACTCAGTCATCACATGATTCATGATAAGTGACAGCGGCGGGCATTGATCAGGAAGGGACAATCGAGAGGATGACTACATAGGTACAGTCCTACTTGCTGTTAGCAGGTACTTATCATGAGTCGTTCTTGACTAGAGCTTTGGAACATTACAAACAATCTGTTTACAGACTCATGGTACAACAGCTCAATTGACGGAAGGTTCGAGCAAGGTATAGTATGACATCCCATCCCCAAAAGTACTCCCCCCTCTTCCTCACATAGTCTACTCGTCTTTCTTAGGTGCTAGGGGCACTTCAATAAAGTCCGCGGCCCCGAAGATATCCTTAATGCGAGGGTCACCTGCCACCCTCGCGTAGTGTGCAAAGACATTCGGATAGAGTGCTCGTTCAGCAACGCCGAGGGTCACCCGAGCAGCACGTTGGATGACACTAGTTAAAACGATATCCGCAAGTGTAATCTTGTCAGTGACGAGGAACTCGCGAAGGTTGAGGTTCTGTTCGAGGAACTTGAGTGAGCGCTCTTGGCGTTCGAATACAGCTTTGTGGATCTGTAAGCAAAGTGCCGGTGTGAGTCATTGAAATTGAGTTCCGCTGTACATATAAAAGACAACTGACGCTTTCACTGTAGGCTTTCTCTGGGAAGAAGCGCTTTACCAACTGCCATACTAAGTCGGTGTATCCGCTGATCTCGTGCTCCGCGAAGTGGATCCACTGGTCAACTAGCGCAGCCTCTTTGATGCTGTTTCCAAGAAGCCCAGACTCAGGAGCCAGAGATGCAACTAATCGTGTAACGGTGCGCGGTAAGAAAACTTATAGGCTGCGTAGCACAACACTGACCATAACGTGCAATAGACACACCCTCTAGAAGAACGAATCCATCCTCGCCCTCAAAGGTAGGAATCTTGGCAAATGGGAATTTGTCAACAAATTCAGGTGACTTGTTGGTGACGCCAAACTCGAAAGGCTTCAGATCGACTTCGAGGCCTGCGATAGCAGCAGCGCTCAATATCTGCATTAATATCGTGTCTAGTCAATGGAACTCTGCACAAGAAACGGAACTTACACATTTGGTTCGACGTAGAAGAGGAACACCCCAGAGAGAGCCGATTGGAGCCATTTGGATTGATAGAAAGACTTTGAGACGTGATGAAGACTGAGTGATATTTCGTCCAGTGACCCCTTATTTATACCAGCCGCCGTCAGCGTAACAGTTATGACTGTAAGGAAAGCCATTGCGCTGGCTACGGAATTCCTTTTGTACTACTGGTTATGGGCTTCACCTTGTACCGGTTCGAAGCACTACTCCGCTGACTACTTGTACCACCACTCACTTAGATATAAAGCCTGCTCTTACCTTATGTATCTTCAATGAATTCATCCCCCCCTCACTCATCCCTCATCACTCGTGATTCATCAATCCCCATCGAATTCATTAAGCAGCCTTACGTGACTCATGAAAAGATCAAAGAGTTTTCCGGGCGTCGGATTTCCCGCAGCAGTGTAAGGCTGGGTATGAGTTCGGCAGGGAATTGCGAACGAAACGAGATAGAAATGAGACGTGTTAGTAGGTAACACGAAGAGAGATAGGACTAGGTCTGAGGACTTTCTGTGAGGCTTTCGGTCGTTCTTGGAGCGGGGATCTGAGTGTAGGATTCGCTGTAGGTATGAGTGTACAGGGGCAGTATATACATGTCTTCGAATACTTGACTAGGCCGGAACGAGCATAAGGAGCATATGGCGAGGTGAAAATACTCGGTGAAGGAAGGGGATCGTGAAGTCTGAGCACAAGGTGAGATAACGAAAGAGAATGAAAAGGAGATATAAGATAATGTGTCCACGTAACTCGGATGCGAAGAGTTGCGCTCTTCGGGCTCAGGTATTTTGCCGCATCACTGCCGCAACTTCTGGAGAAAGATGTCAAGCATATGACGCATGCATCATTCACGGCTTACGTTGTATCTGCGTGTCAGAAGCATGTTCTAACTTTGAGAGCATGGTTTCGAAGGCCGCGATGGCTTCATGGCCCAATAGCGTTGGCATCAGGAAAAAGCTCGACCACCATTTGCACCCTGCGAGAATACATAGTGCCATGTAGCCTCTATAGCACAACAGAGAGCACCCACACCAAATACAGTAGCACTAGTAAGGTACGTACCAATACCTGGTACTTTTATAGTGCTTTGCAGTTAAGTCTCACATACAACACGCAGCTGTAATGAGGCTGTTTCTTTGTGAAGTCGTCATTTCGATGCAGTCTCATTTTGAGGTTGCTATACAAATTTATTTGCGTCGTCTGTGGTGCGTGTACTCCGAGTCTGAGTCTATGTTCGTTATTGCCCCGTTAGATGCACAGGATACGAGGCTAATGCGTAATGGTTCAACTTCATTACATTCTTTTGTAGTTTCCTGTGCAATACTCTGACGAGTAATCAAGTATATGAATCGTGACTGTTTCAATTCCTGATCATGAAACCCGAGCTGAAACAAGCAAATTGCGCTGCATCATGAGTATCGTAATCTAGATAAGTACTATATGCCGTTAATCATATCATACAGGTACGTCAAAGTGCTCATCAAAGTTATTTGTTTTTCATCCCTATAATATCTCTAGTGTCCTGATGTCCATCATGCTACGAACAGAAGCCATGTCTTTGACTTGTGCGATGATGTGTTGATCTGACGCAATTCTCTTGTATTCTCCACCGGGCTGCTGTGCTAGTAAAAATGCGCTGAAAGGTTGTTCAAGGCGAACAATCAACCGCAATGCTCGCGAGTGAGTCTCCGAATCGGCTGACTCGGTTTCTCCAGAGAAACCGCGAAACGCATCGAAAAACGAGCCCAAAGGCTGTCCAATGCGAAGAAACCGCGACGCTCGATCGCGAGACGCGCTGGGTAAATGGTATAACGAAGAATCGACCGTGGACCAATTTGCTACGCTCTGCTCGTCGTTTGCAGAGTCATGCAGCTCGAGAACATGACGACTCCACGGACGGACGAGCAACAATGTCTGATGAGCGGGTATCGTTCGTGAGAACTGGGCTGGCTTGTCTTCTGTGGTGATCCGCAGGTCACTAAGACCGTCTGCCTTGACCACATATGTGAAAGATATCTTGTCGGGGCCATGTCCACGCATCCATTTGACTGACCTGACAGGGAATGCGATGCAGGGTAGATGCAACCTGCAGTTTGCGAAACGAGGGGCGCTCAGATTGTCAAGCAAGGTATAAAATTCGGAAGCCAAATCGATGGTCACCGCATGTCGCAGGAATGACACCGATGTCTGCATTTCATCTTCGGATAAAGATGGGAGCATGTGTGACAGAGCTTTGTATGAAGTGATGTCGGCTGGCAGACAACTATTGAACTCGGATGGTTTTCCGACCCAATCTAGCGCAGTGATGTCCCCCGACCGAGCCACAATCTCCTGCAAGAGCCGTCCGAGCGCATTGTGCTTCTTCTCGCCATAGATGACAGGTAAATGCACGCCGAAGATGCCAAACAATGAGTATGCGATGTCCTCCTGCAATGTGGTGATACGTGTCGAGGCCCATTTAAGTTTCTCTCGGGCGCCTCTCATTCCTGGATTGAAGGAGACCAATGCCCGTTGATCTATGCCCGTGGCGTCTCCCAGCTCCTGCATGATCGCGACGGACTCCTTGTGGTTGAGAGACTGATCGTTGAGATATAGGGACCAATCCTTTTGATAAAAGCGAATGACTTTGGGAGCTAGGAATTCTCCAACCGTCCATCCTCGCCTGATCCACTCACTCTTTGCCAGGGCACCAGGCTTCGACGAAGGTGGAACATCCGAAAGATAGACAATTGTAAGTGCTGAGTGACGGTACCAGATAAACATGGAGTTGAGCGATTCTTGGAGCTCAACGTTGTTGCTCTTGTCGATGCAACATGTATCACTCCATGCCCAACGATACCCCGCATCACAAGCGATACTGCAAAACGACTTCAACTTCAGCATGCCGCCAACTGGATTCCATTCGTATATGACCTTGCCCTGGATGTCGTGTAGGAGGGGCTCCTTTTCTTCCCACCTATGTGACAGCATGACACAACCAAAGTATACTGCTACCACTTCTTGGATACGCTTCATTCGGATATCTGAATGCTTCATCGCGAGCGACAAAAGTTCCTTGTACTCTTTGCTCGTTTTGAAGTCGCTTATCTGCGCCTCTTGATTGCACAAGAGTCCGGTGGTGGTCTCGAGTACACGAAGTGGCGAATTGTCGAGTTGAGCGCGAATGACCTGCCGAATGGCACACTCTGCTTCGGACGAACTGAGATAATGCTGGCGCAGTTCTGGAAAAAGACGTCAAGTATATGACGCATGCATCATTTACGGCTTACGTCGTATTTTCGTGTCAGAAGCACGTTCTAACTTGGAGAGCATGGTTTCGAAGGCCGTGATGGCTTCATGATAGCGTTGTGCGCCATGAAGCGATGCATGCTTCAAGCGGTATCCACGATAAGACGAAGGGCTGAGTTTGATAACCTACGTAGGACCAGCATGAGGAATGACTAACGACATCATAGATACCACCACACCGTTTCTGCATGGATAAGTGTTGCATTACGAACTGCCCTGTTTATAAGGTAGATCTGCGTATATCAGATGCAGCATTGTTCAGATCACCTGAAAAGAATGAAGAGTGGGAACATACCTTGGTATAAGGCAAAACGTCCTCGGGTATTGCCCACTTTGAGATCGTCTTATCGTAACCTGCACTAAGGATTTCCTTGCCATCCGCGGAAAAGGTAATACAGCCCGCCCAGCCAGAGTGCTCGAATATGGCGATGGTTCGTTGATCCGAGAGTCGCCAGAGGCGAACATGATGGTCGTCGGATGCAGATGCGACGAGAGTGCCAGTAAAGTCAACGGCGATGGCGTTGATACTGCGAGTATGCCCTTCCCAGGGATCACCAACCTTGTTCCAGATCGATGTCTCATGTATGATGGGATTGGCCCAGTTAGACCCTGAGAGAAGTCGTCCATCGGGCGTCCACGCGAGTGACATGTTGAGTACTAAACTACTGTGAACCTCCATATTTGCAATGCGATCCCTCGTGTCTGGATCCCATATTTGGATGCTCTTCTCTGTCGCGATGGCAAGATATTCGCCTGAAGGTGAATATCGTATGCATCTGACCCAATCACGACATGAGATGGGGTCTCCTTGCAGTTCCCAAGTCTCTGTGTTCCACAGTTTCGTCGTTTTGTCCCATGAACCACTCGCCAGTACAGTGCCATCTGGCGAGAAGTCTAGCGAGAAAGCAACATTGGAGTGGGCTTTAATGGCTTTGGTGAGACGTTCACCGGTGTCTCCGTCCCAGGCAATGAGTTTTCCGCTCATATCACCGCTTGCTATTACCTGCCCGTCTCCTGATACCGCCAATGCCCGCACCCCCTTCAGATGCCCTTCCATTTTCTTCAAAACAATGCCTTGCTTCAAGTCCCACAGGCGAAGCGTCTTGTCGTAGGATCCCGTCACCATACGCCGTCTATCAGGGAAGACTGCGACTGCATATATGACATCTTCATGACCTTCAAACACCTGAACAGGTGTGGTGTGAGGAATGATGGGCTGGGTTGCCTCTTCCGTTGCTTCTTCCGCCATTCTGGCTCGATAGTATTGAGCACCTTTGAGGTGGACTTGTAGAAACTGTGCGTATACTCGCCTTTTTATAGCACTTGATTGTCCCACTGGACACAGCCATGAGGCCGTTCTCCCTCGAACTTTCCGTCGGCCATCAAGGAAGAGCGTCATTGCCTCCATCACTGATCTTCGTTCTGCTATTTTGGTAAACTTATTTTCAATATAGATTGTTGGTGTCTGGCGATAAGTTCGCAGCAGTGAATTTGCTGCTCTTTTTGTGCTGTTTTACTGAACACATCTCGTTAGCGCCAAAGGCACAAGGCCTGTTGACGAAGTTGATGCACTGGGGTATGCATAGCCATTCTGGTCGAACTCGAGAGGGACAGTCGCACAAAAAGAAGGACAGCCGATCCCGGTCATGATGCGGCATGACCGTCTAGTCACAGGTGACCAATTAGTACATATGGGCTGCGGCGTGCATCAGCCAGGGAGTAAGCCCAATGCGGAGGATCGGATCATACCGTTTCATACATATTATTATATATAAAGCAGGTATGTAAAGCCAATATTGTGTTGAAGTAGAAGTACTACGTACAGCGCATGATCAATAAGCTGAACACTTGAGTGTAAGATTCATAATACTGCCGCATAGTAGGGTACGGACGAAAAGTCAGTTGTTAATAACACTGCTAATAAAGGCGTGTTAATAACATGTTACTAACGTGTTAATAACAGGCACACGACCATGGGGGGCTTGACACAGTGTTAATAAGTCTATTGACCCCCATAGTCTTGGTGAGTCGCCCTCTGACCTTCTGTCGTTCCTTGCAGATCATTGACTTCGACGTTTACAATGCAAATCTTGCAGAGAAGCAAGCTATGGTCTGGCATGGGACTCGAGTGTCTCGCAAACTGGTTTCCCCTCCCTCCGAGTCTTGCACCAGTTGAGCACTCAAAATGGTTGACACGAAAGCCTCAGATGATGCTATTCTTATTATTCCTGTATCAGTGCAATCAATTATTCTCCCAGATCAGAATCTGTCTGTCTCGTCATTCCTTGAATTCCCACTCCCGTCAGCTTCAATTACGACCGCTCCACCATTGCGCGAATACTTTGACACTGACCCCCCGCCTGAGGACACCTCATATCTCGATTATCTCCGCACGCAGCCGCTTCCCCAGCTTGCAGTTCTGCACCAGCTCCTAGAAGGGGTGCAACGTGCAAGATTAGATGGTAGCCGGTCTATTGTATATGCTCATGCCGACATCAATCAATCTTTTCCATTCTGGATTCTGACGTTTTGGCGCCAAGCGTATACTCTCCTTGACATCCAAAACAAATGGCGACAGGCAGAAGCCTTCCTTACCAAACGCCAATCCAATCCAGTGGCCTCTACCTTCCATCTTGCCTTGAGCAGGTTATCTTGGTCAGGCTCCACGAAAGGTTTCTGTGACTGGTCACCCATTCATGACCTTGCAGATTTCGCATCGCAGAAATGGCTGACTGATACAAATCTGAATATGATGTTGGACATTGTATATGGAGATAAGGATGTAGCATCGAAGCATACCTTTGAAACTGCATATTTTGTGCCGTTACTATTACTCGCACATGACGAGCGTGCCAAGAAAGATTATTTGACCTCGCGGGAGGCAAAACCTTTTTGCAGTGCCGCCGAGCAGTTGTTCAAGGGACACTACAAAAGCCTTGGTATCCCTTGCCATATCCACAAGAACCATTGGACTGCAGTTCTGATCAATGTGGAGGACCAGAAAGTCCTCTATGGAGACTCATTTGGCGCAGCTATTCCAAATAACCTGAAGGCAGCCATTGATTGGTGGCTCTCACACCATTCACCAACTCCCTTGACATGGGACGACTTACAGATTTCCTGCCAGGAGGATACGCACTCCTGCGGTGTCTTAGCTGTCAATGCCCTCGCTCATTTCATCCAACCAACGAAGTTCCCTCTATTATCATCTTCCGACACAGATATTGCGCGTTTGCATTACGGAAATGCCATCATCGAGCATCATGTCATGTCGTCACAATTGCCATCACTACCACCAACATCTGCATCCGCGTCCATTACACCACTTTCATCTACTATACCATCACCGCCAGTGTCTGCATCTGTGGTGTCTGTTCTGCCTACTATACTACCCCACGAGTCCGTTGCACCGATATTCAAGCTCAAGAAGAAGCGAAGTCATGTGAGTTGCCAATCAACTTGATCTTCAGTCGAGTTTACTTACCCAAAAATAAAGGCGGACATGCTTGATGATGATTCCGACACCGCAGAACCTCAGTTCAGGGGGCAATTAGTAGATATTGAGCTGAAGAAGCGGAAAAATACCAATGGTAAATGTCACGAATTCCAAATACAAATCACTATTCTTTCTTGAACACTTGTAAGACACCCATTAAGCGCCCATTACAAGCGCCTGTCATTAGCGCTCAGTCAGCGTCTGTACCTATAACCTTCACAAACCCTAACCCGAACTCATCCTTTACATATCCGAACTTCTCTATTCCATTAGCGCCCACTACCTTTATCTCCGACATCCCTGATTTCGACTTCCTTTCACAAGCGATCAAGTCACGTGACTCTAGAACCTTCGAGAACCCTTGCACAGCTGTCACACGTTTCATGACATCATAGGTGTAGTTATATTTAGATCATCGTACGATTCCCTTTTCTATTTAATGATTGGTTAGTTAGTTCATACTCAGATTCAGTCTCCGTTTCAATATATGTATATAGGTAGCTCATTGTAGTCAGTAGTTCTTTAGTTCAAACCTCTTTTGTATTAGCTTATTGCTAGCAATCCTAAGACGTACCTGCTATCCTCTATCTTCTTGTCGTGATACCTTTGTTTGAGTCCTAGTCTCTGCCCCTGCGTTAATTCGTTATAAGGGTTGTGACAGTAAAACAGTTGGCTGACCACGTACTAACGTGCTTGAAAAGGTGAAAAGGCAGTGTCATGAGCTCAGCAAGCCAAAAAAGTGACGGTATTGATGTCTCGGGGAGAACTGCAGATACAGTTTAGCTGCCCCTGCCAACCGGAAACGTCTGTTGAAACACGCAGCTTCATGCCACCGGCTACCTGTTACCCTAGTTCAAATCCCAGCACAACCCCACTCTCAAAGGAAAAACGGCTGCTGATGTTCATGAAGCTTTTGTGCGCCAGTTTGAGTGCTATGTAAAAGGATAGTACCCTTTCGATGTGATGGTGGATGCTGGTCAGGGCATCCTCTCATACTGGACTCACTTAACGAAGATACCTGAAGGTTGCATACTTGTGGTGAGTTTCAGCCCATCCTGACTACTCGTAACTCAGGCTTTATCTCCAGTGTATTGCAGAAAAACTTTATTCAATCAAGCCCTCATCTATACCCGAGGAACGAACAATGTCAGTATTCACGAGGATGAATACAGCGGCCAGGAACCGTCAACATGTCCGGACACTGGTGGACATGACTCAGATTCGACAATGGCATATGTATGATCCAAAGGTCAGTGTCCTATTCAGTGGCCTGAATTGACGACTCACGTCTCTTAGAAAATGGTCGAAAGACGGCACCCAAACATTTCATTTGGCAATCTCGACTCCATCATTTCAACAGGGCCCAAAGAACCAGCTGCTCATCAAAGCCACGAGCCCACTGGCAGCTATCTATCTGTGGGCACAGATGAGGAGGAAGAAATTCTCGAAGACGAAAAGGACACATGGCTCGATGAGAAGCTAGCAGCCGAACCAGCGCAGGATTCAGCCTTCGACATCGAAGTAGATGCAAACCTTCATGCACCAATTGTCACCAAAGCATTGTCTGATGAATGCAAGGAAAGTCCTATCAACGGCCTGGGTGGTGATGCTACTGAGGATGATGCTGACCTAGAGGACAAGGACACTGAGTGGGGCGGAAAATTTTGGTAGTAGCTACAGCGAAAATCGTCATTTTTTGGTCACGTGACTGTTAATAACATGTTAATAACATGCTTGTAAATAACCCTACGCAGCTGCTTGCTTTTTAACACAGGTTAATAACAGCGGGTTGACTTATCGTCCGTACCCTACCGCATAGTCGCACATGTACAACTTGAACCTCTCCGAGTCCTCGTTAAAAATTTGCGGGATTCTCCGTGACAGAGTTCCACAAAATCCAGAACCACTTACCACACCAACTTGAACATCCAATCCTTGTCTATCACAGATCGTCGTCAATGTAGTTCTTGCCGCCCACAACGAGACTCGGCGCCTTCCTTTCTGAATGCACTCGCTCCCCAATGTACGCGTTCTTCAAGTTAATGTTGGCGGGAAATCCTGGACTGGTGAAGAGTTGAAGGCCGTCGCGAGTGCTATGGTCGGATCGGCTATTCGGGCTTCGTTCTCAAGTGACGAGTATGCTACGTCCCTTGAAGCACCACTACAATAGGATTATTTAAGGGGGTGAGTATTACTTTTGGAATTAAGGCTTATTACACGAATTCCCAGTGGAGCAGGTACTTTCTGGCACCCACATGTGCGCTTGTGATTGTGAGGGAAATATCCGCCGGGTTTCTGATCGGAGTGATTTGAACTCTCATCGATGATCGATCATCACTGTATATAGGAGGTCCTCGCGCTGTGTCTGAAAGACATCGTCTGTGATTCGTGAAACACTTACGTGACGTGACGGTTACGTACGTCTCTCTGACTTTTCTACTTGGTTGTCGAGGTGCCTATGACATTTGTGCTGTATTGTTCGGATCTTATCTGAATCGCCAATGCCGTTTGAGATGTGTCTGGTCAGCAGTATTCTTAATTAGAAGAGCCTGCGCGTAAGTTACAACCATCTACACCGTCGAATGAGATAAATCTATGATTGTTATGGTCCCTGCGGAGCACCCGACAAGTTTTTCCTGTCCTACACACTACTGCTGGTTGACACATATACACGCTCCTGGAAAGCAATTGAAGTCATGCAGGTTGCTGTGTCGGAGTCGGCCACGAGCTTAGCGTGATATTCTCGAACGCTAAGGACGAGGCGTGGCCCTACCACAAACATCTGCATCAACAACAAAATTTCGACGAGGCTATCATATAGATCAGCTCCTACGGAATCTGAGTTCTATAGAAATGGTGAGTAGTTGTCGCATGCAGTGACAAACAGGCGCACCGAAATCACTGGAGAGAGAAAACCAAGTTGGAGGCAAGAAATGGCAGCAAAACTAGCACGTGCAGAACTTCAGCTGGCAAATATAACTGCATTCACATTGCGAGCTCACCTTGCAAAGTAAACCACATGAGATTTTACCAACACCGTGAAACAGTCCTCGGTGATTGATCGTCGGAGTTGTCGCAAGTCACGGAAGTGTTTAACAGCCATCCATAGTGAAAGACACAGTGCGAGGACCTCCCACGCAGTGGTGAGTATCCAAGTCATTGCAAACAGAATTTCGATATTTCCCTCGACATTGGCAGTGCATTGGTAGGTGCCGGAGAGAATGAGCTCCTCTGGTATTCGTCCAATGAGCATGTCAAGTGTTTCATGCATAATGAAGGCTTACCCCTTAAAGTCATGCTGTTAGTTTTTGAAGTAATTACTGCACAGGCGATATTGATGGCCAGAACGATTGCAACGAGAAACATAAGCATGTATCTTGATCCGTGATACATTGCATATAACCGACCAATCATGACGGCTGATTCAATCAAGTCAATACCGCTAGCATTGGCATATTGCAACTGGGTAGCTCACCGCCCAGCATGGCAGTCACGACTACAGTCGTCCAACTTAGTGCGGAGCACAAAATATTGCCTGAAATTCAAATAGCCGATTGGTGATCGCCCTCGTGGGATTAAACACTTTGAACAAACTTACACCTGTTGCAGTTGTTCCAAAATTTGTCGAAGTACTAAATTCGACCAATATGCTAGTTCATGATCTCACTCACCCCTACGTATAGATGCAGTTAATTGGATGGGAATGTGAGATATAGGCGCAGAATACTCACTGCATCTGTTAGCGAGACTGTCGGGAGGCTTACTGTATGCTGCTGGTCAGAAGACACCAGCACACTGCATTTGAGACATACTCAGAGAGAATATACTGATTGAGAGAGATAGCTCATTAGCGCAGTATCATCATCTTGGTTCTATACACGTACACAGCATACGGTATCGCCATGTAACGTACCTAGGATGTTTTGGAGTCAGCACAACTTATCAACCGCGCTTGTAACATAAGCTACGCACACCGAGGTATAGAACAGTCATGATGGACCAGCGTTGCCTCTGCCCTGAATTACCCGCTGTTCTTCTGATATGGGACTCTACTCACCCAGACCATCTCTATCTTAATACCATTCTTAGCGAGATGATTACTCCGGTAATGGATCAACCTACCTCTTGTGGGAGTGTCAGTACTGGAAATATCATCAGAATATCAGTAGTCCTTGAACACTATTTTGCTTACTCCAATCGTATACCACCGCAGCAGAGGCGGCAACTGTGAAACCGTAGATCAAGGTTAGATCGAAACATCACAGACATCATCTGACTGGCTGTCCACGCACCAGCAAAATAGCTATAGAAACGATACGAATCGATTGTCGGCCACCAACTGGGATCATTTGAGACTAGGGTCATATTGACGAGGGACGGTGTAAGCCAGTGAGTGGGGTCTTGGTGGACGTATAACGAACTTAATGATTTTCGTGCTAGATATACTACGGATACCGTGGGTCGGACTCGGACGGGGATTTATGTAAAATGTGCACGTAAGATTCTTAGACTAAGATCATCATAATGGAAGTACAGGCTGGTGATGAAACATGCATCATGATGTTCAGGTGTGACAACTGCATCATGATCAATTGTAGCTAGGCCACCACTGTGATCGCATCAGAGCTGACTACCCGGGGCACGATGCATTTGGCATCAGATTTGCTCGATACTCCTTATGATACCAGGGCCCCATGTTGCAAATTTCCCAAGGCGATTGTAAGTTTACATCACGTTACAATGCAACTAACTCTACGCAAATTCTACGTGATCTAGATTCTAATATATGACCGTGATCTAAACTCTATGACTCTACAATCGTGCATTAGACCAGCCAATTCTGTAATAAAGGTACTCCACGTCTTCACCAAGACCCTGTCCTCGCGTATAATCGCCATGAGCATCACCATGCGCATCACATGTGATAGATTCTTTCGAGAGTATGACGAGAACAGCATCATCGTTCGGATCAACGTCGGATGCCTTGAGGAATACGGACTCAACCGTGCTTGACTCGAATGTGTGTGTTGGGCGAAGTGGTATCACAAGATGAAAAGCGGCGGGAGATATGGTACTATCAAAAGGACGCCGCAAGTGGGCTTTCAAACAGTCCCTGATCCAGACCGCATGTTGGGCTTCGTAAATGATATCTGCACCAAAGACCACATCGAATGGGTACGAAAGACAATTCGGTGGAGGAGCAGTAGATAACGATGACCAGTCGAGGAAATGAGTGGTAATGAAATGGGTCGAGGTAATTTGATTGTGCGTGGAGGGAACATTCGCGTTAATGTTTGATTTGAGGTTGGCTAACACAGAAGGGTGGAAATCGGTCGCGACCACGGAGACCTCGCGATGATTGAAAGATGGCAACGTATCCAGTAATTTCATAATCGCTAAGCTAACCAACCCCGTTCCTGCTCCAAGCTCGAGGACGTTGAGCCTGCGTGATTTAGGGTCATCAGGGGAAAAATCCAGTCCAAATCGCTCAGGGTCTTCCACGATCATTTCCGCCAAGACACATGCCCCGCCCCATGTCTGTGCTCCCACACTTCTGTAGTCATCATTGTCCAGCGGAATGTCCGTGAGCTGAGCTTCCACTCGCCTCTGCCCATCTATAGAACCGAAAATAAAGTTACGAGTGATCATTCCAGCAGCAGCGACCCCGGCACAAATCGCGAGTAGCGACGCGGCTTGTTGGACGATCATCTCCGCGTGAGTAAAAGTGGGCTCTGGTTTCCCAAGATCATCCAATGAGGCTTCTCCAGAATGCGACAAGTCTTGCCAGACTTCAAGCTGGGCGATAAGAGCGGTAAGCCACCGAATGGAATATGAGCGCTCGAATGCGTCAGATCGGATAACTTGGAGTTCGTTATCATCTTCATGACGAAGGCGTGAATTTTGCTCTCCATTAAATACAGGCGCCTGCACACGTTTGCGACGTGAGCCACGGACTTCTGGATGGTAAAGTGATTGTAAATAAGTCAAGGCATCGAGAAGCTGGGTGACGGAGAAACTTGCGATCTTGGCGATCGGTGGAAGATATGTGGTCGGCGGACAGAGAACGGACATTCAGAGACGTTAAATTCGGGGAGGTAGGAAGACTTAAAATGCTAGCACCAAATCATACTAGTACTGGTTGAGTATTTGAAAATTATGGTTTTTGAATTTCCAAGCGCGTTAATATGATATTTACGGGTGTGTACATAGCGGGAATAACAAGTCCAAACAACCATCAGCTTGTGAAATATATGATCTACGTCTACGTTGAACCCAATTGATCAGAATCATCAGGTAACGGGATGAATAATTCCAGTCAGTCCTCCACCCTGTCCATGTCATCTATTCCGCAGTCTAGCTTTACAAATGCTTCCGTCTATATGTCACAATCGTCGCTGCACGATTCCATCCACACCGTGACTGATCCAAATTCACCGGAAATGCTAAAGCAGAACGTGCAAATAGCGCTTGACCATGTCGCAAGAATTCAATCACTAGCACGTAACTGCTTGCACGGCATGTAAGTCTCTACTCCCCTCATACTTATACAACGTTTAATTATTGTTAGACAAAACGCATACCAAGCAGGAAATAGTCCTGCACATACAACAGGCAAGTACGCTTCAAATTATTTTATAATTGTGACTTTACGCTTTCAATTTCCAGCCGAGCTGGCCGCACTTATGCAGGCAAATCGCACACTTGCTGAATTCCTTCGACAAACTGGAGTAGGCGCATACCCCATGTCACCCGCCCCTGAGTCTCAGAGCGCAACATCGATACCTCCCACAGAGCAGCAACTGATTGATACTACGGCCCGCGAGGTACAAGTGCTTTATGAGCGCCTGAAACGTATTCAAGAGAGTAATACCGTTGCTGTAAATTTACTTGGGGCCGCTGATACCGTCTCTCGTGTACGCTAATCAACATCGGTGTCCGTTCTACTGTGTAGTTTTGTAACATCAGCCCAATTGAGATACGGTGATGCGCAGGTTAACCGGCTTCAGGTGACACTATGTTGGAACTGGTTTGTGTGCGCATTACTGGTAAGTACTCTATGTTAATCTCTCGAGGGTGACAGCCGATTACATCTAGGCAGTCAATCCTTCCACCCAGTTGTATTGCATTCCGTTGGCAGTCTAATACTCGACGATTTCCGAAGGAACCTGTCCCCTATTCAGCTGCCTAAAGGTTAGGCAAGGTGACCCAGAAGTGAATCTACAACTGATGTAACGGACATACCTCCGTACTGCCGCTCGAACGGGTGTGCTGCACTTTTTTTTGCTCTCGGTTTGTCTAGACTATCCTGTTCTGCCAGCGTATAGGGTTGGTGTCATGCTGTGTTGCTGTGATGGCGGTTTCTCTGTCTCTTATTTACAATTTCCCTGCAGCCGACCGAAGGGGAGTCCTTGAAAATATTTAAATACCACAACGAAACTTGAAATAAATACAAACGAATTCTCCCGCACTCTGCAGACCAATACCCGACGAGTGTAAATCATACCAAACATCCCCCGTGCTACACACTACCAGTGGTCGACACATGAACGCGATCCTGGAAAGCAATTGAAGTCATGGCAGTTACTGTATCGGAGTTGGCCACGAGCTTAGCGTGATATTCTCGCATGCAAAGGATGAGGCGTGGACCCAATACAAACATCTGCACAAATTGAAAGATTTGAACGAAACCAGCATAAATCCGAGTTTCCAGGTAAGGTACGTCCTGTGAAATGATGAATCATGACCGTATGCAGAGGTCGATGACAGATCGGCGTACCACGGAGAGCGTTGGAGACAAATAACTAATTTCAAAACAAGAAACTGCGACGAAGCTTGCACGCGCAGAACTTTAGTAAAAAAAACAAGAGAACCACATTCACATTATGAGCTCACCTCGCAAAGTAACACGTGAGTTTTCATCAACACCGTGAAACAGTCCCCAATAATACCTCTTGATGAGTGTTGTCGCAGTTCACAGAAGTGCTTTACAACAACCCAAACTGCGAGACACAGTGCAAGGACCTCCCATACAGTGGCAAGTATCCAAGTGATGGAATCCAGAAGTAGGACATATTTCGCATGGTCAATCTGGCACTGATAGGTGCCCGAGAGAACGGTTTTCTCTGATATTTGTCAGTGAGTATGGTGCAGTTGGGTCTTTCATACACAATCAAAGCTTACCCGCTGAAATCTGCATCATCGTTATTGCGACCATCACTGCGTTGGCGATTCTAATGGCCAGAAAAATGGCAACGAGAAACATCAGCACCTTTCTCGATCGCTGATACATGGCATGTAACCGAGCAATCATGAATACTTGCATGATGTTTCAGTCAAGTCAATATCACGGAGGTGTATAACTCACCGCCCAGTATTACATTTACAACCTCAGTCATCCAATCAAGTGCGTTGTACATGATAAGGCCTGACAAATCCAGCAACATTACTACTTATCAGCCTCGGAGGACCATATGCTTGAAACAGACTCACAGCTGTGGCAATTGTTATATTGAACCAGCGAGTTGTTCGAGAATCTCACTCACCCCTGCATAGTAGTTCAGTTGTTTTGGCGGAAAGCATCAGTGCGGAACACTTACTGCATCTGTTGTCGAAATTGTTGGAACATTCACTGTATGCTGCCCGTCACAAGAAAGAAACAGAGTCAATGCGAGGAGACATACACAACATGTTGATTCTGATTGTGAGAGATGGGTAATGAGCGCAACATCAATAGATTAAGCTTCCAAACGTACACAGCATATCCTATTCCAGCATAGCGCACCTAGGATATTTTGAAGTCAACAAAACTTGGACTTGCTAAGCGTAGATATTGAAACATAAGGTACATACACTGAGATAAAGAAAGGTCGTCACGGACCAACGTTGCCTCTGCCGTGAACAAGTTGTATTTTCACGTCATTTTTTTGATGTGGGAGTCCGCTCACCCAGATCAGTTCGACCTATAACACAATTCTAAGGGGGTTGGCTGCCCCAGTAATGGATCGACCTACCTCTTGTCCGAACGTAATTGCTGGAAATACTTTAAGGATATCAACGGATCTTTCATACTCAGTTTTACTCACCCAAATCGTACATTGCCCCAACACAGCCAACAACTGTGAAATCGCAGGCCAGGTTAATTAAGTCTACGGTCATCATGTGGCTGGCTCTCGACGGACCTGCGAAATAGCCGGAAATAAAATTTGCATCGATGAGTGGCCACCAACTGGGATCGTTCGAGACTAGGGTCATATTATTAGAGGATGGGAGTGAGTGAGTGGGGGAACTTGGTGGATGTATAACGATTGCATTCGTGCTTGATATACCGTCATCCAGTGCCGAAGTTACTAGGGCTGATCACGGTTGCAATGTTTCGGAATGTCCATTGTCCACACTAAGACTAGCACAGGCTTAAGCATTGCCAAAAGCGTCTGATGAGGGTGGTCTGAAGAGTCCCTAGTGGGGGCGGGAGGCGTAGGTACTGCGATTTGAAAGATCAATTGACCATATCTGATTGATCGAAGTGTCCCGACTCCCAGGCTTTCAGCATGAATTCAAGTAGAAAATCCAGCGATATACCGATGAGATCAAAGTGGAAAAGAAGTTGTTATTAAAATCTCAAAGCAGTGACTCGCGCGGAATGTTCCTACGCAGTAAAAGATCGGAAAACTGTTCGTGATTTCGGCAACCTACCAGACACCATTTGGATTATTGATCCAACACAGGTTCGAATGGCGCCCAAGTCGACCTCGAGCGTGGTAGGCATTGTCAATTACGACACGAACAAAATTCACATTCATGTACACGCTGATTAGTACAAATACAACCAAAAGTACAGTTATGCATCGTACCCAAATCCCTGCCATAAAACACGATCGATGTGTGTAGCGACGAGGGCAGTCGTACAAGGAAAGTGGCAAGTTAAAAGAAGGGGGGAAAGAGGCGGTTGTACTGAAGGGGAGGGGGTCGGTGTACAAAGAAAGAACGATCAAGTGATGTAGACAGGAACGGAGGCAGTAGGAACGAAAGCGATGACGAAAGGGCGGTGATGGTATGTGTTTGAATGCAGAGTTAATGAATGTGTGATGACTCCACTTTGGTGGTTCACAAGCAAATAATGACGGGATAGGATGGATGCACTGGTAAATAGATATACCAAGATCGTCGATGAGCCTGAGGAGCGAATAGCCGGTTGGGAGAGGGAGAATCGGAGAGAAATCTCCCGTTCGTTGAAGGGATAATTTAGTCCATCCGTAAAAAAGCCCATCCCAAGGAGACGCAGGCGGCAGAGACCAATAGTGATGAGATCAAGAAAATGAAAAATGGGAAGTGTGAACTGCGCGTTTCATGGCATGAGCGAGAGCGACAGTAGCCGCCCAAAGAGAAGAACGAAGGAGCGCGTAAGCATGCATTATCACGCATAATGGCGAACGAACGAGTGCACGTGGGCGTAGAAATACAGAATGAAATATGAATCCTCAGCATATACACGTGGGCGGGGACGAGATATGTGGAAGAAATAGAAGGGAGGTCGAAGTGTGAAGTGAAGGCGAACAGGACACAGGTACGGGTTGTACCTCTCCGGTATTGCTCTTGCGCGGGCCAGGTCGAGCTTAATTTAGCACGCGTCGCAGTGACGGAATAGGGGCAGCCTAGTGATACGGTACCATGCGCAATCTTGTCAAGAAGGTTCGGAGGTGGTTGAGAAGGTAGCGCATCCAAGGTCTGGGGCGATTTTCGGGTCAATTACTTGACGAAAACCACCTGCCAAGTAACCTAACCTCATCCTCCTTCTGGCCACTCTACGGCGCTAGGGTCGTCAGTTTGAGCTGATACTGCTCATTCGTTTTACCTACATATATATATTGTCTGACCTGTCCATCATAATATATACGCCATTTTCTGTTGTTTGGTCCGGTGCAGTAATGCCAAACAACCTAATTTGAATTTGAATCACGATTCCACGGTCACCTTTCCGCAACAACCCTCATGAGCGAGAGAAGACACGGTGAACGGAGAGAGCACCACTCAAGAGATTATCATAGACGAAGTGGTAAATGACCTCCGTTACTCCTTAGAGATTCTTGACTGACTTTCTGTGTCAATGTTGATTACCACGCACTATGTCGGCTGTGCTGGTAATGGGGCGACAACACATTCACTTACGCTCGCATTTATAACATGTCATGATATGCATTCGCCGAACAGGGGGAGATAGAGGATGGAGTCGTTCAAAGTCGCCTGAAAGACATAGCCACCATGACGATAAAGAGGACAGAAGGTCTCGTCACACTAAACGTTCAAGATCCCGGAGTCCACACCGCTCACGCAGTCACAAGTATCATGATGATACGAGAGACAGAGGAAAGGATAATCGTCATGTGAGACACTTACTATTTTATTCCAATATTGTTTTAACACTGCTGCAGGACCGAGACAAATACCACGAGTCTTCCGAGAGTCGTGGGCGAATCACAAGCCGCAACGTCGTACGTTATCCCCCTATTTTTTTTGGCTGAGTTGCCTTTGACCTCTGAAGATGTGTACATAAATGCACTGTAGACCGCTGAACATCGACGCCGATCTCCTTCACCTTCGACAAACTCTGTTGTATCGACGTCAACTGAGGAGCGTGGTGGCAGTGGTCGACATAGGTTGCGTGGAACATCGCCAAGCCACCGGTCTCGCTCTCCTTCAAACAGTCGCGATATTCGCAAGTCCAAGTCAAAGCACAGAGAGAAAGACCGAGACAAGAAGCACAGGAAGCACAAGGACAGGGATGATGCGAAGGACAAGGATGAAAGGCGTAGTGTTCTGACAGGCAAGAAGGTCAGTTTTCTCTGTCTAGATGGGCCTCTGACTATCTGATAGAATTGTCTCAGATCAAGTTGAAAGTTCATAAGGATGCCAGAGATCTCGAGATGGACGCGAATAGGCAGAGCTTGTTGCAGTTCTTGAATTCGACGTGCGAATGATACAGTCACGTAGTGTTACGGGCACCGTTCAATGTTCGGTAGCACAGTTTTCCACTCTATTTTACAGGCTCACCAGAATGCAAGCTTTATTGACGGCAAGCTTGAAGGCCCAGATCGTCCCTGGAAGGAATATTACATAACCCCCCTTTCTCCAATGACGACTTCAGTTTTGATCTTTCCCTTAGCCCGTCATTGTCGAAACCCTCAACTTGAGCCCGCAATGATGCTCGATCCACTCAATGCTGTCAGAGAAGATCTCAAGGACAATGGTATCATTCCAGACGTTATCCCTGTCGGCCCTCCTTTCCATCCTAAGGCTCTGCTCGTCGTGTCCTTCCCCACTAGCCAAGAGGCTCTTCTGGGGAATACGCTCACAAAAACAGACACTGCTGATGAACCAACCATTTTGTTCACTCCGGTGCTAGATGTGACTGGTGAACCCACCTATACGCTCGTCATGACAGACCCAGACGCACCATCCAGGGAAAACCCGAAATTCAGAGAGTGGCGGCACTGGGTGGTTAGTACCTTCATAGATCACAGACATTTTAATTGAATTCATGTATAGGTCACTGGTGTGAAAGCCCCTCCGACGTCAGCCGTTGAGACGGATGATCTTGCTGCACAGCTTACCAAACCCGCTGTGACGCCCTATTATCCTCCCACCCCTCCCCCTGGAACTGGCAAGCATCGTTACGGTGAGATAAAATTTGTTATAATTGCCTTATGTGTTAATTATAGCTGCCCCAGTAATATTGTTATACCAGGAGCCCAATGCGGACTTCTCAATCCCTGCCGATGCCCCGGAACGCAAGAATGAGCCTGCGAATAGAAAGAACTGGAATTCAGCGGAGTTTGCTAACAGGTATGGGCTGAAGCTAGTTGGGGTCAATTATTTCGTTGTCGTGGGGGAATAGTATGTCCAAAGCGAGGCAGTTGTCCTCGAGTGGTTGAGGTGCTGGACTGTACTATACTGATAAAGACATTTTACTTTTAATGTAACAAGGTCCAATGCTACTTGCATTTAGTACAAGTTTTCCAGGCTCCAAATTGACGTCCACGAGCGTTTGCGGCTAGCGCCCTAATTAAGTAGCACTTGTTACTACGCGCTTCTGTGGCTATGTTTGGCGTGTCGCGACGTACATAGCATTGATGCGCTCGGTTGAATATTGTCTTTAACTCATCTTCACTACTATCTCAATGATCGACACCATGTCCACGACACGCGCAGATCCCGCATCTCTAGACCTTATGTTCCCTCAAGAGCTCATTTCACTTGAAGTTTCAGCACAGCTTCCCTCTGATCTCCAGGTAAATTGAACATCGGCTCTCTCACATTGCTTTCACATTAAAAAGAACATAGATACGTCCACTTGCATCAACAGACTACAAACGCGGACATCTCGATGTCCTTTCTGTTTTATCCATCGTCAATGACCTCGGCGAGGTAGCGTGGGTCAACCAGTTCCACGCCATGCGCGCAACTCCCAGCGCATACTTCTCCATTGTCATCCTTGACAAGGCGAGCGACAAGATCGTCGGAGTAGGCACCGTCTTCATTGAGCGCAAGTTCCTCCGCGGTCTCGGCAGCGTCGGTCACATTGAAGATATCGCCGTCGACAAAAGCCAACAGGGCAAGAAGCTCGGCCTCCGTATCATCCAGGCCCTCACACATATCAGTGAGAGCAGCGGCTGTTATAAGACCATCTTGAACTGTAGTGACACCAACATTCGTGAGTTGTTTCCCACCATAGACTTTCAAGTTCGCTTATACTGACTACTAATGTCCCATAGCCTTCTACCAAAAGTGTGGCTATGTCAAGAAGGAGAACGAGATGGTAATTTTTCAAGCACTTCTCATAGCCTTCGCTAACGAGATGCGCCGCAGGCAAAGTACGCGCCAGAACGTGTTAATCATGCACCAAAACTTTAACTCGCCATCTTATCCTACACTCACATATACCATTGTCATCAATCCTCCATATTCTAGATCCATCGTTATACAATGTACAAGGACTCCCCTTCGGTCGGCTCTACGACAATATATCGTGTTTACAGTAGCAACTCAGGAAATACTATATTAGTTTCGTCTCTGCAAACAGACAGTGTCTCTTCGCGTTCTCACTCTCGACAGCGTTGTGCACAATCGACCGTGAGCGAAGGATCAGTCCGGAGGTCGAGCACGGTTTACGCTAGCGTCAAACCTTAACATTCATTGAATGTAGTTGCACATGCGGGTCACAGATGAGACTGTCTTCGATTCACTGTCCATAATGAACGGTTTGTATGGAATGCGGCGATGCAGTGACTTTCGAATGTATTGAGGCCGCGAGAGGTTGGACTTTGAGGAAGCGACAATGCAACGCGACGACGCGCACACCCGCGTTTCTGACCAATCCCATTTCTACAAAATTTAGATAGGTTAACATTGCAAGGTAGTTGAGTGTGTTTTCTGGTGCGTTCAATGGAGTCTGCCCAGCTTCTTCCAGGCTGTCTGAACTGGAATAAGATTCTACATACATGGCCTCGTCAGTGAAGTGTGTCAGTTGCGATACTTACGAAAATCGCCCGGCAAATTGTCTAGAATTTTGTGGTTGAAAATCCATCGACATAGACGTTGAGGGTGGAAAGGAGTGCACGATCAAGACGGGTTTCAGCGTCCACAGTGCAAAGGCTTGAATCAATTGAATTGCAATAGGATTCTAGGAAAGCGAATCACTTCGAATTTCGAGTAAACAGATTGTCTCTTGGTATAGCAGTGTATGGCATACTGTAAGAAGCGTTCAATCAGATCGTGTACAAGGCAGTAAAAGAGAAGCTCGCGGAGATATCCAAATAACACGAGTTCAAACAACATATAGGCTAACACAACAGTGTTCGAGTGTCATAGTGCTAATGTGGTCATTTGCGGAGTACATGAGGATCCACAACTGGTGACAAAATTAGTGATTTCCACAACTGGCGCCACGAGATAGGATTTCCCTGTGGCTCCATGAGCTTGCATTCAGAAACGGAGAATGAAACGAAACCTACAACGTCTCGGGTCATCAAGCAGAAGCTTCCGTCAGTTTCAGCGTAGCGGAAGTTCTCGAGCTCGACCCAGCCTTTGAATGCGATATTCCGCTTGTCATACCCGCCTACGCGCAACCGAAGGATCTCCCCTCGTTCATCCTCACCGGTAGGTCCGTCTTTGTGTTTGACACCGAGAGCGGTCAAGGATTCCTTTATGAGTTGCATCATGATCCCTGGCCCAAGAGAAGTATAGAAGCGAGTAAGGTTAGGTGTATATCTGCGACCCGACTGTGTTTGTGACTGAAGAAAACAACGGATTCAAAATGGAACTAAAATGTGTCCTTGGGAGACATACGAATAATAGAAGTGATTGGGTGAATTGGGATTGATGAGTTGCAGAGAGCATGATCTCATCCCCATCTTTGTCTTTGCGAGTTTCGCTGCATATGAAAGTGAATGTTAGCCTCGTGATGATAATCCTGAGAACGTACGCAGAGATCGCAATATCCGGCATCGCATAATTCAAATCACCGTTCGCCCTCAAAGACTCAGTCAAGTGGTCTGCAAGCGCGACAGCACCTTGCTTCGCAATTTGGCTTGGTCTTATGCACCACGGGTGAGCAAATACTTCAGCGAGCGTCATACGCTTCTCTGGTTCGACAGTTAGGAGGCCACAGATAAGTGCTGGTGGGCATATCAGCGCGCATTAACACTATAAGCGCATGATGATCCCACTTACATAGGGCTTCTGGTTTGAGACGATCCCAAGGGGATTCGTTGAATATCTCGCCCGTGATGTACTGACAGAACTCTGACGACTGTGCTGTGGATTGATCCCAAGGGGTATCTAGGAGGAACGTCAATTTGAATAGTTTATGGAAATGATTGGGGATTTGACGGACTTCCCGCGAGGAGTGTGAAGAGAATGATACCAATCCCCCAGACATCAATGGGCTCTGCTTCATACGGTGTCGCGTAGTGAACCTGGAATCATATTGTGAGTACAATCCGAGAATGTGTAAATGACACACTTCTGGGGCCATATACGGCAAGCTGCCACACAATTCGTTCAATTGTCTTGTCTTGCCGCTTTCCTTGAGTTTGTAGACTGCTGCGAGTCCAAAGTCTGAAATCTTGAGGGTACCAGCTACATCAAGCAGGATATTTTCTGGTTTCAGGTCACGGTGGCAAACTCCTTCGCGATGAATAAAGTCCTGTGATTCGGAAATCTTTCGTCTTCCTTGAATGTGGATGATCAGTATTGGTATCTCACCATCCCTGCCAGCAACTGGCCGAAATAGTAGTGTGCTACATCCTCTCCAATCCCAACATTCGGCGCTGATGAGTTATGGGTTAATGATTGGATGCATGATCAGTCAACGAAGCGCACCAATCTTATCGAAGAGGTCTCCTCCTGCAGCAAGCTCTAGTAGCATGTAAATTCCAGGGACATAGCAATCCTTATATTTGCGCTCTACCACGGCAGCATGTAGAAACTCCAGGACATGCTTGTGCTTGAGGAGCTTATGAAGTTTCATCTCCTTTTCGACAGCCTTGCGTTCCTTCTCGGTAGTCTGCTCCTTGATAAATATTCACCTTGCATGCTGCCACTTGATGGTTCTCTATATTGACGGCTCTGAACACGCTCGAGAAGCTACCTCCACCGATTTGTTGAATGAGCTCATAACCTGCAATCATGTCATTTGTGAACCTGGCCAAATAAGAGAGAGCACGTACCTGAGATTTTAGGGTACTTCGGAGCCATGTTGTTACAAGAGATCTCTGTCAAGCGCAGAGACCAACGATATTAATATGATTCACCATGATTACGGTGGCTCAAACAAAAACGCGCTTCCTTTGTGACGAGTGCAAAGTGACTGTCAGCACGTGCTATGTGACATGTATATATCATACGTCACGCGTACTTTTTGGCTGAGGATCTTCTGATCATTGGACTTGGCGGCCTTGACAATATTAATGTTAGTGTTATTGGCAGAACTCGGGAGTTTTGCCAGGTTTTGCCAACCGGTCTGGCCAAATTGGTTGTGCAGAACTCACACTCAGGGATGGGTGGCAAAACCTGGCAGAACTCCAGGGTATCCGGGACTCACGGAGATGTAATTTGTCTGATGACAACAGTTTGAATTCAATAGAACATGAAAGCCGACGACCCTAAAGGAAGATGGTATGCTGGAAAACGGCCCCTCGCGTCAATGATCAACGACAATTTCGAGCGCCTGGAAGAACGAGTTGAGAACAGCTCAAATCGTTATAGGCTACTTGGAAATGCAAACGTTGCGGCGGCACTGATAACTCACCAGGTGCTCGAATCCAGGGTCGACTCGGAGAAGTTCAAAGCATTAATGGATGAAATTGGCGTACTCGAGGGAATTTTGGCGAATTGGATCGGGTCGAACAAGGAATAATACCACAGGCTATTCTGGATGAGCTCGAAGTGGTTAATTACAATGGCGGGGATGACGCAGACGGATGGGCGAGGCAACATTGATGTCATTGTTGGGAATGTCGTACTTATAGTTTACATGGCCTAGAATTTTGCCAGTTCTGCCCCCTACACTAGGCCGCCTTGTGCTGTTTAACGGACTCCTCGAGATCATGGTTCGACAAAAATAATTATTCCTGCGTGATCAACTCTTCGACTGGCATCGCTACTTGAATACCAGGTGGGTGGCCCAGCGGACATCAATATTCAATCATAAAAGGTATAACAAGTATAAGGTACCAACAGCGTCGCTTAAGGGACACATGATACAATGAGCGAGTCACTCACCCTATGGAGGAGTAATATTAATGCCACTTCGAGATCGCCAAGGCTGCAACAATTGATATCTCATCGTGTGAGTCGCAACCCGCCGCGGGTTGCGACTCACGCGACCGTAGTGTCCGCTATGACTTTATTATTATGCCTCTTATGATCATTCCTACGTTCAAATGTCAAAAAACACAGGAGTCTGCTAGAGCACGGCAGTGATCTGGATTCCAATGGGTACGACGAGAACGATACTCAGATAAAAAACTTTCGGAGGAAGAGGAAGAGGAAGATCACGAACCTCGACTCCAACGACGACTCCAACGACGAGCCCCATTTGTAAATAGCAATCCTTACTACATTCATCAGGAGCCTATCAATATCATTACGATCGAGAGCCGCACGGCCCGCACATTGCTGCGCTAGGCTGACAGTTCACGACATTGCCAGGTTCGCGTCAGAGTCTCAAGATCTGAAACCAAGTGCGTTCGGAGAATCGACAGGAATCAAGGGTGTCGTGAAAGCTTAGAAGGTCCCGTTCGTGAAGTCGGTTTGCTGCGAGTTTGACGTCACGACTAATCTTGCGTTGCGAAGATGATCATAACGGTAGTACGGATACCGGTGTTACGACGTGTCATTATCAGGTTACACGAGCAAATTTTCACCGAGTCTAACACGTCCTCTTGTTATGATGTCAGATTCATTCCTCGGTGAACACCGCGTGAGCCATATGATCGTGTCCATTTACTCATAATCCAAGGATGCCGAGTCACGACGACTCGAAAACACGGCAAACGCTGGCCGTTAGAATACCCGGCCAGTGTTGGTCCTTCAAGTGTATAAAGGCAGCTAGAAAATTTCGGCTTAAAGGCATTGAACATCAATCACCTGTTTCTGGACCTCCTCACCTGACCATGCATGCACACTTCATTCTTCGCCGCCAGACTCGTTGCGCTTGCCGCTATTGCCTCAGTTGTTTCTGGTCAGGGTCAGTAATGGTCTTCTTCGAGGTTCGATTATACTAACATTCATAACTGCAAAACGTCTAGGACTCCCCGCTGGTTGCTGACCGCAATACAACTGTTCAATCTGGAGATACATGTGACGCGATATCCGCAAGACACAACGTTTCCACGTACGTACAATCATTGTACCTTCCGTTCACTTATTCATCGAACGTATGCCATAGATACCAGCTGGCGGCAGTCAACAGCAAAATTATCGACCCCGGTTGCGACAATTTGTCTGTCGGAGAAGTAAGTACATTTTGATGCTTGAAAAACACTTGAACTCATCGTCATAGGTTTTATGCCTTGGAATCAGCGGCCAGGATTGCAATGTTACCCACGTTATGCAGACCGGCGACACGTGTCACAGCGTTGCCAATGCGACTGGTATCCCGATCAACACGTTGCTCACGAACAACCCGAACGTGAACACCATCTGCACTAACGTGTACGCTGGCGAGGTGAATAAAATGTGATTCATCGAAGCCATCGCTGATGAATGAATTTTAGGTTCTCTGCACTGCGAGCCAGATCTATGTGAACATCAAGTCAAATTGAGTTGAGTGAGATAAGAGGATTCCTTAGAAATTAATTAGAACAGGACGTCAACAGAACGGCGTGGAAACTGATTCTCCGAAAGTAAGGGAGAGAAAAACAATACATAGCCCTCAGTCATTTGCGCTGTGTTCCCAGACAGATAGATGCGTACTGAGCTCGTCGATCTCAACTTGTCTCCTTGAGAGTAAGTAACTAGGGGCAGACATAGACCAGTTGCCCCGCGTGTAGCCCTTGGTGTGTTTCGATAGGCACCACAAGACATCGTAGAGATTGGCTAGCCACGTGTAATTGAAGGAGCAGGAGGGGATATACATGGCGACGGTGAGTTAGAACAAAGCAGGAGAATGCATGTGGGGCGACCCACAAAAACGTCGTGCGCCTTTCACACATCCAGGACGGGGATACCTATTACCCACTCAAGATGATACTAATCATGTCTATATGAAAAACATGAGTGATCAGCTCGACTCTAATATCCATAACCGAAAGTGTCCCAATGATGGGGTATAATGGGTTGTCCCATTTCACGTTGGGTAGCTTTAAAACGAACAGGTGAGGGTAGTACTCCCCGATGACCAAGTCGCGCTTTCAGATGAAACTTGTGGCAAAAGGAGCGAATTCTGAATGTAGCGTGTGGATGGTTGAGGAAAACAGCCTGTGAGGAGGTCGGATGGAGGCGCAAGATATGGTCGTGATCCTAACAGAATTGAGTGGTTGGACGTAGGATGTGGCACGTACACGTCTCAGGGATATACCTTATGTTTCTGAGACGACCCGCACGAGGCGTGAAGGTGAATTCTATTAAATATTTCATGGACAGACTATCACATAAAAAGGAGGTTTCGGCGCAATGACTGGGCCTAGTTTAAGACAGAGCCCTGAGGATCTATACACTGCAAAAATGTGGTCAGCAGGTTTCGAACCGACTGCAAGAGAAACAGATTTTGATTATGTTGTGGTAACCACTCGGTTGAGACCAGTTAAGATGAGCCTCCGAGAAATCCATCCATGAGTGAATGTCAAAGTGTGTTGGGATAGGAAAAAAAACATGTCGTCGGCAGGTTTCGAGCTTGCGCAAGTCCGACAGAAACGTATTTCGATCCTGTTGTAGGAACCACTTTGGCCAGGCGAAGTGGAAATGGACCTCCGAGGAAATATCCATCAGTGAATCTTCAAGGCGTGTTCTGAGAGAGAAAACCGCGTCGGCAGGTTTTGAACCTGCACTGGTACAGTGCAAGGGACAGATTTCGATTCTGGGATAGTAACCACTTTGGCCAAGGCGGAGTTGAGATGAACCTCTGAGGAACTGTCCATCAGGGGATCTTCAAGGCGTGTTCGGATAGAAAAAACCTCGTCAGCAGGTTTTGAACCTGTCAGTCCACGAGACAGAATTCGATTCCGTTGCAGTAACCACTTTGGCCAGGGCGAAGTTGAGATGAGCCTCTGAGGAACTATCCATCAGTGAATCTTCAATTGAAGGCGTGTTCGGATGGGGAAAAAAACTCATTGGCAGGTTTTGAACCTGCACTGGTACAGTTCAAGAGACAGATTCTGATTATGTTGCAGTACCCACTTCAGTCAGGGCGAAGTTGCCCCGAGGAATTGGGCGTGTTCTGATAGAAAAAAAAACCCTGTTGTCCGGCAGGTTTCGAAACTGCGTAGTCCAAGAAAAACGGATTTTGATTCCGTTGTGGTAACCACTTTGGCGAGGACGAAGTTGAGATGAACCTCCGAGGAACTGTCCATGAGTGAATCTTCAAGGCGTGGTCTGATAGAAAAAAACCCTGTTGTTAGGCATGTTTCCAATCGAAGTACAAGAGAAAGAAAGTTTGATTCTGTTGTGTTAACCAGGCCGCCCTTGGGCCAGGACGCTTCCTGGCCAAGTTTAGACGAACCTCCGGAAAACTGTCCATGTCGACAGGTTTCGAAACCGCACCACAAGAGAGCAGATTTCTAATCTGTTCTGGTACCAAACGGTTAGCTATGACTACTCAAGATAGGCCTTGAAAAATCGATCCATGGGTGAATGTTCAAGGCGTGGCAAAAGGAAAAGATTGTTTTTCCTGTCACGTTTGGCTTAATCTCTTTAGAGGTGTACGGAGTCCTCAACTTGTGACTACCATTTTTGGCCCATCGTGTAGACGGCTGTCCGGCTTTCCATAAAACAGCGTATCATCCCGTGACCGAAACGGAGAATCTATGACAGTCTGTCCCGTCAGCGGCGGTCCAAGGCCACCAATGCGAGTGAAATAGCGACGAGCTGATTTCCGGAGTCTTTTACCTCAGCAAGGAGCGCAACTGCGAGAGTCTCCAGGAGGTTCGTTGTGGATTCTCTCTTGTGGCTCCGTCGGCGCTGATTTTGTATGAGTTATCGCGCGCCATGATGACTCGTACACTGGGTGTGTTCTCCGCGGCAGTCTCTCAGCAAGTCAGTCGGCTGCTCGTGTTTTACTGTTCGCGACAGGAACAGCACACAAACTTTACTTGACAGTTTATTTCATTATGCGCGCACAAAAATAAACTGTCATTGAGTAGGGTTATTAATAACGGTAGTATGCGTACGGTACCGGTGTTGGTACGATGTCATTATCAGGTTACACGGGCAAATTTTCACCGAGTCTAACACATCCTCTTGATGTCAGAGTCATCCCTCGGTGAACACCGCGCGTGCCATTTGATCGTGTTCATTTACTCACAGTCCGTCACGACGACTCGAAAACACGCCAAACGCTGGCCGTTAGAATAGCCGACCAGTGTTGGTCCTTCAAGTGTATAAAGGCAGCTAGAAAATTCGGCTTAAAGGCATTAAACATCACTTGCCTGTGTCTGGACCCCCTCACCTGACCAGCATGCACGCTTCATTCTTCACCGCCAGACTCGTTGCGCTTGCCGCTATTGCCTCAGTTGTTTCTGGTCAGGGTCAGTAATGGTCTTCTTCGAGGTTCGATTATGCTAACATTCATAACTGCAAAATGTCTAGGACTCCCCGCTGGTTGTGACCGTAATGCAACTGTTCAATCTGGAGATACATGTGATGCAATATCCGCAAGAGACAACGTTTCCACGTACGTACAATCATTGTGCCTTCCGTTCACTTGTTCATCGAACGTATGCCATAGATACCAGCTGGCGACAGTCAACAGCGGAATTATTGACCCCGGTTGCGATAATTTGTTTATCGGAGAGGGTAAGACATTTTGATGCTTGAAAAACACTTGAACTCATCGTCATAGGTTTTATGCCTTGGAATCAGCGGCCAGGATTGCAATGTTACCTACGTTATGCAGACCGGTGACACGTGCCAAAGCGTTGCCAATGCGGCTGGTATCCCGATCAACACGTTGCTCGCGAACAACCCGAACGTGAATACCAACTGCACTAACGCGTACCCTGGCGAGGTGAATAAGATGTGATTCATCGAAGCCATTGCTGATGAATGAATTTTAGGTTCTCTGCACTGCGAGCCAGATCTATGTGAACACCACCCAGTGAGATTGAGCGGAGTGAGATATCCTTAAAAACTAATTAGAACAGGACGCCAATAGAGCGGCGTGGAAATTGGTTCTCCGAAAGTAAGGGAGAGAAAAACAATGCATAACCTTCGTTATTTGCACTGTGTTCCTAGACAGATAGATGCGTACTGAGCTCGTCGATCTCAACTTGTCTCCTTGAGAGTAAGTAACTAGGGCAGACATAGACCAGTTGCCCCGCGTGTAGCCCTTGGTGTGCTTCGATAGGCACCAAGACACCGTAGCTATTGGCTAGCCACGTGTAATTGATGGAGGAATTGAAGGAGCGGGAGGAGGGGATAGACATGGTGACGGTGAGTTAGCACAAAGCAGGAGAATGCATGTGGGGCGACCCACAAAAGCGTCGTGCGCCTTCCACACATCCAGGACGGGGATACCCACCTGTCTTCAAGATGATATTAATCATGTCTATATGAAAAACATGAGTGATCAGCTCGGTGCTAGTATCCATAACCAAAAGTGTCCCAATGATGGAGTATAATGGGTTGTCCCATTTCACGTTGGGTAGCTTCAACACGAACAGGTGAGGGTAGTACTCCCCGGTGACCAAGTCGCGCTTTCAGATGGAACTTGCGGCAAAAGGAGCGAATTCTAAATGTAGAGGAAACAGCTTGTGAGGAGGTCGGATAGAGGCGCCAGATATGGTCGCGATCCTAACAGAATTGAGTGATTGGACGTAGGATGGTCACTGTCCTCTTGCCAAGAGGTCAAGGAAAACAAGAAAAAGCTCTTCCGGTTGCCCCGCATTGTTGACGACTTCCCTGGACGCCAAATGTACTAACCATCCTGCCAATACAAAAGAACTCAGCGGAACTGGCATATGCGAGTCTCTTTCATGTTTGCACTGGTAGTCTGCGGAAACCTGAGTGCCATAGCGTTAACATCCGCGCTGCTACAATTAAAGCAGGTACCAGAACCAAGAAGCGATTGATGATTGGCAGGGGAAGGTAGAAAGCAGCGATCCAGCACATTTCCATTAGGGGTGGACTCGTTCAAGACTTATTTAAAGAAGTTGGAAGGTAAAAACTGAAAGTGGCGAAAAGGAATTGCAGTTGGTTCCTAATTTTGACATTAGTATGAAGGCTTAGTGATATATCAAATGCATCACATTTTATTCAGTTTCAGACCTCCAAGCTTCAAGTCTTTCAATAGACGTGCAAGGCTTCCTACTCTGGGACGACATCCGAGTCCGCAGGGCAGAATCACCATAGGGAGGGCTCAGATGGCAAATGAAAAACCTTTGGAAAATTTCAATCAAGACTTGAATGTCCTGAACAGGCCCTCGATGAGTTAATGAACTCTTGGTGGAATTGGGAATCTTTTGAAAAAAGTACTGACACATGTGATAAGTATGCCAACTGCGTCACATCATGATCGCACAACAGCAGGCGAGCACAGCAGGCGTCGGAGACTCGGAACTTCCAAGTTCCCAACACCTGCTGTGTATCTCAACTCCCGGTTCATGTACAAGAAGAATAGGACAAGTACCTGCATACAAGATATTATGGGACCTGGCCGCACCCGACGGAGCTTGGTCAAGAAAGCTCGCATGGTGGATGCTTGAGGTGACGAGCGAAAGCGGCGGGTGGTACAGGCCAAACATGACAAGGAGTGTGCAGGGAAGAACAAGGAGCAAGAGGTCCAGAAGAAGGAACGACGGATTCGATCATCGCCGAGGCTAAGCTCGTGAATTTCGTATGGTGCGCGTCACTTAGGCACCACCAATTGTGTGCAGAGGCCAAATTGACTCGAAGTTTGTAAACCTAACCCTAACCCCTAGCCTATTATGGTAACCCCTACAAGCCGCTGCCAAAGTCGACACGGAGGATGGAGAATCTGCTTCGATATTGTTGTCGTAGGATTCAACCTAAGTACAAAATAGCCCACTTCTCCGTCTCGTTCACAAGCAGAGCATAGCCCCGTCGTTGATGCTATGCACAGCTGAAGGTCCAGCAGTTCAGTTCAACCAAGTACAAGTCCCACCGACGAGTTCCGGAGACTGTAGCACAACTTTTTGATTGACTGTCAGTAGGGTAGATAACAAGTGGCCAATCTGACTGCCGACAAAATTTTTATCTCCGTCAAATTTGACCAGATTGAAAATCGCTCTTACAGTTTTGTTCGTCTCATCAAAAGGAACATTTTTGTAAGAGGAATTAAAATTCTGACGTTTTTTCAAGATGGTAGGACTTTAGCACACAATTGGTGGTGTCTAAGTGACGCGCACCATACATCAGTAGCATTGATTACATAACGACCTCATGATCACGTGACCAAACAATGTTCAAGTTGCCTGCCTGATGAATCACAGTGTACATTGACAATCCCGCAAGGGGCTGGTCACTAGTCACTCTTGGCGAGTCGTGATATACACTGGGCACGATAAGTCGCGAAATATCACCTTAGAAGGATTTCAATACGCTTGCTAGATGAATTTAAGCGACTTAGACGGTCCTGCCCGTCGGCGCGGGGTCCTTCAAGTTCATCGATTTTCATAATCTACTAGTAGTCCGGTACATCCTTTTCCGACAATCGGAAACCAGAAGTTGAAACCAAATAGTTCAAAACGGTACTGTAAACGTCCCTATAATGTGTAATGGCTGTATAAACCGTCTCCTAGCTTCAGGTGCCATCATTCAGGGACACGTGTATTGTTGTACTTGAAAAAGCCATAACTTGAATGCGCTTTTCAACAACATTCTTACAATCTGCAGGACTTTGCGTTCCTCCCGATCAGTCATGGTAAAGCTGCTTGACCTGCCCATTTCTGACAATACGCAACTCGTCCCCGGTGCTGTGGCTTGCCTTGGGCTAGTGGGAGCAATTACTAGTTGGGCTTACTTTGCTAGCTCAGAGAGTTTCCTCTCCTACCTTCCCCTCCCACTTGCAGCCTTCTGGGACACTACCTGCCCCTTCGCAAGTTAAAATTGACATCATAGTTGTCACGATTCCAATGCTAATCATGTTCCTTCTCTGATCAATTTGTTTCTTACTATAGTGGCATGGATCGACGAGCATGGTCCTCTCGTCGCCACTCGTTCAGGAACTGAGAAGATCGGTATCATTGGCCATCACAAAGTCAGTCCTCAGTGCTGAGTTACAGCGTCCAGGTTTAACATTCTGTTGCAGGCTGTAGTTGAGATCATGGAGAAGCAGGGCGGATCGTCCTCGCATGATTGCTGCTGGAGAAATCCTTAGCGGCGGACAGGTGATCGGTTTGATGCACGCTGGGGATAAGTTTCGTCGGATGCGTAGGTTCGTAATCGGTAATAAAAAGCACAAACAGTCCTATCTTACTAGTGCAACATACGCAGAGCACTTCATACGCATCTACAACCTAGATCGGCGGAAGCCTATCAGCCTTTGCAGATGTCACACGCGAAACATATGGTTTTGGACGTTCTTGATGATCCATACAAATTCCAGAACCACGCGACAACGTAGATGCTTTCCTCTGCGGCGACGATTATGAAAATTACATACGGGAAAACTACGCCCACGTCTGCAACTGATCCTGAAGTCAGAGAAATTCACTACCTCTTCGAGAGCTTTCGTACAGCTCTACGCCCTGGTGCTTGCCTGGTGGAGTCGATTCCATGGCTCAAATACCTTCGTTCGTATGGTCAAGACTTGAAACAGCAGTTTGAGAGGACCAGGGAACTCTACACAAATCAGCTCAACCGCGTGAAACAGCAGATGGTATGTATGGCCTTGGCAATCTTCAGATTGTGTTTAATTGTTCCACAGCAGAGTCATGTGGATGTCGGCCCTTCGTTTGCGAAATATATGCTAGAACACGACAACCTCTATAATTTGACAGAAACCGAGAAGGCGTTTCTTCGTGGTGCTTTATTCGGAGCTGGATCTGATTCGATGAGGTACCTCCCTTTGTTGTGTCCGAATATATGTAGCTGATATTAAGTGTCAGACTGCTGTGGCAATATGCACGTTGCTAATGGCGGTCGCGTGTTCCCCCGAGGAACAAGCTAAAGTCCAAGCCGAGCTCGATACGGTCATCGGGAGGCACCGAGCTCGATTTCCTACTGTAGTTTTACCGATTCAACGGTTTCTTTGCCACAGCGCCGACCTTCGCTGACCAACAATCTCTTCCTCGTCTGGAGGCCTTCATCTCGGAAGCCTTGAGATGGAGATCATTAATGGTAGGTATCTTCATCGTTGGTCATGTACTTGAAATTTACACGGTTCACTCGCAGGATTTGCTCACCGAACGACTCAAGATATGATTTGGGCAAGTACTGTAAACAATCTGTCGTCCCAAGGGTAATCTGACATCCACTGCCAGGAAAACTATTGCATTTCCGCGGGGACTACGGTGTTCGGTAACCATTGGTAAGAACCCGTTCTTCAAGACGCGAAATATCTAATAGGCTTCGTCTCAGGCCCATCTCTCGAGATCCACAAATCTACCCAGACCCTGACGCATTCAAGCCTGAGCGCTGGATTAGCGACCAGGTTCGCATAAGAGACGATCTCAAGTTCTTCGTCTACGGGTTTGGTCGGCGATAAGCACCATCTTTCAAGATATCCTTTTTCTGATCCTTCCTTCCAGGATATGCCCCGGACTACACGTTGCGAACAGGTACTAGTATCATTCCGCGCACATGATCTTCCGAGTTCATTCGATTGGTGCAGATCGGTTTTCATAGACTTGCTCCTTATTATTTGGGCTTTCCAGCTCACTCTGGATCCTACAAAGCCGCTGAATGACTGGGGTTTCATGACCGGGGCGATGCCGAATGACAGGCCATGCGCTATTGACTTCAAGAGGAGGTTCCCGGAAGTGGAGCTCAGGCACATGATGCAGAATTATCCTGACGCTGCATGAGAAGCATTGACACCGCAACCAGGCTCAGAAGAAACCAAGAACCAGTTGGGAATGAATCACCATTTTATTCATCCTCTCAGGTCTCGTATTATCATTGACTTATAATATCACAATCTGAGTTGTACATTCGATAAGAACAGAAGCTTCTCATTTTAACAGAGGTTGATAGTTCAGCATACACCTACATTCCCTCAAACATCACTTCTGGTAGTACCCGTCCCACTCATCGACATTGACGCAGGTCGTAGATAGTTCACACTGTCTAACATCGGTTCTGACATGGACGATTCGTGGACACGTTCATTCCTATGTCGAAGGCGGAATAGAATTCGCGATGCCAGGACACTGTGAATGACCAGCTGTAGCCTAGTACAGTGGGTTCAAGATCAACTAGCAGCCAGAGTGCAGCTGGTGACGTACGTGTCAAACATATTGCTATAGGCGCTCTGCAGAAAATTAGCGAGTCGTAGGATTTGACAGACCAGACACGTACCGCAAGTGCAGCTCCAATGATGACATTAGCAATTGTGATAGCTTCCCGAAACGCGTTATTCAATAATATCCCTAGAGTCAACTATTTCCACGCACTGAGGATGCACAACATGTAAATCATGCCATCGTAGTACAGGGTCACTACAATTCCGCTCTGGAAGTCTCGATAGTCGTGTACCCTCTTATATACAGTAAGGGTCAATATCACTGTCATGTTGATGTTGTTATGGGTAAGTGGGCCAGTAGAAAGTTTTGGATGATCACTAACCGCATTCAAACATCGCCAAGAAAATGTATACGACCGCAGAGTTGCGTGTGCTTTCGAAGTAACAGGTCCCTAGGGGGGGCTCCTCTAATAGTCATATTAGAACGAATTTCGTTTGCGAACGCTAATGAACTCACCTCCTGGAATCAACATTGTAGGGCTGAGATCTGCGGCAATGGCAGCGGCAATTGTCAACTATGCAATAGTAAGAAATAAATGCTATCATTCCTGTTCTGCAAAACACGCACCACACTATAAACCAATAACCCGATCAGCAATTTTTTACTCTTTTGCCAGAACGCCCAGGTCCGAATAACCAGCAAGGCTGCCAAGGAAGTGAGATCCACTACACTCTCAACATGCATATGGAACATACACACCTTCCGCGGCAACGATACTTATGATGTGAATGACTGACATTCACGTCTTTGAGTTACATGAAGAATGAACAGTTTGGCAGGTCGACTCACTATTTCCTTCCAGAGTAGAGGCACACTTATCCCCATACAATCAGCTTAACGTTGAAACCATCTGCCATCTAATCTTACCTGATTGCTGGTACGGAGTGCATCTAAGATATACCCTTCAGCAACACACACGATAAGGAGAATCGGAGTGGGTCACTCGCCATATGCAGTCATTCCAACACCCGCGAAAGGCAAATATCGAGAAATGATGAAAATGATACGAGTTACATCCCATGGCCTGGACCAGGTCCATTGCACCTGTGGGGAGTGGTCAGAACAACACTCGCAAACAGACAGATATTTCCTCGACCTCTTCAGCAAAAGTGATGCAATAATCAAATGCCTGAAACGTCGAAAGAGATTTGAGCTAGAAACACAAGAAATGAATCTAATACTCACGAGGATTGCAAGACTGCCCACTAAAGAAACAATGGTCAATGCCGCCGTTCAGTTTTCGGACGATCCGCGGACACTCACAATTGACGTACTAAATCAGACATAATGTTCAACCTCGAGTTTGCTGGAGGCAGGCTGCCCCTGACTCACCTTGACCGTCTGTAACTTCGTGAGGTCTGAGATCGATAGGGAAGACATATCAGGATAAGAGATCGGTACTCAGTACTCGGTATGCGCCTTGTGGTACTTGCCCGCAAGTGATGAATGGCGACGGAGCGATACACCTGCGAACATTACTTATAAGTGCGGCGTTCGATAGGCATTAATTGAAATCATGATTACCCTAGTTATTTTAAGCCTCCAAACCGGTACTGCGGCACAGCCTTAAGTTGGTCAGAAGCCAAAGGCGGAACTTCATTCGATAGCATCAGAGATAGTGCCTTGGAAGTACCTGAAGTGCCATGCACTATAGTACAATATTACTTGATGTGTCGATGATTGCAATGACTGCAAGCGCTATCTTCACTCCCACCGCGGGCAAAGTTGAAAATATAGGGTCCCCTGTGGGATGCAGGTCAATTTCTAACGCAACTTAAACGAGTAAAGATGATTCTGAAATTTTAATTGAACTTGATTCCTCACTGGCAATGATGAGTACTGAAATGTTGAATCAGTGCTAGGCAATGATCGTTCTTGATGTGACAAATTGTTAATGATGTCACACCCCGAAGGGTACTAGCCAATCGGGGTTACTTTCCGAAAGTTTTCTATCATTAAAATTTCTGAGCTATGTACCCTTATGTTCCCCGTATCGTGTTACATTTCCACCGTATTTGACTTTTATCACAGGCCTTATTTTTGTGACTTTGCCCGCGGTGGGATCCAGTGGAATCCATGATGTAACTGGAATGTTAACTGTTGTCACGTCGGGATTGATTGCTATCATAGCCGCTGCAACGCAACTGTTGGGCGATGCACAAAAGATTTAGACCTTACAAGCCTTTAACTTTTGGTTACCGCTCATGACCTCAGGCCAGATCATCAATCTGGCAAAAGATTGCCGTCAAGGTCTTGTGCACCGCATGCTGAAACTTTGCTATGTCCGTGACGATTTGATGGCGCAACAAATTCCATATATCGCCTTTAGACTGCATCGCCCATGTAAGTCTAACAAAGGAAAGGAACACCTGGTATGAGACTCACATCATGCCAGCCCATGAAAAATCCACCTCACTGCGAACTCGAGTGCGGCGGTACATAACTACTGTTCTCAGTTACACCACAAAAACATGAGCGAATAGAAAGAGTGCAACAAACGTTGCGATGGCCCAGACGTTGATAGTGAGCACAATTGAAGTTGTGACTGAAACCTAGTCTCCCCTAGTCAGACCAATGGAAAAGGAAGGAAGACAGTCGTTCCTTCTGTATTATAGGGTGTCCTGCCTGAGCTGCGCATCACTACCGTGATGATAGACTGCTGTCGTCAAGAAGCAGTCATCTGGATGATGAACGTATGTATGCCAAGAAGCCGATGTATCGCAAACGGAGTGACGAAGGAATTAACTGTGCCGTTTTGAGTTCTTTTTGAACTTTCAAATATGTGCCTCTAAGCAACCAGTGAGCGCTGTAGTGGGTTGTCTTCTGATCTCTCCTCACTTGTTTGAAGTTTCTTTCTCACCCACCACATCCCTTGTCGACGAAAATACGCCCTCCGCTGTTGTATTAAGGTCGAAATTGTGTCTCGGCGAGGTCGATCAGCTAGGGACTGCCGTGCTTCTCCATAATATCCACCGCAGCTTGTAGAAGCATGATGGCCTGAGTATGCCAACTTGGCGTGAATGAACTGACATGGTGAGTCAGTGACGACCGACGACAACAATTTTCTCAGCTGCTGAGTGGATGGTAATCAGAAGGCCATACTGGTCCGTCCATCCCTTACAACGCATATGGGACACGATCAGCATTGTGTAAGAGACAGCCAGTCGAGCATGAAGATTTTACTTGCGAGGGGGTAGGACTTGAAGTGCCCCAAAACCCTCCACGTGGGAGGGGAAGGTGGAAGAGGTCGGGCGCGCTGTAATTTAAAAAGAGACGCCCGAGCGATCAACCCTACCACCACAAGAGAAGCCGCAGCAGCGAACATGAGCTGCATGATATCGGAAAGGCACAAATCAGGCAGCTGTAGCATATGGGCGGTGAGATTCAAACATGAGTTGAAGCCACACGTACAATGACTCGTGGCTGTTCAGATATTACTCCGCTTGCTGTGTCGATAGTACAGCAGCGGAAATCAAAACTCGACAGGGCCCCTCTGTCGGGGTGTATTATATGATATCCGAGTCTCTGCTGGCCTGCGATGGTTTGCTTGAACTGCTTATCAGTTCAAGAAAGGTAAAGGTAAACACTCATTCTCACTCATCGGATCTCACCTACTAATACTTGTGCCACGAAGGAAAACCGTGTATCGTCAAATGAAACGTCGAACCTGAAGCTTCTGAACATGAAGTATCGCCTTCCAAGTTCCTGCAACACGAGAAGAAAAAATTGCCGCTGGCCTGTGGGCGCTCACCGGCGAATACCGAATTTCTCTTATTGGTGGGGAGCTCCGCGAAGCGCTTTCGCATCACTATCAGAATCGATGATGTCATGCTGGCACTGAAGCATAGGTACTGCACGCTGGCTTACCTGAGTTCCCATAATCAGTACATACACTGTCGCTGATGCTGAAAGCTAGCTTTCAGTATTTCACCTTTTGGTGTAACGGTTATGCGGGTGGCAGTCTGACCATGTTACATCGGGCCCATTAATGACTGGTGTAATTCGATTCTCATTCGTATCAGCCCGCCGAGGGTGTCTCTCTCAGTAACAATTCATTCATAGCAGTACACATCCTAGGCCATCAAGCTTCTACTTAAAGTGAAGCTTGAAGACGTATGTATGTAAGTGTGACATGGTAAGTACACGTTTCATTATCTGGGATGTGATTGTGCACATCATCAGCGCAAGAGGGGAAGGTGACCTGCACAAGAGGGAAGAAAGATGCCCAGGCACGTATGAGACTAGCAGAACCAGTGGCCATAGCCAGGGAAATATGAATAGGGATATGGTAGCCACAGCGAGGTGGGATTTATAGGGGCGTGGGAGGTATGCTGAAAACGCGTCTATGAGCAGGGTGCGAGTAGGGAAAAAGGGACAAGCATACTGAAATAAAGCAGGCGAGTAAAACACGCGCACTAGGTCCTTTAGACATGCACCATCGCCGGACTCGTGAAGTTCCTCACAAACTCGAATTGCGGACCAGTCTCTGGCGAGTGCGGGAAGCGCTTGCACTTCTCGACAGTCCGCCACTCCCGTTCTATTATCTTCAGTGCTTCTTCGCCGTCCCTCGCGATTCCTGCCTCTACGAGCCAGCACCCGATAACCAAGCCGGTCCTCCCAATCCCACCACGGCAATGTACAGCACACACGCGCCCTTGCTCTGCATTTTCCCTGAGCACATTTAGCACTAGACGCATGAAATATGTTGGCTTGTGAGGGTAGCGAACGATCAGGGATAGGGAATTGGTGGTAGGAGATGGTAGTCGCGTCGAGGCCGGCGGCACTGATGTGCCTTGGGAGGTGGGGCTTGTAGGGCATGAGTTCCTCAGGCTCAGTGAGGTCAATGAATGTGCGGACCCCAGCGGCAAGGAGCTTGTCAAGTTTTTGGGTGGGAAGTTTCAAAAGGAGACCAGGGGTACTCGCATGCGAGTAGGAGGGGAGTCGCCCAGTAGGAATTAGGTATTGGGCGCAGGCGTAGTGAGCTTAGTGGGAGTTTACGTGGGCGGGAGGGGGAGGCAGGGCCTGTGCTTTTATATAGGGAAGCGGGCGTATGGGTTCTGTTTTTCCGCGAGGAGGAACCCAGCTTGTCGTGTGATGGCATCGTTCAAGTTGTTCCGGAGGACAATTGTGTATACCGTAATTTATGATGAATTCGTATAAGATGAACTCGTGTGTGGCTCGGTACAAGCTCGCATCTACTGCTTGACTTTATACCGTGAGTTGCAACTTTCGAGAAACCAGTAGAGTCTAGACCACTATGGTGGCAGTGATTGGACCCTTTCATTTTCGTCCGGGTTCATCCGATTGCCGAGGTTCTTATCACAACTATCGAACACGTTGAGCTAGTACTACAGCCAAGTTCAGCGAGCTTAACACTTCCTCCACTCATCGTTTGAACGTGCTCGTCGGAACATTCGTCAATCCCAGTCATCCATTGGTCCAGTCAACGCTCAAACCCAGTACTGATTGTTTCAGCCTCCTTTGTTATCGCAAGGATGTTTTTAGTTGACGCTCGAAAGTAGCCGCTCCATCCTCTTTTCGCCGCTATATCTCCTTGGGCTCACCGCGAGGTCAGCCTCACCTCCACCAGAAGGACTTCTTTCATACTTTTATGGTTGTGATCACGATCCTCCATGGTCTTAGTATGCCGGTATGCAACGAAAACCCCAATTTATGGCATGTGGGGGATACACAGTCCAACTGCAGTACGTATTATCTACATACTGGGCGCAGAGGACCCTTGGCAGTATGTCCTATGTCCACGGTAACAACCCAGAGGCTGTGCTCGTATTCAGGGGATATAGAATGCGAAGAAGGAGGGCATAGCATAGCACAGACACTCGTCGGATCATGGAACGCTCGATTCATCTAGATTTAGCTACAGATTAGCCCATATCAATGCATCCCCGGTACCCCAATCACCAAAATGATCACCCGCCCGTGCATAGGGAATTCCTTCCTCGCTTGACTCTTGGTCCTTTCATTGTGAGTGGTTGATTACATGCATACATTCGCTTTTGTCATCGATGTACTGTCTTGTGCTGCTCATTAGTGTGCAAGTCAAGTGTAGGTTGCATGTGGTGGACCATACGCCATGACTGAATTATATTTGTCGTTCCCTGCAATAGGCCATCTACATTCGAATGCCCTTCAGTGAGCGCAGTCCCGGTTTTATTCTTGTGTTTCTGTCAACTCAACAGTGGACGCGTCGGCTGTGTTTCTTGGAGGATCTAAATGCTGTCCGAGGCCTTTGGAGTAGTCACACACGACACTTCCAGCGCAAGCCAGTTCCTTTTCTCATCGATTAGAGTCACTACCAGCACTCGTGGTAGTTGCATAGCTTACTGATTCCAGACCAACCAAGCGAGGGGCCCCGCGATCAGATGCACTGATCGGGACACGCAGGATTGGCAGGAGCACCAACAAATCCCAACTCTCACTCGTCACTCCGTCAGATACCTCCTGTGGCTTGGGTGCATGGAGCATGGAGCATGAATGTGGCACCACTCGTCTCACCCATATTTTCACTGTCTTTTTTCGGTGGACTCGCTCCTGACTCGTTAGTTCAAAGAAGAAATGTTTGTCTTCATTCTAGGCTCGACCTTCTACCAGACCTCGCGAACAGCACGGCAGCACAACGAAGACCTATAATCTAGCCGACTTAGAGATTCTCTGAGATCTGCTGCGTCATACTGGCTGCATGACAATGGCAGCATGTTTGAGATGGGAACACAATCCGATGCAATGAATGCACATTTGTCAATATTTTTGGCACGCACTGCACATCAGGGTTTATTCGAAACTCCTGTCACTCACGTTGGTCCAACGCGCGCACAGGCTGGAACGCCGCGGTGATATGTAAGTTTAGTGCCTAAGGAATTACCAACCAAGACCGAACGTCACTCATGCCGTACAGTCCATGGAACACCGACAGAAGAGACAATCGACGCGAGCATCATACATTCAATAAGAAAGCCGAACAGAGACTCTAAATAATTTCCTAGGAAATATATTGTTACGTGCAGTGGAATGCGCAGATAAGTACGACAATCTGTTTCTATCGCAGATAAAATTTTCAAACAAAAAATCACAGAAGTAAGACAGACAAGAGGGTCAAGGAAGACGTACTAATATAGTCCGACAAGACAGCTTGCAATGGAGAAGAAATATAAAATATCAGAATGATGGTGGTACTCTCGGGATCATTTGCATCATCCGTCTAAGCTCAGCTTTCGAACATAGCTCCGACACTCGGGTTGATGATAATGATGATGATGATGATGCAACGATTGCACTGGACGAGACAGTAGAAGTCCTCACAGCAAGAGCGAGCGCTGTATATAGATATCCACATAAGACATATCATACAAGAAAAGTATACCACGAATAAGAAAACTGATAGGACTCACGAGATGCCACGGTCCGCGACAAAGACCTGAAGGGGGGTTCCAGCTCTTGCGCAGTGTCAGGAACTTACAGAAAACCTCCGCTGTTCCCACTACCGAAACGCTCTCCGAGTCCTTTGGCATCCCGAAGCATCTTCTGCCTCTGTTTATCGTCCATAAGTCGTCCACCTAGAGACATATCGCGTCCATGATCCCATATAACCGAGGGTTCACTCTGCTTGTGCGTCTCCTCCTCTTTTTCTCGTTCCATATGCGACTCGACAAGGGCTGAACCACGAGCCTTGCGCTGGCAAATAATGAGTCAAGTTCCATTTCAAACGGAACGAACAATCAAAGGTCACGTACTGTGTGATCCTCAACCCCTCTGCGAATCTCCTCATCTCGTCGCCGTCGCTTGGCTATCTCATGCGAGTCTTCCTCTGGCGGTGCATTTGCTGCACGTCGTTTCCGTCCAGCAACTTCGTCAGCGAGGCGTTGCTGTTTTTCCGCGGGTGTCTCTGTCCAAAGGGAAGATCCGGAATTGTCCCGCGATGGTGCAGCGCTACGTGCGAACTGACGAGGCCTGGCTTTCGTCGGGTCAAGCGCTATATGACTTTGATAAGTACACAACTCAGAGAACCGCGTCTTGAATGAAACGTACACGCCAATAAGTCGCCACTTTTTGGAGGTACAAGCATCCACTCCTCCCGTTGAAGCTTTTTTGGCTTGCTCGCCTCTTCCTGAAGTTTCCTTCTCCTTTCCTCCCTCTCCAAGAACTCTTCCACGCCTGATTTTCCTTCTATTCGCGAAGCATAAGCTGCAGGAAGTGGTTGAGGCCCAACATCTGAATCCGAGTCATCATCGTAAGGAGCTCGCGAGCGAGGTAATGATGGTCCTACGTATTGTCGTTTTGGAGGCGGTGTATTCGATTCACTCTTTGAGGGTAACGAAGGCCCAGCTGTGCGGGAGGCAGCAAGGTCGGGTGGCAGAGCCGGTGTGTAATTGTCATCTTCGTCAGAATCGTCGGCTGACGCGACGGTTAGAAGGTGTGCTGGGATTTGTGGGCCTATGGAAGACATTTGGGAGCAACGATGAAGCACTTGATGAATTTAGTTGTAGCTCCTAGCTTATGTAACCATTCAATCCGACTTTTTCGAAATAGACAAACTTATGACTAACATTTTCCTAGCGTCTTTCCTTCATCTCAGTCCGCGTCCACCGTATTTTCATTAATCACACCCATGAGCAGTTGACTCTCAATATACGGATTATATTTTTTGACAGTAAGTAAGGACCTGTGAAGTACCTCTCTTGGCCAGCAACAAAGGGTGATGGGTTCCTTCTGCATGGTTGGCCATCGAGTGGGTCGGCACAAAATAATTCGCAAGGTAGCTCAGACGGTCATGTCTGCTTGTCACAGGGAACATCGATAGATCTGCCCACGCAAGCGAAACTTTCCCCATGTTAGGTGCGAAACGCATAATTTGTTAAGTCCTTTACTGTCGATTGTCTTAACTGCGAGTGGACCTTGCTTCTGTGATCCCGGAGTAATTGTTTTCTCATCTTGCTTATTTGTTTGCAGAGGATGATGTTTTTTTGGTAGTGCAACGACCGTCTCAAAGGAGTCAGGCAAAACTGTGCGGCATTTTTACCTGGCTTCTTAATTGCGTGGATAACAGTTACTGGGTGCGTTCAACCGGCAGGCCTAAATATATCCTCATACGAGAGCTCGCAATCAAAAAGCACAGGTAAGAAATAGGAGAGCGGCTGATAAATCACTGCATCTCGAGAGCATGGCGAATATTGATTTTGATGGGAGACCGTTCTCGTGAAGTCGCCCCAGGACATTCGAATTCCCACGACACCACCACCACAGCAAATTAAAGCTGCCTACAAAATTTGAAAATTTTTGGGAAGAAAAGAAGTTCGGTGGCGGGGATCGATAGCCCGCCATCAATTGCCAACGCGCTCGGATGCATCAAGATTCCAGCGGTCTTCATATCGATGGACTAGGATTTGGAAAATTCGTGTGAGCGCCTCTGTTTACCTGTGAACATATGCTGTAAGTAGATGAGATCACCACAGGTCTTTGGACAACGAAGCCTCCGAGTTGCGAAAGCCGAAGCACACGGTTTGACAATTCGATGGCTTGATCTTGTCTAGTACATTGGGTTGTGGTCTTCAAGCTCCTGCTACGTGCGGGTACGTTGACCCATGGCTGTTTCGCGGCCTCTGGTATGTGTCGATTGCGGTTAACGTTATAGTTGGTGTTGCAGTACTCCCAAATGTAACACGTCACCAAAGCATTGATACCGAAACAACGGCGCGTCTATCGGTATGGGTTATTTTTTATTCAGGCCTTCACTACCATCCCTTAGTCTGGATTGTTTACCCGCAGACCATGTGACTCTGCCTATGGTACTGAAGTCCGCCAGTCAACCATTCTGATAGAGCTGCCAAGTGGTTCGCAATTTATGGGATATATAAGCAAACCTTCGACTCTTCCTATTGCCAGTATCAGAGCTATCATTCGAGATCCCCTCGACGTATCCCAAACTACCTAGCACAAGACATGCGTTTTTCATTCCTCCTCGCTGCTGTTGTTGCTTCGACAATATCTATGTCTGTCGGTATATGCACAGATCAATTCGGGACTTGCGGCGTGACTGACCCGACTGCCGACCCATGCTGCAAAGGCCTTAGTTGCAAATTGGGTGTGAGTGTGATCCATCTGCTTTGGATCCGACTCCATGACTTACCCCTTGCGCCTTGTACCATAGGGTTCGGGTGACTGGTACTGCCAGTAATACTCTTTTGATCGGCTTGGAATACTGAGCATGTTCACGACAGTGGGTCGTCTTTCTACTTTCACGCTGGCCCAGTGGTTGATCACACAATATGCAGTTGATCAATATGCTTACTATTGCTGCACGAATTTCCAGGCTGCCTCGAACAGACTCTAGAATAACATAGCATTAGAAAAACTGCCTCGCAAATTGATAAAACATATTCATGTTATGTTACTCGACTTGTGTACTAATGCATGAGAAACTGGTGTATTCAGCCGACATCAAAGTTGTAGCAGATCGTTAAGAAGAAAGCAACCTTTACCGAAAACGTCGGGCTGCACGCTAATGGCAATCGACAACGGCGAACGAACTTCGGCTCTGTACGGACAGTGAAATTGAAATTGAAATCACGGGGGCCTCTCGACATAGACTTGCAAGTTGCAGTTCTGCGGCATTAACGTTCACGTCCATCTACTGACCAGCTGTGTGCTTCTGGTCGACTTTGTTTTATGAAGTCTCACGAACCAGTACAAGCTCTTCGGACAAGAAATTCATGTTCGACTTTGTGGGTACTCTGGGTCTCCCTTTCAGATGTGAGATCTAGCATGTAATTCATATGATGATCTGGCTGCTGACCTGTGGCCCGTAGAAGGGCATGATTCCGCTGCTGACGACCTGGATAATTCTTCTGACGTGAATGCCCTCCTCTCATGCGCCGCTCAAAGAAGGCTGATGAGTCTTCCATCCAATCATACTCGTCAAAATCATCTTCACTAGCATCGTCTCTGAAGTCTGTCAGTCAGGCAGTCAAGAAGAGTGTGGATGTGCTTACCCGTCCTTTGAAGAGAGTCAAAACTGCCTTGCTCTCAAAAAAGACGCGCTCATCGTCATCATCGCTCGAACCATCAGTAATTGATGTCAATGTCATTGACACGGCGATGAAATCTGACAACGAAGGTGTTTTCACAAGCACGACAACTTTTACACTTCACACGCAACCGGTTGTCTCCAGCTTCCATTCCTGCTTTCTTATGCCTTGGCTCCTGGTCTCGCCATGATCTCATAGATACGCAGGACTTCCTTAGGGTGGTGACGAAGACGAAGAAGAGGAAGCACAGTAGTTCTACTTAAGTTACTTGTGTATACAAAGATCTCTCAAATACTGTATGACCCGCGGGTCTGTGAACAAACCGCGGTATACCGCAAACACCGTTCATACCCGCAGAATTGGCGGGTCGGTGTTGACCCGTACCATAGCGGGTGCGGTGTTTGCGGGTACGGGTGCGGTGTAGCTTCAGAGACCCGCGGGTTCACCCGTGCTCAACCCTAGCACAAAATAATTCGCAAGGTAGCTCAGGCGGTCATGTCTGCTTGTCACAGGGAACATCGATAGATCTGCCCACGCAAGCAAAACTTTCCCCATGTTAGGTGCGAAACGCATAATTTGTTAAGTCTTTTACTGTCGATTGTCTTAACTGCGAGTGTACCTTGTTTCTGTGATTCCGGAGTAATTGTTTTCTCATCTTGCTTATTTGTTTGCAGAGGATGATGTTTTTTGGCAGTGCAACGACCGTCTCAAAGGAGTCAGGCAAAACTGTGTGGCATTTTTACCTGGCTTCTTAATTGCGTGGATAACAGTTACTGGGTGCGTTCAACCGGCAGGCCTAAATATATCCTCATACGAGAGCTCGCAATCAAAAAGCACAGGTAAGAAATAGGAGAGCGGCTGATAAATCACTGCATCTCGAGAGCATGGCGAATATTGATTTTGATGGGAGACCGTTCTCGTGAAGTCGCCTCTGGACATTCGAATTCCCACGACACCACCACCACAGCAAATTACAGCTGTTTGCATAAATGATGACAGTACGCGACTTTTTGAGAAAGAAGAATAAATAAATAAATCTTACACAGCAGTAAATAACGCGTCCCGCATGTATGTGAGTTACGATTAGTGGTTCTCAAAGTTGATTTCATAGAATCTGGAAACGTCAAAAGTTTGCGAGTTGCCGGTTGTATTTGAAGCTCCGACGCTGACAAATAAACCCTAAGCTTTGTACCATCTGCTATAGCATTCTGCAGCTCCATCACTGATATGCCCCGTGAATCAGATCGAAAGATGCTGCTTCGCAGCCTCAAACAAACCAGAAATGACCTTTCCGTCGCGCGATACATGGAACTAATTGAATTTATGATAGATCAAATACTGGATGAAGACTCAGACTCTGATACAGAGCTTGATGATGCTGCCAGTGGCCGTAGCAACTCGGATATCAGTATACGGACTGCATCACCAACATGGCCGGAGTCGCCTACATCGTCAATCACATCTGCCTCATCAATCAACTCTCTGGTATCGCTCTCGACAGCATACTCCGACTTCTTATCGCATGATATCCCGGACATGTGTGAACGGGTCTTTACCCAGTTCATTGACGCAATCGGTGCGCTGCATGATGAGGTGGAGAAGTGTCGAGTGCTGAATGTGCATCCACGTCTGAATCGCGCACCTCAGCTTCACTTGCTGGAGGAGTGGGCTCTGTTCTCAGCTGATAAATTTCGCCGCAAGCTTCGTGTTGAGGCAGATGTGTTCGATGGACTCACAAAGTTAATTCAAGAACACCCCATCTTCTATAACTGCTCAAATAACCCCCAACTCCCTGTTGTGGTCCAGCTCGCCATTTTTCTAAACGGTGTCGGCCATTATGGCAATGCCGCGACTACTGAAGATATATCTGACTGGGCTGGAGTATCCTTGGGGACCGTTTATAACTGCTACAAACGGGTTATGATTGCGATCTTGCAGCTTCATGACCGGGCGATTCATTTCGATCCGCTTGATCACGAGGATCAAATGGAGCGAGAGCGGGCTGAAAGCTTACGTGGAAAGCAAGACATGTCGTGAATGGCGTGGAGGTTTTCTTTGTGTAGATGGGACTCCATCCCCTCTACACGAGAAACCTGGTTGGCATGGTGAAGGGTTCTTCGACAAGAATTCGGACTACTCTCTAACAGCCCAGGTAAGTATCGGTTCGGTGTGCAACACAGTGACTTACAGTTTAAAAGGTTGTTATATTCCCTCATAACCTTCGTATCGTGGACTATGTCATTGGCGTACCTGGGAGTCTCCATGACTCAAACGTATTCGCACGAACGAGAGTTTCCCGGCATCCTGAGTCGTTTTTTGGTGCAGGAGAGTGGTTGTGGGCGGACTCGGCATATGCTGCACGAACCTGGTGTGTGCCACCATATAAACGGCCACCGGGAGGGAGTTTGACGGAGGACCAAAAGACGTTCAATCACAACCTGTCAACGGTGAGTATGGATCACAATACATGTTCATAGTGCTTACCAAGTGTCTAGGTCCGTGTTCGTTCAGAGCATTTTTTTTGGCTCTATCAAGGGCCGGTTCCAATCACTGCGGGAGCTTCGCATCCCAATCCAAAATCAGAAGGACCTTGACTACGCAAACATGTGGATCCGTTCGTGCCTCATTCTGCACAATTTAATTATTGAAATCGAGGAAAAATTAAACCATGGGGACTCGAATGTCCGCTTCTACCAACAACCTCGGAGGCCAAGGCAAACTGATGGCGATGTGGGAGAGGAGGATCAACAAGAGGGTGGTGCAATAGGTGATCAGACTTACATTGGAAGTGTGGGGCAGGATTTTCGCAACACGTTGAAGACACGGTTGCTTTCCTCGTTGGCGTAATTAGAACGTACATATCTTGAGTCCAGTGATACGGTTTGTTTCGATCTTGGGTTTCTTTGCTACTCTCTTTGTCAAGTAGAAGCTCTTTGTCCTCTTTAGTACCCAACGAGGGAAATTTGCGCTTAAGTTCAGCGTCAAGTAGAAGCTCTTCATCCTCTTTAGTACCCAACGAGGGAAATTTGCAGAGAAAGGACCATTTGCATTGCTTAACGATCAGTTGTATGACATAGTATGGACCTAGTACTTCAGTTTTGATCAAGACCACGCTCCATAGTAATACGACGAATCCGGGCCTCCTCCTCTTCTCGACGTGCACGAGATAGCTCAAGTTCGATTCTTGCAAACTCCATTTGCTGAACTATCCTCTCCCGTTGGTGGAGGTGGTCTTGTTCAGCAAGACGCATTGCATGCTCCCGCTCATCACGAGCACTGCGGGCCTTGAGATCACGAGCCCAGACTTCGCTCTCGAGTTTCATACGCTTATAGCGTTCATGCTCGACACGACCCTCGCGTTTGCCATCGAGGTGTACCATTAAAGACTCTGCCGTTTGGGACATCCTTTCTGCGGTCTGGTCAAGAGCATTGGTGCCAGGGCGTTTGCGTGATGAAGAGGGAGGACGGCTAAGCTGAGATGATGTGCTTTGAGAAGATGGACGAGACTGCTTTGCAGCGAGAGAAGGTGAGCTTTCGCGACTTCCCTTAAGTGAGCTGACACGGAGAGACCGTAGTGCTCGGCTGGCACCAATGTCCGAGTCTTCTGAGTCAATAGGTGTAGACTGACGGCTCGGTGAAGACTCCTTGAAATCCGAAAAAAAAGACAGCGAATTATCAACGGCGTTTTTATTGGATGCTGGTGAGCGCTCAGGAGAGTTCAATGATACTACTCCTGGGCCAAGCGCATCAGAAGTTGAGATGGGAGGGAGCTGTGGTTGTTGGTACCATGATGGTAATGGAATTAGCGAGAATGAATCAGGTGTGTTGCTAGGACCACAGTCCGAAGTTAAAAGTGGTGATGATTCGACTGATTCCACGCGGGGGGGCTGGTCAACCACCATATCATCTGTCACATCTACAACACCACCATCATCCATAGTGCGAGGATTGATCTCAACTATTTCTCCGTCTTCAGGGTCTGTGTGAGTGTCGTCGTCACCTGTAGCCGGTTTTAGTTGCATCGATTGAATATCAAAGTGTTCCAATGCGGCAGATGCAAAGTCCTGCCCTACATCCGCAGTAGAGAAGGCATGGTTGAAGGCTGGGTTGGTCCGCCACCAGCCATGAAGCTCAGGCCACCAGGGAAATTTTTCGAGCTTTGTATCTGATGGAAACACGGTTAAGACATGTGCAGATCAACACAGCTAAAACGGACCGATCAACGACTTCATCTTTGGATCCTCTTGGAGCTCTGCATACGTCTTTCCTGCTCCTGACTGCTTGAGGTCCTTGTTGAACTCGTTGTATTTTCTTCGAAGTCTGAAACATCTTATCAGTGATTCCAGTGGGAAGATGAATGACGCAGGAACTAGATACTTACGTGCCGAAACGAGTTGAAACTGGTTTGATAAAGGCCTTAGGGTCCTCTTTGAAGAGTCGTTGAACCTCCAGATCCTCATCATTCGAAAATACTGCGTGTGCGACCTGTGAATAGACAACATCTCTTGAACTACCACTCTGCTTCTTCTTCCGACCTTGCTCCTTGGCATCCTTTGCCGAATCAGAGAAAAGCTTGATTCGTGCATTGTCATTTTCCTTGCACCAGGCAAGTAGCCGTTCAGTACGAGCACCACGGACCCCCTCCCAGTGAATGGTACACTTCTTCCCAGTGTCCATACTGGCAGGTGCGTTGGCCCGGACACCTCCACCCCGGCCTCTCTGATTTGAGCGTGACATGATCTAGGGTGTGCTTAATGACAGTGATTAGATATTGGATTAAGGCTTTAGCAGCGTCAACGCTGGTAACGACGATGTTGAGCACACTGGCTGGCAGGGCAGGTTCGGAGTTCGAAACCTGCCGTACCGGCAGCATCTGAATTCACAAAATTTCTCTGTGAATTTCTTAGAAGGTTCGACTTTGAGAACCGTTATTGAGTCGAAAATGACAAACTCGATATCCTCTGATTCTATGGACTCTGACGACGATTCGATAACGGCGGCTGTCAGGGACCAGTATGACATCTCTCCAGGGGATGAAACAATTGTCGTGGAACCCACTTCCTAACTAGAATCACCAGAAAACGAAAAACGCGGCCCTGGTCGCCCTCCCAAGCCCAAGGAAGGTACAATTGTTCGAAGTTCATTGACCATTGATTCTTGAATACCTGAATGTGAGATTTTACTCAGTACCTCCACCACCACACAATGTCTCGGTCTCGTACACTCTCATAGTGTATTCATACTCAGAGATAAAGAAACCAAGAAGGCTACAGGTGGGGCTAACAACGTTGCCTGTCTTGCGCCAAAGTTTAAGGACACACC